TTTTCATCTTCAGTTGTCTCTGATGCAGCTTATACGAAGATAATTGTTGTTCTGTTAACTGAATACCACTCTGTAATTGCAAAAAAAAATTGCAGCTGTTTTGTTGACATTCTGAATGCTTCTAAGTAAATACAATTTTTTTTATTAAAAAAAAAGAAACTGAATTAAATGCAGGGAGAAAGAAGGTGGAGTCAGGCGGACGACATGTTGTAGCGGTCTAAGAAGCAAGGTGTGAGATAATGAACCATGAGCCTTGTGGTAAAATATAAAATAATAGAAATGGGATAATTTAAGATGTAAGAGTTAGTGAATAAGCCTGAGCTAATAGGCCAAAGGGTATATAATTGATAGTAAGCCTCAGAATGGTAATTTTATAAGAAGTTTCGGGAACAGGCAGAGAAAACCCAGTCTGGGGGACCAATGGGACAGAGAATAACTGTAGCAACATCTGGCACCCAAATTTTGGGGGCTAACCCACGTGGGCCACCACCCACTTCAGGTCTGGGTACTTTTATGCCCACTTGGGGTTAGGATAAAGTAGCTGAAAATGTGCCAGCAGCTCAACACTCCAAGCCCGGGCAATTGGCCAGATCGGGTCTGCTAGGTGTGCACAAGCGGGTGAGCAGGGCGAATTCCTGCCTCCATACACAGAGACATTTCCAGGCTGCATAGCATACTGTATGACAGATTTAGCTTTTACTCAGATTAAAAGGGTTTATGTGCTGCATACTGCTTCCCAGAGTTAAGGTGGTGAGCATGGATCCTACCTGGTGGTCCCAGTGCTGGGAAAGAATGTACCTCTGCCATATTAAAAGGCCAAGAGAGATGGAACCAGCATCCAGGGTCACTGCAGTCAAGAAGCTTACCATTTAAAAGTGATCCTGGTCAGAAAAGGATTACAGATACATAGGAAAGACAGATTCAGACAAAAAGGCCTCTGAATGAGCTACAGTATGTTTGATAAATGTGCATGGGCTTTAGACAGAGAGGATAAAAGATAGGCAGAGTCATAGAATAAAAAAATAATTTAAGGGTTTTAAATTGAGGTTCTTAAAGGAAAAATAGAATTAAAAAAATCATAATGGGCCATGAAAAGATGGGGAATGCACAAAGAGTCTGGATTATGTATATTATTGTGTTTTCTTTAATTTTTTAAAAAATATTATTTATTTATCTTTATATTTATTTATTATGTATACAATATTCTGTCTGTGTGTATGCCTGCAGACAAGAAGAGGGAGCCAGACCCCATTACAGATGGTTGTGAGACACCATGTGGTTGCTGGGAATTGAACTCAGGACCTTTGGAAGATCAGGCAATGCTCTTAACCTCTGAGCCATCTCTCCAGCCCTTCTTTAAATTTTTTGACTGCAGAGAAACATTTGATTCTGTGGGCTACTAAGATATACCAACATATGTGTTTTAAAGGTATTGTGACTTCAAAATTCAAATCTAAGGATATGTTGCCTTGAAAAAGAGGTTCTGCTTTTGTTTCCACAGAGGATGGGAACCTGTGGAATCCTTCCAGACAAATGTGGTTCGATGGACCAAGACCCCCTGAAAGGTCTCCAAGAACCCTAAAAATACTTCAAACAAACAGCAGAAAGCAGTTTAAAGAAAACTATGCCCAAATACCCAAAATGATTGTTTATAATTTTTTTTTCACTTAAAAGGGGTTGGGTATAAATAGTTAGTGATCACATTCAGTTTCTTTCTTGAAAAAGGGGAGATATGATATAGTAATGAATACATTGGTATTGATTTTTATCTATTGATACAAGTTTAAGGTCAATTTTGTAGATAGATAGATAGATAGATAGATAGATAGATAGATAGATAGATAGATCTTTCCAGTCTTGTTTAAGGTATTATGTTTATGCAGCTCATTTTAAAATGTAATATATAATTAAGAAACACAGATTAATAGTCATCTATGATAATCTACTTTTAGTCATGTTAGTTTTCTAGATATACAAAGATATATTTCAGTTAGATAATCTTCAACACTTCAAAGACCTACAGAATATGACATTTAAAAAGTTTTAAGAACTTAGACTTTTCTGTTTTTCTTTTTTTTTTTCTTTTTTCTTTTTTGGTTTTTTGAGATAGAGTTTCCCTGTGTAACAGTCCTAGCTGTCCCAGAATTAGCTCTTGTAGACCAGGCTGGCCTCAAACTCACAGGGATTCACCTGCCTCTGCCTCCTGAGTGCTGGGATTAAAGGCATGTGCCACCATCGCCTAGAAGAATTTAGACTTTTCTTGTCAGTGAGACATTTCTGTTTCTGGCAGTACCAACTACTTCAGAGAGGTTGATGGGTATTGAAGAAACTCTTTATGCCTTCAATATGAGAAGGTTAGCCATTTAGGCAAGAAACTGCTCTTGCCTGAACTGTTTGATGGTATACTGTATGAACTAGACATGTAGGACCTATAGAAAAATGATTGTTAAACTTTCCAAAAGATGGGATGATCCTTCAGAGTTCCTGCTTCACAGCAGAAACTGCCAGACATTCTGCAGGACACAGAAGAAAACAACTGATAAACTTAACCAGTGCAAGGAAGAACAGACCTTCACATTTCCTGCTTCACTGAAAAGTCTGCCAGATACTATAGGCCTGTAGGCTGAAGATGGATGCCCCAACATTACAAAAGAACTTTGGGCGACTGTCCAGGCAGCAAGATGTCTCTGTCAATTCTAGAGTTTTGGAAGTTGCTTACAATGCACTTCCTGTTTACTTAGGTAATATTATATCCTTCTGGGGTCTTTAATGGAGTTGAAGATTAGATAGTTATAGTTTTAGTTATAGTTTTCCTTAGTTATGATAAAATATAAGTTAAATATAAATCTTTAGACTCACAAAGATAGGATGGATGATAGACTATTTTCCTTAATTTGCCAAATGTAAATGGACTAAATATTGTAACTATAATTCTTGCTTAATCACTGTTTTGTAAATGTAGTTTTATTATGTTAAAATTAAACATCTTCCGTTTTAATTAGACAGAAATGTGGAGATGATGTGGGCTGTCCTTCTGTATATGTGTTGCTTTTATTGATTGATGAATAAAGTTGTTTCAGCCAATGGCTTAGCAGAGTAAAGCCAGGTGGTAAATCTGAACAGAGAGAGAGAGACAGTAGTCAGAGTCAAAAAGATGCCTTGCAGCTGCAGAAGGAGAAAGATACCAGAGCCTTACTGGTATATCACAGCCTCGTGGCGATACATAGCTTAATAGAAATGGGTTAATTTAAGATGTAAGAGCTAGCTAGGAATACGCCTAAGCCATTTTGGCCAAACAGTGTTGTAATTAATATAGTTTCTGTGTGATTATTTGGATCCGGGCACCATCTCTGTTTACAGGGCCTTTTATCACTTCATAGTTCAGACACAGAGGCCCCAGAAGTGACTGTTTCTCCACCTTCCCCAGTCCTTGCTTCCTGCCTCTCAGACCCTTGCAACTGACTCTGTACTGAATTACTTTCTCCAACAGGTGTCTTCTTCCCTTGACTGGGGAGTGTAACCTTTGCTCCAGGGCTTGTAGTACTTTAGCTTCCTGATGGAACAATTTGTGAGTTACTGATTTTTAAACTCATGTTAGGGCTACTTCAGTTGTGTGTGTGGTGTGGTGTGGTGTGTGTGTGTGTGTGTGTGTGTGTGTGTGTGTGTGTTTTGGTGCCCATGTGGAAGTCTGAGGGCAATTTGTAGTGGTCAATTCTTTTCTTCCACTGTGTGGATTTGGGGGAGTTTCTTTACACACTGAATCATCTCCCTGGCCCAAGGCCTGGAGTTTTTAAAGTCTTGCTTCTCACTAGTCAGTAGTCAGTACAGCCTCAGGTCAGCGAGGGGCATGAGCACCTCTCCTGGAATGTAACTTTTACTGCCTTTAACTTGATTAACTTCTGGTGGCCTGGTCACTGTGCCACTGTGGGTTAGGCATGCTTGGATACTGCATTCCCACCCCTTTCTTCTGGAAAGACTTTTGTTTATTCTGGCTCAATTTTTTTTCCTTATCCTGGATCTTGTAGACATTAGGAGAAGCCCTTACAAAGATACTCTGGGAACTGGACTTGTAAAATGGGTGCTCACAGGAAAACACTTGATGAGCATAGACTGCTGTCACTGTTTTTGTGTGGTTTTTTTTTTTTTTTTTTTTTTTTTTTTTTTTTTTTTTTTTTTTTTTTTTTTTTGGTTTTTCGAGACAGGGTTTCTCTGTGGCTTTGGACCCTGTCCTGGCACTAGCTCTGTAGACCAGGCTGGTCTCTATTTATTTCTTAAGATACTTGGGGAAAAGTCAAAATATTGTAGAGTAAATCTTTTTATTCTGGGCCGTGGTGGCACACGCCTTTAATCACAACTCTCAGGAGGCAAAGGCAGTTGGATCTCTGAGTTCAAGGCTAGCCTGGCCTACAAATTGAGTTCTAGGACAGCCAGGATTACACAGAGAAACCCTGTCTTGAGAAACCAAACTAACGCCTGGCAGTGGTGGTGGCGGCTGCGCATGCCTTTAATCCCAGCACTCGGGAGGCAGAGGCAGGTGTATCTCTGTGAGTTCGAGACCAGCCTGGTCTACAGAGCTAGTTCCAGGACAAGAACCAAAACCACAGAGAAACCCTGTCTTGAAAAACAAACAAACAAAAAAAAAAAATCAATGAACTTGAGATAGCTTGTAGAACTAAGGGCTTGTAAGACTCAGGTCTGCCCTTCCCTCTTCTGGTGCCCCCTCGTGTATTAAAATGGAACTTTACTTTTTTTGCTGGTGGTGGTGGTTTTTTGTTTGGGGATGTAATCTTGGTTGGCTTGTAATTCAGTTTGTAGACCACGCTGACCTCGAACTCATAGAGAATCTACCTGCCTCTGCCTCCCGAATGCTAGGATTAAAGGCAAGCGTCATTATGCTACCCGACTTAATTCCTGAACTGAATTCTTTAAAGTTTCCTAAATCCCACTTTTGCGGTACCAAGCAATCACCTTTTCTTTCAGCTAGCTTCTCTCTGAAGCTGGTCCACAGCCATGTCCTGCAGGATTCTTTTTTTTCTTACAGAAAGCATTTATTTTTTGCCAAGTAGGATTAACACCAATGAAAATAGCAAAAATATAAACACTACATATAAAAACCTGTCACAAGTCATGTATCACTGTTATATTACACATAATTTACACTTCATATTTTTAGAAACATATTATTTTATTTATTTAATTAGCCTTTTTCATTTATTTTACACACCCACCACACGGTCCCTCCCTCCTCTCCTCCTGTTCCCCCTCCCAGCTCCCATCTACCCCTCCCTGTCGACTACTCTGTCTTCGTGCGCTTGAACAAGGCATAGCAGGCACATCAAGTTGAGGATTCTTTTTTTTTTTTTTTTTTGAGCCTTTCAAAAAAATGTCTATTTTCTAGCCGATTCAATACAATAATTCGATCCGCGTAAGACGTTTCAGCGGAACTTCCTTTGGGAAGTGGTGGCAACAGAGCAGCGTAGCTTATCATGTCTCTCTTTCAAATGGGTCATTTTTCTCCCTTTCAACTTTGGCCAAATGACCCTGCCCTCCTGGCACCATACATTTGAAAATGTTCTATTGGCTGAGACACGCTGAGGTGAACACCACCCAGGCCGGAACAGAGACAGCCTCTCTCCCTTCTGCCAGTGTTTCCACATTCCTTTCCCCTGAGTCAGAGAAGTATTTTTTCGGATGCAAGAAAATAAAATTTGGGGGGTGGGGTGGGGAAACTTAAGACACGGAGGGTTTCACACGGTCCAGGCTTGCTTTGAACTTGAAGTGCAGCTGATTTCTTGAATTCTCTTGCTCTTCCCACCCCCAAGTGCGGGAATTACAGGCAAATACCACTACACAGGCCCAGAAAATAAATTTTCTAATTTTTTAAAACTAACAGAAGCGTCTAGATTAAAAATAAATAAAATTTTATTTTGGCATTGAATATTAACTTCTACCGAAAAATCTGTTTTAAATAAAATTTAAATATTGAGAAAGTTTTCAATAAATTAAAATTTATCTTTGCAGAACTACTCTGTTGGGCAATCTTTTTCTTTTGTTGAGGAATAGGTACAAGAACAACTTAAAGATTTTTTTAAAAAAATTTCACCTATCACAGACGAAGTTTCAGGTGTTCACAGCACGATAAAGAAGATGGTGGATGAGGTCTGTAATTCCACTACCTGGAGGCTGAGGCAGGAGAATGGCATGAATTCATCAACCTACTACTTGGGAGAATCTACAAAATACAAGAATACTCAAGGGCACCCATTTCACCGCTGCTGGGTGATATTCACGCCTCTGGAGGATTCGGCTCTTCCTCGTAGGCTCGTGCGTCCCCTGGCGGTCTCCCTCGGAACTTCATCTTGCTCTCACCACCCCGGCGCGAATAAAGATTTCTTATTCAAAACGCCGGAAGTGACTACGGAGGCCGGGAGGCTTGGCGTGAAGGATCCGCGACGGGAGGCCGCGATGAGCGACATGGTGGAGAGGACGCTCACGGCGCTGCCGGGGCTCTTCCTGCAGAACCAGCTGGGAGGGCCTGCGGCCTCCAGAGCTCCCTTCTTCTCCAGGCTGGGCGGCCTCATCCGCGGCGTCACTGCGCTCTCGTCCAAGCACGTAGGTCGGCAGGGCGGGGTGGGGTGGGCCGGGCCGGAGGCACCGGTCAGCTAGTCGGACGCGCCCGGGCGGACTCCCCAAGCTGGAGTTTGCTGCCTGCACCGACCGTAGGGAAGCCGGCTGTTTAGTCTGGGGGTCCGACGACCCTCCGCGTGCCTTCTCAGCGTCAAACCGATGTATAGTCCATGGGGTGCTTGGAGGATTGCAGGAGCTGTCAGTCGAGTGCAAAGAGCCAGTGCGATTTCAGTCTCGGGCTGTAGTCTTCTACGAAGTTTCCCTTTCCTCCCTGTTGAGTTTTAATTTAGTTCCTCCTTGGAGGCATCACATACCGCAGCTGACAACCCTGATAGTGCTGTTGTCTTTGCAGGGCTTGAGGTTCTTAGGCTAGACCAACGGCTTGGGCAAAGACGGGCTTTGAAGACGAGTAGTTACAATAGAATTAGTAAACTCCCACGGATTGCGTATGGTACTGATCCAAAGCCTTAAGGCGTGTATGTCTTAAAAACATAATATTGTGTCATAATTTCTTCAGCAGGTATTTATCAAGCCCAGATATACGTTAAATAATGAGGAAAATAATAAAAATACCTTTCTTTCCAAAGATTTTGGGCTTAACCTAAGTGTAAGTAAGTTCAATGTCAGTGGAGAGAGGAGCAAGAAGGACAAGATGCCTTCAAAGGTGTAAAATGTCCCTGTGTTTTAATTGTAAGCTAACGTGTAACCGAGCTGTACTGGGCAGGGCCTGCTGCACATCCACAGTCATTGGTGGTGTACTTAACATAGCTCAATGATTTTCTTTTGCTAATTTGTAGGAGTGGCCAATTTTTTTAATAGAAAAAAGTGTATATGTATGTACTGTGTGTTTGTTCGTGTATGTGTGTGTGTAAGGGGGGCAATTTTTTAAAAATGTGTATATATATGCACTGTGTGTGTGGTGTGTTGGTGAGGATTCGTGTACTATATGGTAGGGGTCGCAGGACAGCTGGTGTTGGTCCTAACTTTCCACCTTGTTTGAGATAAGATCTCTCTTGTTTTCTTCTGTGCTTTATACTCCAAGCAGGAGGGCCAGGGAGCTTGGGGGGTGGGGGGGAGTGGGGATTGCAGATCCATCTCACCACATCAGGCTTTTTATATGATAGATTCTGATTTTCAGGCTCATGCAGCAAGTGCATTTACACACCGAGCCGTCTACCCCTTCTCTCGAATGAAATTGTCAAGACTGGTTTTTGGCTTAGGTTGCAGTTGGAACCTGCACAGGCAACCCGATGTGGTAGTGCTTCACTTGTAGGGTTTGTTTGTTTTTAGATATTTTGCTTTTAGTTTTTTTTGGGGGGTTTTTTGTTTGTGTGTGTGTTTGTGTGTGTGTACATGAGTGCAGATGCCCTCAGTCCAGAAGTGAGTGTCTGATGCCCTGGCTCTGGAGATTTGGGCAGTTGTGACCCACCAGAGTGGGTGCTGGGAACCAAACTTGGGTCTTTGCAAGAGCAGTGTGCAGTTTTCTCTGTTGCACCATCTTTCCAGCCCTAACTTGGTGTGTGATTTAAAGATAACATTGTTTAGCTGGGTGGTGGTGGCGCACACCTTTCATCCCAGTACTGGGGACAGAGGCAGGCTGACCTCTGTGAGTTCAAGGACAGCCTGGTCTTTGCCGCTGTTCCAGAACAGCTACCTGGAGAAACCCTGCCTGTCTCAGGGAGAAAAAGATAGCATTGTATTAGCCAATAGTTGGGCCAATGTTTAAGTGCTTAATGGATTGTGTGTCATGATAGGGCACTTGTCTGTAGGAGTCAGTTTTTTCCATCATGTGGGTTCCAGGGATTGAACTCGAACTCAGATCATCAGACTTGGCAGCATGCACCTTTACCCACTGAGTCATCTTGCTACCCCTATTTTGAATTTTTTTTTTAATTCTGCCCATCTTTACTAGCAAAGGAATGAAACAGAGAGGAGTAGTAGGTTAACCTGGAAATAATTATTCTTTCCAAGGAGGTTCCTATGGGCCAGGAAATGTAACTTTTCTAAAGAATGATACTTCATTTTAATTGAAATGGCTATAATTGTGTTTTTCAGGAAGAAGAGAAATTGATCCAGCAGGAACTGAGCAGCCTGAAGGCGACTGTTTCCGCTCCGACTACAACACTGGTACGCTTGCACAGTTGGGCACACTTGCCCTTGAAGCCTGGGTCCATAGAGTATGCCTTTGCAACAGTATTCACTAAGTGGCTATCCAATGAGCAGCCGGCTGCTCCATGCTGGCCACTCCGAGACAGTTTGCACGTCTTCAGATTAGGACCTGGGTGCTTGTTGTTACCGTCCTTTTAATTGACATGTTCTAACTCTGTCTTTATGGGGTACACTGTATCAATTCAACACAAAATGTATGCAGTGTGTATTGCTACTTAACACTTATTACATTTGAAACTTTTAGTGTGTGTATGTATGTAAGCCTGTGCTTATGTGTGCATGCCATGATGTGTGTGGAGAGAAGACCAAGGTGTAGGAGTTGGTTCTCTCTACTACCTGCATCTATAGGTTTGACACCTGCCTGGTCTACAGAGCTAGTTCCAGAACTCCAGGACAGCCAGGGCTACACAGAGAAACCCCGTCTCGGGGGAAAAAAAAGAATTTTAGTTTGTAATGGCCAAATGGTTCATGAAATTATGCCTCTCAGTTCACAGTATTGAGTCATTTAAAAAGAGAAGAAGCGTTCTTATACAGCTGTAATATAATAATGCTGAGAAGCCTGTGTTCAGTTTGATTGTTTCCCTCCATTTCTTGAGGGTTTGGTTTTTTTTTTTGGTTTTTTTTTTTTTTTTTTGGTTTTTTGAGACAGGGTTTCTCTGTAGCTTTGGTGCCTGTCCTGGAACTAGCTCTTATAGACCAGGCTGGCCTCAAACTCACAGAAATCCACCCTCCTCTGCCTCCCGAGTGCTGGGATTAAAGGTGTGTGCGATGGTTCTTTATTCTAGTCTCCAACTCCTGGGCTCACACAGTCCTGCTTCAGCCTCCTGCCTAGTTCCTGCGTACTAGGATGAAAGGAATACAGCTGGCTTGCAGTTTGATATTTAAAATAGACTATTTTCATTACAGAGTATATTACCAACTTGTATCAATTTTCTAGATTGTTTTCATTTGGCAAAATACATTCAAATCGATTTTCCCCCCTTTGGTTTTTTGAGGCAGGGTTTCTCTGTACAGCTCTGGTTGTCCTGAAACATGCTCTGTAGACCAGGTTGGCCTCAAACTCTGAGATCTGCCTGCTTTGGCCTTTCGAGTGCTGGGAGTAAAAGTGTGTGCCACCACCACCCAGCTCAAATTGGTTTTAAATGCCAAAGATGATCGCCATGGATGAAATTTTGTCTGCGGAACACCTCTAATGAAACTTCTCTGGGCGCATAGAATTAGAACTAGCTTCAGGTAGTTTATAGTATCATTGTCAGTAAAATATTGAACTAATTTTTTTACCTTAGTAGTGTTGGTGATTGTTAGAAGCAACTTTTATTTCTATATTCTGATATTAGGCAATTCTTCATCACCAGGATAAATGACTCCCTTGTTAAATGAGTGTGGCATACAGAAAATGGAAAGCATTCATTTGTTTACGTAGTGATGGGATGTTTCGCTTTTCAGAAAATGATGAAGGAATGTATGGTGAGACTTATATATTGTGAAATGCTTGGCTATGACGCTTCCTTTGGATATATACATGCAATCAAGTTGGCCCAACAAGGAAACCTCTTGGAAAAAAGAGTGGGTATGTAATGTTTAAGACTTCTGTTCTTACTGCTTCTCTAAGGTTAAAATGATGGCTGGTATATGTTATGTTTTTAGAGCATTCCTTTTTTATAGTCCTTGGGTTTTTTGTAGTCCTGTAGACCCTCACATGCATAGGCAAGTTCTCTACCACTGAGCTATATCCCAGCTCAGATTTCCAACGCTAGCCCTTTAGAACGCAAAGTCTATACGTAAAACTGGATATGAGTCATTTTGGAGTTATAGGGACGACTAAAAGGTGCTTGATCATGGGATAATGAGATGCTACATACATTTGTAAAACCCATTAAACTACATATAAAAGAGATGACTTTCTTGTATGTAAATTGTTCTTTAGTAACTCACGCTTTAAGAAGCCTGTCTAACCCCATTAATTTAATGATGAGTCCCTCCATCTGGTCCCTCATGGTAATATGTGGCTTTTCTTACTATTGATCAATGTTTCGGCTTTCAGACTAATTCAAACTTTTTATAATCCCGATAAAGAAGTTTTTATTAGTAATTTACTTTAAAATTGATTTCTTTCAAAGCTTCTATAACTCTGGGATTTAATTCCAGTAGGCTTTCATTGTCTTCAGAAAGCTCTTCTGTGTATCTCAGACTGGTTCTGCAAGCATTTTATTTCCTGACAGAGTTGTTCCTGTGACCACTGTGCTTAGGTACCAAGCTGTACCTTGAAAATTCCGTGTGTGTGTGTGGGGGGGTTCCTTTTGTTGTTTTGTTGGGGTTTTTTTGTTTTGTTTTTTTTTTTTTGTTTTTTTTTGTTTTTTTGAGCTAGTCTGATATGGTTCAGACTGGCCCAATTTATCATAGAGCCATGGGTCTAGGATTATACCACCACTCCTGGCTATGTGAACCTAAGATTTTGTGCTTTCTAGATTCCCAGCCCCCTGAGAGTTTTCATATGTCTGAAACTTTTCTTTTTTATGTTCATTGGTGTTTGAAACTTTGATGTGGGTTTACTTCTTTATGCTGTGAATACCATTGGTTAATAAAGAAACTGCCTTGGCCTGTTGATAGGACAGAGTAGAACTAGGCAGGGTGGAGGGGGGGACTAAACTGAATGCTGGGAGAAAGAAGGTGGAGTCAGGAGAAGCCATGTAGCCCTGCCAGAGACAGACGCCAGATGGAATTTTACCCAGTAAGCTAAAGCCACATGGCAATATACAGATTAATAAAAATGGGTTAAATTAAGATGTAAGAGTTAGCCAGTAAGAAGCTAGAGCTAATATGTCAAGCAGTGATTTAATTAATACAGTTCTGTTGGCTATTTCAGGTCTGAGCAGCCAGGAACAAACAAGTGGCCTCCTACTACAGGACTTCAGCCTACTCTCTTGTTACCTGGCTGACTACTGTGTTGGCATAGGCAGGAATTCTGGAAAACAACAGATAATTGAAAATACTGGGCCTGGTGGTGATGGCACATATATTTAATCCCAGCTTTTGGGAGGCGGAGACAGGCAGATCTCAGAGTTTTAAGGTCAGCCTTATCTTAAGTAGTGAGTCCCAGGCCAGCCAGGGCTACATAGAGAGACCTTGTCTCAACAAAACAAAACAAATTAAAAAACAAAAAAAAGCAAAAACAAAAAAAAAGGAAAAAAATACGGATAATTGGTGGTGTCTTAATTTGCTTTTTACTGCTGTGGTAAATCACTTACTACATTAGTTGGGGTTCTTTAGAGGATGGATATTTATATGTAGGATTTATTGGAGTGACTTTCAGGCTGTGGTCTGACTCCTGACAGGAAGGCCAAGGATCTGGCAGTTGCTCAGCCCACAAGGCTGGATGTCTCAGCCAATCTTCAGTCTGTGCTGGAATCTGTATCATCAAAGTAATGACTTGGCGACAGGATTGATGGACTTGCTAGTGAGAGTGAGGGCACGAGGGGCAAAGAGCCAGGAGATAATGGCCCAGATTTAGGGTGGGCCTTCTTACCTAAAATGTCCCAACCCAGGGGGAATCCTTTACAGGAGTGCCCTGCTACTTGGGTTTTAGTTGAGTCCAGATGGCATCAGATTGACAAGATTAGCCACCACACTAAGCAAAAACAACTTGGGGAAGAAAGGGCATGTTTCAGGTTACAGCTCCCAGGCCACAGTCTATCACTGAGGGAAGTCAGGGCAGAAGCTCAGGGCAGAAGCTAAAGCAGAGAACTGCAGGAGTTCTGCTTACTGGCTTGCTCCTCCAAGGCATGCTTACCCTCCTTTTTTATAGCACCTGCCCAGAGGTGTGCTGGGCCCCTCCACATCAATTATTAATTAAGAAAACGCCCCCATAGACTTGGTTACAGGCCAGTCTGATAGAGTCATTTTCTTAGTTTTGAGGGTCCTCTTTCAAGTTGACAAAAAGACTAACCAGAATGGGTGGTGTGATTACTTTGAATAACTTTTGTTACGTTTTAATTTTTATACTTAACATTCATTTTTTATTTCCAATTTTATTTTTGTGTCATGTACTGCTCTCTGCCTCTTGCCTATGATACAGTGTGACCAGCTGCCTCCACTGTGTCTTCTCTACACAGTGGCTAGCCCTCAGATTGGGAGCCCAAACAAACTCTTTTGCTCTTTTTGTTTATTTGTTTGTTTTGAGACACAGTCTCACTACTTAAACCTGGCTGACCTGGAACTTCTATAGGCCAGGCTGGCCTTGAACTCACAGAGGTCTACCTCCAGAGTGCTGGGATTAAAGGTGTGCCCCACCACCGCCCAGTGAATTAAGGTTTCTTTAATATGACCTTTGAACTAGTTTATTGACTTTGGTCTTGGTGACTTGGGTGAGGGTGATACCTTACCTGAAGAAGGCGTAGCTTCTGCTGTGGGTGCTGCCTGGCCTAGTCAGCTTTTTCCTCCCTTTGGGGAGTAATAGCTTTTTTCCTCCGTATTGAAAAATTAGAGTTGGGTGTGCTGCTCCTTTGTGGTTTTGGGACTAGAAGTTGCTGAATGATTTCTGTTGCATAGTGGACAAGGACACATAGTTCCTAGGTAATAGTAAGGGTAGCTAATAGTATCTCTAGTGAAAGGACTGAAAGAGGAAGATAGTGAGGATGAGAGGTAGGTACATGGGGACTGACTGTCTGCGTCTGAGTCCTGGTTCCTCCATGTCATAGCTAGAGACTTTGGGATGTTAGCCTCTCTTTTGACCTCATCTCTACACTGGCATAGTAATCCTACTAACATCATAGGGTTGTTTGGAGAATTAAACAAGGCAAAGCTTGTAGTTGCTGACACATAGTAACTAACAGATATCATTGCCTGTATGAAAAGTCTCCTGAAACTCCGTCAAGTGCATGGGTCCCGTGTTCATCGCGTTTGTCATGATGTCAGTGCATTCATTCCTCTGCCCTAAAACAGTTTTGAAACAGAATGCTCATTGGGCAGTGAGTCCATCTAGTGTGCCAGCCAGTGAACTGTTAACTCAACACTGTCTTCAGATTGAGAAAGTGAGGTATGAGTATCAGGATTATAGGTAATAAATCATCAGTGACCTGATGCTAACTTAATAACTAGGTTTTTGAATAATCGCGTTTGGCTCTAAGAGAGCATATTTTGATTGATCATGTGGAGATTTTCACTAGATCGCCGACATTCATGGGGCTTTAATTTGGTATCTATCTTGTAGAATCTGTGATTCTGAATGTGCAGGACAAAGGACACCTGAAATCGTCTTAGAGAAGTTTGCTAACCCTGTATTTACACTTTGTTTTTATATTACCTGTAACTGATATGCTTCACACTTGGATTTATTTATGGGCTTTAACTTACTAGGAAAAGAATTTTGGGGGATACTTAGTAATGAAAACTTTTTCTTCATTTTTTAATAGGTTATTTGGCTGTTTCTTTATTTCTACATGAAAGTCATGAACTTTTGCTTCTTCTTGTGAATACAGTGGTAAAGGTACCGTATCACATTATATGCTGGTTAATATGAAGTCTTATTTCTGCTCTCATATGACATTTCTCTGTAGTCATAGTTACTTAAATAATTTGAAAGTGTAGGTCTACTTATGGAATTGTCTTAGATACCTTTTAAAGGCTTATTTTTTAAATTATATGTGGGTGTAAGGGCAGAGGCCTGTGGGGGTCAGAAGAGGGCATCAGATCCCTTGAAGAAGAGTTACAGGCAGTTGTGAGATGCCTGGCCTAGGCACTGAGATTTAAACTCCAGTCCTCTGCAGGAACTACCATTGAGCCACATCTAGAAGGGGTTTTTATTATTTTGTTTTTTAGATTCTGGTTGGTTTGGAACTCACTATCTAGACCAGGCTGGTGCCAAACTCACAGAGATCTGCCTGCTTCTGCCTACCAAGGGCTGGGATTAAAGGTGTGTGCCTCATGCCTAGCTATATATTTTTGGCCTTGTACTTCTGGTCCTCCTGGATCCACCCCTCCTGAGATTACAGTGTGCACCATTACATCTGGTTTATGACATGGGCTTTGTGCATGCTAAACACACTCTACCATCAGAACTACATTCCAGCTCTGTTTATTTGTGTGTGTGTGTGTGTGTGTGTGTGTGTGTGTGTGTGTGTGTGTGTGTGTGTGTAAGACCTTTCCATCCCCCTTCCCCTTCTGAAATAGGATCTCACGTATCTCAGACTGGTCTTGAACTCACTGATCTGCCTGCCTCAGCCTCCCAAGTGCTGGGAATTAAAGGTGTGCCCCACCATCTTCCAATTGATATCAAAATTCTTAATAAAACACTTGCAAACTGCCAGGCATGGTGGAACACACATGCAGTATGGTATTCTGTGTTTTTAATTGTTGAAATGAGGCAGTTAGTATGCGTAGTTATTATTATAAGGTGTCTATTAATTCCTGCCATTTTGTGTGTATGTGGGTATGTATGAGCATATACTTTTTATTGTATAAATTCTAAAGCTCCATTCATGTTAACTAGAACAGTTTGTGAAGTTGTTTTATTAATTTGGGAAAATTAGAGTGTTATAACAAAGGAGACTCTTCTGGCCTGTAGCCAGTCAGCTGCCTTTGACTATTACGGAAAATGAAATCAGTGTGTGTGTGGGGGGGGGTATTTTGTAGGTTCTGAGGCAAGTGTGAATGTATAAATTGCTTATAAAGAGGGGAGATTACTAAGCAAGCATGATTGTTGTGGTGTTTGGTTTGTGCAGACTGTCTTCTTTCTTGCTATGGCAGGACCTGCAGAGCACTAACCTGGTAGAAGTATGTATGGCCCTTACTATTGTCAGCCAGATTTTCCCTCGAGAAATGATTCCAGCTGTTCTTCCATTAATAGAAGACAAACTTCAGCATTCTAAGTAAGTAAATTATTTTGACATAGTTTTCTTGACTTTTTTTTTCAAAACAAAAATTTACTTAAGTGTGTATTTTATTTATTTTTTCACAATTCCATACATCGGTACAGTGTATCTTGATCATATCCACTTCTAATTCCCCAAGCCCTCCCAACACAACCTCTTCACCTTTATGTCCTTTCCCCCCTCCTTCTAATAATACTGACAATAACAGCAGCCAACCGAGTCCAGTTAGTGCTGCCCATGCATGCATGGGTGTTGAACCATCCACCAGCACATAAGCAACCTGACAGTGGCCATGTCCCCAGCAGTCGCCAACTGCCAGTAGGTTCTCAACTAAGGCTGGAGCCTTTTGAGTGTCTCTACTGTTCATGCTGGGAGGCTAACTGGTTCATTTGGTGCAGGTTTTCTGTAGGTGACCAGAGCTGCAGTGAGATCCTGAAGACAATGGTCATGTCTTTTTCATACTTTGCTGCATTAGAATAAATAATTAACTTGGTAGCCCAGGTTGCCTTGTTTATATTTCATTTTTTACCCTTAGGGAGATTATACGAAGAAAAGCAGTTCTGGCATTATACAAATTTTATGTCATTGCCCCTAATCAAGTACAACATATCCATACTAAATTTCGGAAAGCACTTTGTGACAGAGATGTTGGTGTCATGGCTGCCTCTTTGCATATATACCTTAGGATGATTAAGGTAAGTTGGTAATTTCAGCATGTGCTCAGTTGTTACCAACTATCACTATGGAATTTGAGGAAAATGCAGATATTTCAATAAAATGATTAATACTTTATACCATTATCAGGCTAGAGAGTTGGCCCATGGGTAAGAATGCTTGTGTACAATCAGGAGGGTCTGAGACCAGATCCTAGCACACATGTAAAAGCTGGGCATGGCCGTCCATGTGTGCCTGTAGCCCTAGTGCTGTGATCCATGTGTGCCTGTAGCCCTAGTGTCATGATCCATGTGTGTGTGCCTGTAGCCCTAGTGCTGTGATCCATGTGTGTGTGCCTGTGATCCTAGTGCTGTGATCCATGTGTTCCTGTAGCCCTAGTGCCGTGATCCATGTGTTCCTGTAGTCCTAGTGCTGTGATCCATGTGTGTGTGCCTGTAGTCCTAGTGCTGTGATCCATGTGTGTGTGCCTGTAGTCCTAGTGCTGTGATCCATGTGTGTGTGCCTGTAGTCCTAGTGCTGTGATCCATGTGTGTGTGCCTGTGATCCTAGTGCTGTGATCCATGTGTGTGTGCCTGTAGCCCTAGTGCTGTGATCCATGTGTGCCTGTAGCCCTAGTGCTGTCATTCGTGTGTGCCTGTAGCCTACTGCTGAGGGAGGCAGAGACAAAAGGGGTCTAGGGCCTCCTGGCTGACAGTCTTGTTCTAGGTGCAGTGAGAAACCCTGCCTCAAGAGAATAAGGCAAAGGGTGATAGAGCAGGAGTCCCAGAATCCTCCTCTGGACTCTGCATGTGCATAGGCACACACTCTTATATACACATGTGCAGATATCTACTATACTCACACACATAAATATATTTTATGCTGCTATTTACTTCTAAATGTAACTTTTATAAATTGCTAATAATATGAATTTTATGCAAGAAAGATTGGGAGTTCCAATCCACACTGGTCCAGCTTTAGAGGACGACTGACTGTGAGGTGCCCAACCGCAATAGTTACATCTACAACACAACTCCTACACTCTGGAGAAGGATGGAAAGATTGTAAGATCCAGAAGGTCAGGGCATGTGCTGTGAGATAGTGTCTTCTACAATGTGAGAGGGAGCTGCACACATGATCCCAGCAATGTGGTCACCTAAACAAAGCCTGAACAATGTACCAGGTGACAGCCCATTGTGGATGGGGGAAATCTCACAAGGTCACACCCCTCGATGAAGAGCTACAGGCAGTTAATGGCTACGGAGACTCGGTCTTCTCCAGGGATGAGCCCCTAATAAGCTATCTAATACCAGGTAGATATCTTAAACGCATTCACATATGAGCAACTCTCAGTGGACTCAGTAGGACGTGTGTGTGTGTGTGTGTGTGTGTGTGCGCGTGAGAGAGAGAGAGAGAGAGAGAGAGAGAGAGAGAGAGAGAGAGAGAGAATAATAATTAAAAAGAGGTCATGAATTTGAGAGAGAGTGGAGGAGGGACATAAGAGGATTGGTAGGGTAAGAAGGAGGAATGAACTGATGTAAATACAGTATTGATGTATGAAATTATAAAATGTGTGTATACATGTGTATATATGGATATAAAAGAATAATGCTGGCCACATAGCACATTTGAGGTCAGAAAAGAAAAAAGAAAGGAAGATAAGAAAAGACATTAACAGATTTTTTTTTTTAACGTAGGAAAATTCCTCTGGATATAAAGATCTGACTGAGAGTTTTGTGACAATTTTAAAGCAAGTGGTAGGAGGAAAGCTCCCACTTGAGTTTAGTTACCACAGTGTGCCAGCACCGTGGTTACAGATCCAGCTCTTGAGAATACTGGGACTGCTGGGAAAGGACGATCAAAGGTAGGCTCTCCAGGTCACACCATGACCACACCTCATCATAGCCTGCGCTTGCTCACGGAGAAGTTTCGTGAAAAACCAAAATTCCTAGCACTTACAGGCTTATGGTGGTAAATAAACCAGTGTAAGAGCAGAGTCCTTCAGGTTGCTGGGGCATTCCTAGCTTACCCACATTTTCCCCTTGTGGAGCAGAGCTGCTTGATCATTAGCATAGAGGGTGAACGGTAATATTTCACCCGTGTGAGTCATGTGCTGTCTGCTGCAGCTGCTCCACTCTGTTGTCATAGAGCTAAACAACTGTAGACAGCACATTTAATATGTTCCAGGAAAGGATTTTATAAACACTAAAGCCTAAATTTCAGATGGACTGTACATTTCTTTTGTTTTTGTTTTTTTAACACATAAAAACTATTCACATTTGCAGCCATGAATAGGAGTGAATATGACCAAAATAGATTATGTATACTATGAAAATTTCATGATAAAGCCCATTTTTATTAATAGGTGCTAATGAAAACATAGAAGTCACAAAAAGGAAAACAAAGTGAAATATTATCTGCTTTAGCAGATAAAGATAGAGATTGTCTCTTGGAAGCACCTGTGTGAAATTTAACTAAATTCAGACCTGCCTTTAGAGTTAGTTAGTTACCATCTTATAGGTAACACAGAGAGAGATGATGCTAAACTAACTATAAGATATAGACTGTAGAAAAATAGCAGGCGCGATTTCCATCAATTAGATGGAAGAGAAAACTAAGAAGTGAGACTATACAGATTAGAGAACTTTAGAAGAGATAGCCAAATACAGTGTGTGGGTCCTGGGCTGGCAAGATGGCTGAGAAGGTAAAGGTGCTCCCCACCAAGCCTGAAACCTGGGATGACTCTTACAGTGTTCTCCGACCTACACAAGGGACCACAGTCTGTTGAGCACTCACATGTACACACGCATGAATATATACACACAAAACTAGTAAATACATATAAATAAAAAGGAATAAGTCTTATTTGGATTCTGATTTTCAAGGAAATTGTGATGTAACTGATAATTCAAGTATAAATTGGACATAAAATATTAAAGAATTGTGACAGTACATATATATATATATATATGTCATCTCTCTAGTCCAAAACCCTAATTTCTTAATATTGAAAATAAAACTAAACAAACAACAGCTGTCTGATTGTCTCAGACCTATAGCTGTCCTTTGCCAAGTCTTGATCCACTTGGAGATAGAGGTGTGTGTGTAGGTACAAATTTTGTCATGCTTTTTGAAATAGACTTTTTTTAAGTTCCGAGAATTGTACATGTCATAGTTAGGGTTTCTATTGCTGTGATGAAACACTGTGACCAAAAGCAACTTGTGGGGGGAAAGGGTTAATTTTGTTCACAGTTCCATATAGCAGTTCATCATCAAAAGCAGCAAGCTTGGGAACTCACTCACACAGGGCAGGAACCCGGAAGCAGAAGCTGATGCAGAGGTCATGGAGGAGTACCACTTGCTGGCTCACTCCTCATTGCAGATCTGCGTAAGAGTGATCGCTAATAACCTTGTGGTACAGTCAACAACAATAGTGCAGACCTCTTCAGTTTAGCCTCAGGCAGGTTCTTTTATTTTTTCATTTATTTTGTTTGTTGGTTGGTTGGTCTTTCAAGACAGGGTTTCTCTGTAGCTTTTGGAGCCTGACCTGAAACTCATTTCGTACACCAGGCTGGCCTCAAGCTCACAGAGATCCGCCTGTCTCTGCCTCCCAAGTGCTGGGATTAAAAGCATGCGCCACCACTGCCCAACTCAGACAGATCCTTAAGACAAGGGCAGAAATCAGCAACATTCTTTGACAGAATATCAAAAGCATGATCTCTAATACAGTTGCTAATATTGGTCTCATCTGAACCCTCTTGAGCTAGGCCTCCACAGTCCACATTGCTTTCGGCACCACTGTGTTTCAGTTCCTAAGATGGTCCCTTAAGCCCCACTATAACATTCAGTAGTTTCTTAGTCCAACTCTTCCACATTTCTTTTTTTTTTAAATATTTATTTATTTATTTATTATGTGTACAATAGTCTATCTGTATGTATGTTTGTAGGCCAGAAGAGGGCACCAGACCTCATTACAGATGGTTGTGAGCCACCATGTGGTTGCTGGGGATTGAACTCATGACCTTTGGAAGAGCAGGCAATGCTCTTAACCACTGAGCCATCTCTCCAGCCCCTCTTCCACATTTCTACAAACAAAACAAACAGAAAAACCCCAGCATAGTCAGGTCCGCCACAGCAATAGTTCACTCCCTGGAACCACTTTCAGTCCTAGTTACTTTTCTGTTGTCGTGACAGAACACCGCGACAAAGGCAACTCATAAATGAAAACATTTAATTTGGGGACTCTCAGAGGATAGCGGAGTCCATGACCATCATAGCAAGGACCATGGGAGCAGACAGGCAGGTAGTCACGGCACTGGGGAAGTAGCTGAGACCTCACATCTGATTCACAAACATGAGGCAGAAAGAGGGGGCTACTGGGAATAGCATGGGCTTTTGGAAACACCTTCTCCAACAAGGCCTTATAATCCTTCCAAACAGTTGTCCCCAAACAACTGGGGACCAAATATTCAAATATATGAGCCCTTGGTGGCTGTTCTCATTCAAACCACCACAGTACAAGAAGTTCCTATTCCTACATTATTTATTTACATATATCTTAGAATTCTTGGTTTTTATACTTAGTCTCATGGATTCCAGGCTGTCTCAGGCTCACTTGTAGCTAAGGATGACCTTGAACTTCTGATCCTCCTGCTTCCACCCTGGACTACCAACAGGCTCTTCTGTGCCCAGTTTACATACAATTACTGCTTTTAAAGTGTTTTCTGAAGTATTTGAGAGCAAGTCTTAACTACATTTAGTTTCTTTGAGAGCAAGGCTCTTTCTGTCCTAAGAAAATATTTGTTAATCAGTGTTCTGGCATTAATGTTAAACATTGGGTTCATCTGTGTTCTAGTTCTTAGCCTTCCAAAGGGACCATCCTTCAGTCTGTTGCTTTACCTCAGAATTCACCTCTCTTGAGTCCTCACCAGTTCTAACTGAGCTTATTATATATATATATATGTATGTATGTATCTATGTATGTATGTATATATATATATATATATATATAATATTCTGCCCTATTATATCATGGAGCTCTAGTTCAAGGTTATTGGAATTCTGCCTGAAAATTAGTAATTTCGTGGTATCGTATTATATAAACCTTACTGGTCTAGAAAAGGGCTTAATGTGTTGTCAGGATTAACTTCGGGAACACTTAGCAAATTTTATGTACTAATTTTGTTGTCATTACCTTCTTTGTGGATGAATTTGGAGATTATATGCAAAGATGAATAAGAGCCAGGCAGTGGTGGCACACATGTATGATCCCAGCACTTGCCAAAGGCAGGTAGATCTCTGTGGGTTCAAGGCTCGCCTACTCTTCAGAGCAAGTTCCAGGACAACCAGGGCTACACGGAGAAACCCTGTCTTAAAAAACAAAACAAAACAAAACAAAATAAAAAAGATGAGTAAGATACTCTTTACCTCAGATAGTTCAGCCAAATGGTAGCTAGGCTCAGTTAAACAAATTTATAGAGTCTAACTCCTGTGCTGTGGAAAATTAGAATATTCATTTTCTTTTTTGAACCAACTATAATGACATTCTATGTTAATAAATCTTAGAGTTCATGGGACTGAAGAGATTGCTTACAGGTTAAGAACACTTGTTGCTCTTCCAGAAGCCTCGAATTCAATTACCCTTGTGGCAGCTCACAGCCATCTGTAACTCCAGCACCCTCTTCTGGCCTCCATAGGCAACAGGCATGCACGTGGAACACAGACATACAAGAAATATAAACATCCATACACATAAAATAAAAATGAATTTTTAAATATAATTCATACAATACTATTATTAGCTCAATGCAGTGAAGTAAAAATGTTACTTCCTAACATGATTATAAAGTATTTAATTTAAAATTTTTCTTAGGAAAGTGTTTTATATCTATTATTTGAATAGTTTCTTGTGTTTTCTAGCATTGTACAACTCAGGTTATTAATATTTAGCTCAACCTTGTCCATAATTGTTTCCATTTTTATGAGGTTTTTGCCTCTTTGACAAGACCTTGGCTTGTAAAATTGAGAAACTATACTATAATCTAGGGACCGTATTGTTGAACTTTGTAGAGGGATTCCTGCTGTAGAGGAAGAAATACACAATAACAAGTAAATTTTAGAATGTCATTCTGGATTCTCAATGAATATTTATACTCTATCTAGACAAAATGAAAACACATAGACTTCCCATTGTCTTTTCTAACTGTATCTCTGAAAGAAGAGAAAATTGCTGAAGGAGACGGTGCTGTCCGTGGCTCCAGATCATTTCCATTCTTGTTGTCTGTGTCGTAATGTGCTTTTTCTGCAAGACCACTGTGCATGAACTTGGTTGTTGCTTAGCATGTTTTTCATTCTATTTTTTAATTTTTAAAGCATATAAAAGTTACCAGCTGAGGGGCTGGAGAGATGGCTCAGTGGTTAAGAGCATTGCCTGCTCTTCTAAAGGTTCTGAGTTCAATTCCCAGCAACCACAGGTGGCTCACAACCATCTATAATGAGGTCTGGTGCCTTCTTCTGGCCTGCAGGTGTACATGTAGACAGAATATTGAATACTAAATAAATAAATAAATAATAATATATAATATAAGTATATTATGATTTAGAGAAAATTACCAGCTGAGAAGCATTAGTTCTTGTGTTAGCCTCTTGGGGGCAGAGTGCTAGGGCTGCAGAAACGCTGTGTTTTAAAAACATTGTTGTTGGATTTTTAAGAGTATCTACTTCAATCCAGTTAACTGTCACTATAGTCAAAGACCATAAAAACATAAGTGGTTTATTTTTGTTTTATTATTTTATTTATTTATTAGTTTTTTGAGACAGGGTTTCTCTGTGTAACAGCTCTGGCTGTTCTGGAACTCACTTTGGAGACCAGACTGATCTTGAACTCATAGAGATCCTCCTGCCTCTGCCTCCTGAGTGTGCCACCACTGCCTGGAAAGTGGTTTATTTTTAATAAAGGGTGGAAATTAAAAATTTGTTCCTAAGGAACCTAGTTACTCTTCAGGAAAAGACCAGAATTTGAATATTTTTCTCACAACAAACAAGTTGATATTTTCTGAAATAATCTGGATAAGTAGAATATTTTTTGGTTGTGAGCCTAGTCTTTAATGGCAAGGCCATCTTCACAGCCCAAGGATATATGAAACATTAATATTGTAGCAAAAAGCAGAAATATTTTGTTATTAATAAAATTATAAGAGGGCATGCATGATCAAATAAGAAGCTGGTTCGTAAACTAGGACCAGATTAGGGCAGTATTGGCTGATCTCTGTGTATGTCTTCATTGGCTAAGTTAGTCACTTTAGTAAAGAAGGAAGTTTTTCTCATGAAAAGACCAAATGAGTTCTTTTGATGTGAAATTTGTATACCTTTACTGTAAAATAAATTCTTTTCGCTTGTCTTCTGTAGATCCTCATTTTTAAAGAGAGAGAAGTTTGAAAATCTATTTTGTTGGGTTAGAATGCTATAATTCTCCTGCAAATAAAATATCTCTTAAACAGGACAAGTGAATTAATGTATGATGTTCTTGATGAATCCTTACGAAGAGCCGAGTTAAATCACAATGTCACTTATGGTAGGTAAAATATGAATGTGTTTTCCTAATGGCCGGTAGTGCTTTTCAGTGTTGGAGCTAAGTCTGCTTTACAATAATATACAGTCCAATGAAATTTTATGCATTAATTCTAAAATGCTTCTCTGTGTTAATGTAAGCCCTGAAAATAATAGTAATTTGAAATTGTGGCTTTTGTATGTGTGAGTATAGATATGCAAGTATGTGTATGTACACCTGCATCTGTGTGCACATTTGTGTGGAGGCCAGAGGGCAGTGTTGGGTGTCGCTGTGACTACAGATGTGTGTGTGGGGGGGGGGGGGGGGGTAACCACATGTGGAATGTGAGACCAGGAAGCAGTGTTGGCGGTGCTCCTTAGAGCTGTCCGTCTTACTTCCTGAGACAGGGTCTTGCACTAGGACCTGGGCTTGCTGATTAGGCAAGGCTGGCTGGCCAGCGTGGTCCAGGTATTTTTCTCTCTGCCCCCCAGCACTGGGACTGCAAGCATGTGTCACTATGTCCGGCTTTTCTGTTGGTTCTAGGGAACTAACAGAGGTCCTCATGTTTGTTCCTCATGCTTGCTTGAAAGGCGCTTTACCAACTGAGCTCTCTTTTCAGCTGCGAAATCGTGACATCCTCTAAATATGTGCTTAAATTCCTTTTTATAATTTAATTTCTACCTGGTGTTTAGGTTAGGGTTTAGATTGTTATAGAAAAGTAAACAAAGTATAATGCTTTATTATTATTAATGGCCTGTGTGTTCATGATCTATGTGTGTAGGTTTACATGTAGAATCAGGGCACAGTTTTCTCTCCATCTACTTTTCTGTGTGCTCCAGGAATTGGACTCAGGTTGCCAGGATTTTGTGGCAAATGCCTTTGCCCATTAGCTATCTCTCTGGTCTTGATACATTTTTAAGCTTAGAAACCTGCAGACGCACCTTTTATTTTAAGCACTGCCAAGAAGGGACTGACATAGAGGCTGCTCTTTCAGTTAGAAGCGTATACTCAGATTTGTGTAGTGTTGGAGAACTCTAGGTGGGAAAATAATTTTAAAAACCTGCCAAATAGAGAAGCTGTAGCTCAGTTGATAGAGGGCCTGATGTGCTGTGGAGTTCTGCGTGTAGTGTGAGCACTGCCTGTAATCCCAGCATGTGGGAGGGGAGACCCTGTGCTACTCAAAAAATTAATCAAATTGGTTTTCAACTTAGTTATGCCTAAGTACAGATTTTGAAGTACTAATATTTCCTATGCTAGTATCCCAGTAATCTCATAAGCATCTATACAAAGTTTAGAATTTAGATGGATGATTTCAAGTTTTTTGTTTGTAAAACAAATTTGATACCAGAAGAGTTCTGAATGACAAGAAAAAAATATCAGTTATAATAGGAAAACAGAATACCATCGTTTTAAATATTACTTAGGACTGTTGTAAAAGTTCAAGGTTCAACTAGGTTGTTTGTTTTAAGACAGGGTTTCTCTGTAGCTTTGATGCCTGTTCTGGAACTTTAGCTCTGTAGACCAGGCTGGCCTTGAACTCACAGAGATCTGCCTGTCTCTGCCTCCCAAGTGCTGGAATTAAAGGCATGCGCCACCACTGCCAGCATGTTTTTATTTTTAAAGATTTATTTATTTATTATGTGTATGTTGTTCTGCCTGCATGCATGCCCACAGGCCAGAAGAGGACCCCAGATCTCATTACAGATGGTCATGTGGTTGCTGGGAATTGAACTCAGGCCCTCTGCAGGAACCGGCAATGCTCTTAGTTAACAGCATCTCTCCAGCCCCATTTTTTTCCCAAATAGCACTCATGATATTAAATATCTTATATTTTTCAAGTCACATAGATTTCTTCTTTTTTTTTAAACAAAATCTCACAGAGCCTGTGTTAGCCTCAAATCACAACATAGCTGATGGTGGCTTGAACTCTTGATACTCCTGCCTCTACCTTAGTGCTGGGATTATAAGCATGTTACCATGCCAGGCTTCACATGGGTTTCTATTGCATGTTCTCCTTTTTAAAAATTCCTTAATTTCCTCTTATTATCCATGTGTGGGTGCCCACAGAAATGCTTACGTTCCATATCTTGCCTGTGGAAGCCAGAGACAACTTAGGGTGTGTTCTCCTCTCCCACATGTGGGTCCTGGGATCAAATTCAGGTCACCAGCTTGTGTGGCAGGCGCTTTACCCACTGAGCCATTCCACCCCCTCTCTCTCCCTTTTTGTAAAATATAAAAATAATTCTTAGTGCATAGGCTTACAAAAGTAGGTTCAGGATGGTTCTGGTGGTTTGCCCATTTTAGTACCTATCTGAATATATAGTCTGTGTTTTTAGGTTCACTTACTGTATAGTATTTAGATTAAAAATCAGCTCCCTTCTTGAATAGGAATTCAGATTCTGATTTATTTTCCTCAGCGATGGAAGGTGTTGTATGAAATCTTTTCCTGCAGAATATTTGTGCATTAATTGATGTGCGACATCTAGTGTGAGGTCCTGCTGGTTGTATGTTGAACATCTTAGAAGCATACATGATGGAGTCGTGTGGTTGCTGCAGCCTGGGCTGTGGGAATGGAGTGATTCTGTTGGCACTGATGTTCTTTACTTTGTACTTGTTTATATCTGCTGATTCTGTGCTCTACTGTGTCTCACTTTTTTGTTGTTGTTGTTTTGTCTTCTTTTATTTGTTTTTGTTTTGAGATAGAGTTTTCCTGGTTGGCCTGGAAGTCACAATGTAGTCATGCTGGCCTTTCTCTTTCAGCGTTCCTCCTGTCTAGGCCTCCTGGATGCTGGAATTACCGGCATGCATTACCTCAGTTTTGCTTTATGTCTTCTTTCAGATGCTAGGATTGCACAGGCCTTATAATACTTAATGATGTCTTAATAATTCTCTTTCTTTTTGGATATGTGTGTATTGGTATATCCATGTGTATGGTATATTTGTGTGTGTGCACCTGTGTGTGTTCTTTCTTGTGCAAGTGTAGAGGTCAGAGGTTGACTTCTCGTGTCTTCCTGTCATCCTTCACCTTATTTTTTTCCATTTAAGACTTATTTTATTTTTAATCATGTGTGTTTGTGTATATGTGTGAGTTTGTGCATGTGAGTGCATGTTCCTTCAGAGGCCAGAAGAGAACATCAGACTACCCTGGAGCTGAGATCCACCCATTGTAGGTGCTGGGAACTGAACTCTGGTCCTCTGCAAGGGCAGCAAGCATCTTCCCAGCCCACTTCTTTACCTTTGTCTTTGAGACCAGGTCTCTTTATTGATCCTGGTTAGACTGGCTGATCCCCACCCTCTTCCCTCAGTGCTGGAGTTATAGACCTGCACTACCATGCTCTCTTTTCTGTGGGTCCTGGGGATCCGAACCAGCCAGCGCTTCACCCACTGAGCTGCCACCTCGGCCAAATGCGTCAGCTCATGGGCTTTAAATGAGTTTGAAAGAATTTGTGTTCTCTTTAATCATCGTAGTTATTCTTTTGGTTTTATCAGAAAATTAAATTGAACATTTTCAAGATATACAATAGCCTCTTTTATATATTAGAGATTACTTTTAAAGAAGTAGCCTGAAGAGTCTTAAATAGTGGCCTCTCCCTTTGAAATACATGGCTGTGCATACTAAGGTGGTTATTGTATATGTGGTAGAAACTACTTGAAGGTTATTTTAAAGTATTCAAGGAGTGTTGGGAAGATGTATGTAGAAATGATGAATGTATTTTTTAGTGTGTGTGTTAGACTGTAGGCCTCTGAAGGGGAGGGGTTTTATCTGTTTTATTCACTGTTGTATCCATAGTGTTAAAAGCATTTCTGGGTGTTCAGTATATACTTGTTGTATTAAAGAATACATAATTATTTTTTTACTGGTGATGAAATTTTCTTTGAGTTGTACTATATTAACTTAATCCAGATAACTGTATAAGCATGAAAATAAAGATTGTTTCTCCAGAAATTTTTTATAAATAAGATTTTAGACTAAAGTATATCCTCCAGTTAATTTCAAGTTCTACACAAAATTGTTCTTCTGTTGTACTTAAATATATCTGTCATTTTTTATTTTCTTTCCTTAGCTATTCTGTTTGAATGTGTACACACAATCTATTCTATTTATCCTAAGTCAGAATTACTTGAGAAGGCTGCCAAGTGCATTGGAAAATTTGTTCTGTCACCTAAAATAAACCTCAAATATTTAGGTAAGGTGATTGGTTCTTATGGTGGAAATTGGCGAGAGAGCTTTTGAGACTTGTTGGGTACGTATTTCAGGTCGTTGAACTGTGATGTGATCTTTATTTCTAGGACTGAAGGCTCTTACCTATGTTATCCAGCAGGATCCTTCTCTGGCTCTTCAGCACCAGATAACCATAATTGAATGCCTAGACCACCCTGATCCCATTATTAAAAGAGAGGTAAATTAGGGCTGAAGAGAGAATGACTCAGCAGTTAAGAGTGCTTGCTACTCTTCCAGAGGACCCTCCAATGGCAGAGGGATCCGATGCCCTCTCCTGGTTCCTAGGCACCTGCACACATGTGGCACACATTCACACAGACACAGATCCACAGAAATAAAAATTAAATCTCTTTTTTAAAAAGAGAGAGGTAAAATTTTTGAATAGTGTATTAAGGTGGTAAGTTTTTTGATCTTCAGAGAGATTCAAATGATGGCCAGTGTGTGTGTATGTGTGTGTCTGTATGTGAGTATATTTTAAGTCTTATATATATTTTATTCTTTCTATTTTCAAAATCTCATTTTTGTTCTTTGACAGTCTGGTATGTATAATGCATGTTCTTCATTTTCACCTCCTGTTACCCTCTCTTACCCCATTCAGCTGCAACCCTTCTCCTCCCATTGTGTCTGTGTGCGAGTGTTCAGAGTTGCTTTCATGCGTTGGGGTGGCTCATCGCTGATGAAAGATGATACCCCTTCTCCAGCGCTGTTAACTTCAAGTGTCCCTCATGGAAAGCTGTTAGTTTTCTACAAAGTACTACTAAATGGGATGTTTGTCTTGTGAGACAGAGTCTTGCTGTGTAGCACAGGCTAGACTCAAACTCGTGAGGTCCCCATCTCAGTCACCCAAACGCTAGGATTGTAAGTGTGTCACCATAGCCAGCCCACAGGAATGTTCTTAATTTACGAGTGGAAAGCTTGGGTCCTGTTGTAATATGATACGTTTTACTCTTTTTGCTCTTTTTGGTTTTTTTTTGGGGGGGGGGGCTGCCACCAACTCCCAAATAAATCACACACAGATGCGTATTCTTAGTTAGGAATGCCCAGCCTTAGTTTGTCTTGCTACTTGCCAGCATTTCTTAACTTTAATTATCCCACCTGCCTTTTGCCTTTGGGCTTTTTCCTTCTAAGTGCTACTTCTGTTTAGCTAACTTTCACTCTTACTCCCAGGCTGGCCAGCCGGCTGCCCCCGAAGTCCTCCCCTTGTTCTCTCTTGCTCCTTTTCCTCTTTGTTTCTCCTTTTGTTTATCCTCTCTGCCTGCTGGCCCCACCCATCCTTGCTCCTGCCTGGCTTTTGGCCATTCAGCTCTTTATTAGGATCATCAGGTGTTTTAGACAGAAAAGAATCACAGCTTCACAGAGTTAAACACACTCAGCATACCTTAAAATAATATTCCCCAACAGAGTCCAATTATGTATATGATGTTATTGATTTTTTATGTAAGTACTATGACAAAAGGAACTGAATTCTAGACCTGGATTCTTGCATTGGTATAAAATAAACATACCCCAGTTATATATAATATATAATTTGTGATGGCTATTAAATGAACTCATTCTTAAATAAGAGAATTGATAAAATTCTGTAGAACTATAAGATATTTGGACTTTATGGAAGAGAAGTTGTGCTTATGTGTCTAATATTGTTCTGACTTCTTCCTTTTATTAAACTGATCCAGGTCTCTTTATGTAGAATTCTTAGTTCATTCTCTTGTAGAGAAATCACTATATCTTCAGTTAAAGTGGTATATGGGCCTATTTAAGAAAAGTTAGAAGTTTATTTCCGATTTAAAACATAATGAGGATTTTTTTTTTCCAAGACAGGATTTCTTTGCATAACACCACTGGCTATCCTGGAACTTGCTTTGTAGACCAGGCTGGTCTTGGAACTCACAGAGGCACACCTCTGTCTCTCCCTAGTGCTGGGATTAAAGTCATATGCCACCATGCCCAGCTATTATAATGAGGATTTGTTTTGTTTTTTGTTTTTAGAGGCAGGGTTTCACTATGTAGCCATGGCTGTCCTGGAACTCACTCTGTAGACCAGGCTGGCCTCAAGCTCAGAGATCTACTTGCCTCTCCCTCCTGAGTGCTGGGATTAAAGGCGTGCGCCACCACCGCCCGACATATTTAATATTTTAAAACAGCTTAAAAATTAACAAGACTCCAAGGGCAGTAAAGACTAAGTACACATCCCATCTGCGTTATCAGATATACAGCATGATTTTTTGTGTTATTAATAGGGTTGTAGTTGGACAGAGTTCAACACAGTTTATTATTAACCTTTTGCATTATTTATCTATTCTTTTTTTCTTTTTTACTTTAGGCCTTCTTTTTTGGTTTTTCAAGACAGGGCTTCTCTGTAGCTTTGGAGCCTGTCCTGGAACTCGCTCCATATCCGCCTGTCTCTGCCTCCTGAGTACTGGGATTAAAGGCTTGTGCCACTACCGCCCGGCTATTTTAGGTTTCTTTTTAATAAAACAGTCCTGTGCCACAGCTCCAATATATGGCCCACATATCAGTCTTTCCTTAGAGGATCAGTCTCCTTACTGCGCCCCCTTTGGTCATGGTGTAGATTCGGAGGACCCTTCTCAGCTGCAGAAACAAAGCTGTCTCCCAGCCTTGTGGCACTCTCCCCTCCCCGTTTCCTCATTTCCCTTCATATACTTATCTTATTGGTCCCCTCTTCCCTCCCACTTTAGTTCAAGTTCATACTTTTTCCTTTTTTTAATTTTTGGTACTGGAGAATAGGGCCTAGCACCTCTCATATCTTAGGCAATTAAGTGCTTCACCACTGAGCTACAACCCCAGGAAAACTGGCGTTTATCACCCATTAGCTAACTATCCTGAAAGTCTCTACATAAACAGAACAGTTAGCTTATTCTATACACACTTATTGTACTTATTGGTGTTACTGTGTAGTTTTCTAATACTGTTTTTCTTTCTCTACTAGACTCTGGAACTTCTTTACAGAATTACCAATGCACAGAATGTGACAGTTATTGTACAGAAAATGCTTGAATATTTGCATCAGAGCAAAGAAGAGTATATCATCATCAACTTGGTTGGCAAAATAGCTGAGCTGGCCGAGAAATATCCTTTGCTTCAACTGGGACTCATACGTACCTTTATGCGCTGACTTGAAATGGTGGTACAAATGTGACCACTTGTGACTTGAGTTCAGGGACTGAACAATTACTTGAATTCCTGATTCTTAAGCTTCAGAAATTCGTATAGACTTCTTGAGGGTTGGCTTCTTTTTAGGTATCTGTTGGGATTTGTTAGATAGCTTCGACCTAGCAGTGGTCAGCTTTTGAACTGGTGACATAGGCATTAGAAAGCGGTGAAATACGTGCTCAGGTGAACACACAGTGTCAGCCTCTCTGGAGTACGTATGAATCTTCCATTTTTTTGCTTTGTCACAGATAGCTGGCTCATTTCTTCAAAGTATTCATGTTTGTTTATTGAATATCTGCTATATGTAAGCAGTGCTTGATAAAGTAATGTAAACTCAGTTTGTTCACTTGCTGAACACCCGTTCTATATATAGAACCGGACTGTAGAGCGCTTTGGGTAGAAGTTAGAGATAAAAGCTGCCACACTGTCATGGCTCGGAGTTCCTTTTAAAGGATGATTTCAGTGAGTGTCATGAGGAGGTGACTTGTTCTTAACACCGGACACATATGCTCCTGACAATGTGTGGTTTATTCAGACAATGAATGCTGTGTTTTCAGTGGGCGGAGATGTGATGCACCCTGATATCCTCAGTAACTTCCTGAGACTGCTAGCGGAAGGTTGGTAAAGAGTGTTTAATTGCATTTTATCACAGCCATTGGGAATTGAGGGAAACTAAACTGGGGTTCCAATTTCTTTGTAGGTTTTGATGATGAAACAGAAGATCAACAATTAAGAGTCTATGCAGTTCAGTCTTACCTTACTTTACTAGATATGGAAAATACTTTCTATCCACAGAGATTTCTTCAAGTTATGAGTTGGGTGAGCAAAGTCTATTACATACAAATTATTATAACAACATATTTCCTCCAGAAGTCATTCAGCTCTTCTCAGTTGTCCATTTTCTTTCCCAGTGTTTACTTTTTGAGTGTGTGTGTGTTTTGTTTTTTGAGACAGTTTTTCTGTAGCTTTGGAGCTTGTCCTGGAACTCGCAGAGGTCCACCTGTCTCTGCCTCCTGAGTGCTGGGATTAAAGATGTGTGCCGCCACTGCCTGGCCCAATGTTAACTTTTATATAGAAACTATTTGCCTATCCTTTCTTTGTACCATCTCACTGGTCTGGTCTTTGGTAAGGATGGTTTTGTTGTTCTTTTATTTTTGTTTTGCTTTGTTTGGGACATTATTATGTATCTCAGACTAGACTCAGACTTGCTGTGTAGCCACAGAAAGCCTTGAACTTCCTATTCTTTGGCTTCTACTTCCTAGGATTATGGGCATGTACCACCGTGCTTGGTTTTATGATTGCTGGCTATCAAACCGCAGCCTTCATGTATGCTAGGAAAATTAACTGAGCTATGTTACATTCCCAGATCCTCTGTGTATGGTTTACATATAACTGATATCAGTGATGTTTGGGTATAGTTAATGGGATAATAAGAGGAAACAATCTTCTCACAAATAAAAGTCCTTCAAAAATTAATTTTTTGAGATGGAATTTGGGTTACCTGCTCTACTGGAGCTTTCTGGCTTTTATTTACTAAAGCCTCTTGTAAAATTAACTGGTTTTTGTTGTTGTTAGTTATCTTCCTTTGGACTTTTTTAAAAACAGATTATCACTGTAGCCCTGGTTGGCCTGAGACTCACTGCTAGTTTGCCTGGAACTCATGTCAGTCCTACCGTCCGAGCCTCTCAGGTGGTAGGTTTATTATAGGCACTGACCCTGACTCCCCCCTCGCGCACTCTTTTCCTCCTGTTCCTAGCAGCTTTATCCTTGCGGTCACTTTTGAGCCCACCCTTCTTTTCCTTCTTTGCTGCTACTACTAGTATGCTAAAGACATTTACTCTGTAGTAAATGTCATCCAGGGAAGATTTTGTATTCCTTGAATTATATTTATAAGATCATTTTAGCATTAATAAAATGATTGTTAGAGCAGTCATGGATGTTGCTTGAGTAAGTTAGATGTAAAAAGAAGAAAAAGAAATATATGTAGCACGATCAATATTCTTTTTTGTTGTTGTTGTTTTTTGTTTTTTGACTTTTTTCAAGAAAGGGTTTCTTTGTGCAGCACCGACTGTCCTGACTTTGTAAACCAGGCTGACCTCGAACTCAGAGATCTACCTGCCTCCACCTCCCTAAGGCTAGGATTAAATGTATGTAAGACCATGCCCTGCACATGGTCCTTGTTCTTGATGTCAGTCCTGGGAACTGTCTTTGTTGGTGTCTGTCTAGATGTATGCTCTGAATCCTCTCCACAGTCACTAAATTACACTGTCTAATGATAAAAACTAGAAATCTGTGCTTTATAAGAGACCTTAAGGCATACTAGAAATCTGGATTTTGTAAAATCTTACTCTTGCTAACATATGAGACCTACCTGTTTAAATTCTTACTGGAAAATAAACCAACTTCTAACTGGAAGTTCAGAAGAATGCTAACCTATAAAGGCAATTTACTTTATGCATTGCTACTGATGAGTTCCAGTTCTTTTGTATTAAAGATACCATTCTTAATATAATCTACAATGTTTCTTTAATAATGTTCATCATAAAGTTATGTTTACTACAGATAGAAGTTGATTCCAACAGTAGGTCTGATGATGGACCTCTCTGAGTTGGTATTTACATGTACATCATTATGTTTACTCCAGGTGTTAGGAGAATATTCCTACCTCTTAGGTGAAGAAAGTGCAGAGGAAGTTATAACCAGGCTCTACAAGTTACTTATGAGTGACTCCATTTCTTCAGAAACAAAAGCCTGGTTGATTGCTGCAGTGACCAAGCTGACACCCCAAGCACATTCTTCTCATATAGTTGAGAAATTAATCCAAGAATTCACTGTGTCTTTGGATACTTGTCTAAGACAGCATGCATTTGAATTGAAGCATCTGCATGAAAATGTGGAACTTATGAAGACCTTGCTTCAAGATACTCAGAATTGTGAAGACACAGTGGTAAGAATCCTATGTTCTAGTCTGTTAAAATGGTTTCCTAAACAGAATAATTGTATGATATATAAGAAAATATAGTTTTTGTAGCGTGTATGATGAAGCTTGTAGTTTTTCTCATGTTGGCAGGAGAGAGTTAGAAAGTTTCCATGTAGACAGAAATTTCTGTTCCTCCTGGGCCCACAGCCATTCATCCCCAAAGAAACTCACAGGTTACATTAATTGTAAACTGTTTGGTATTAGCTCAGGTTTATTATTAACTAGCTCTTACCACTTAAATTAACCCATAATTCTTGTCTATGTTTATCCATGTGACTTGGTACCTTTTCTCAGTGAGGCATTCTCATCTTGCTTCCTCTGTATCTGACTGGTGCCTGACTCTGCCTTTCCTCTTCCCCGAATTCTCTTACTCTGGCCGCCCCACCTATACTTCTTGCCTGGCTACTGGCCAATCAGCATTTTATTAAACTAATATGAATGACAGATCTTTACACAGCAGTTTCATTTAGCACTTTTCTAAATAGGAGCAGGAGAGTGTCTCGTTTGTAGCTTCTGATAGTTTTGAGATTCAGGAAAGGCTGGGAAAAGCTGGAGAGGAGATGGTTCCTCGAATGTAGCAGGCTCTTTAGCCATGTGTGGGCTTAGCTTAGAAGTGAGGGTTCTGGAAGGTCACACAACATTTCCATCAAGTCAGTGTCTCCCGAATCTGAACAGTGAAATTCACATCTCATAGAAGGGAAAGACTCGGGTCGGAGTTTTACAGTGGGGTCATAGCGTTAAGGAAACTTTAGGAGGAAAAAGCAGACAGAGCTCCTGTGGTGCCAGAGCAGGGCCTTGGGACTGCGCTGATGCTGGGGTCATTGCCTAGCGTAGTAAGGCCTTAGTGCTTGAGACGTGGGGTTCGGTTTCTGGTCACACCACTCATAGCCTCCATGCAGTTGTAAAAGGAGAAGAAAATAAAAAGAAAGCAGATCAGGAACTCTCCATTCATCAGGATAGCTTCTCTGACATTTTGAGGAGACAGTCTTAAAGTGTACATTCTAATCTTCAGTCTTTCTACAGTATTCCCTGAGCCTTGGGTGCAGGAGTGCTGGGGACTAAAGGTGTCTGCCCCTACTGCCAACTGGGAACATATTCTTTTTATTTTTTTTAAGACAGGGTTCCTCTGTGTAGCCCTGGCTGTCCTGAACTAGCTCTGTAGACCAGGCTGGCCTTGAACTCACAGAGATCCACCTGCCTCTGCCTCCCTCGTGCTGGGATTAAAGGCGTGCGCCACCACTGCCCAGTGAGAACATTTTCTTAATTGAGGTTCCCTACTCTCATCTGACATGAGCCTGTGTCAAGTTGACATAAAACTATCTATCCAACACAAGGTCAGATACAACTTGAATCCTCTGGATACTGTGCCCAAAACATACAGTGTCTTCAGCAATAGCTGTTTACCGTCTACCTCTGGAAAGCACCAAGAGCAGTAGCCTGTATGTTTTGGGAGTCTCTTGGACAACCCTGATCAGCAACTCAAAAGAGATTCTCATGATGTTAAAGTTTTTCTGTGGCTCTTAGGGAAACCTTGTCAGCTCAGGTGGGGAATTTTGTTTACTATATATGTGTATGATATATGTTGGAGCAGAACATAGGATGTGCAGGTCGGGCTATGCCTAGAAGCTGAGTGTAGCTCAAATGAGCTGAGGTCAGGTGACCACAGGCTACTGCTGGGTTGGTGTACAGGATGTGGGTCCTAGTTCAAGCCTGGAACTTGGGATTGGATGTGGGGAAGGGAGGAGCAGGTGGACTCACCTGGCTAGCCACTGGAAAAGGGTGTGCAAGATATGACTGGGTGGAGAGTTTGGATGTGGCATGGGGAGGGGGCTGTAGGTTGTGATCAGGTAGGGCAGGTCCTAGCAGAAGTCTAGAGGTTGGTAGTGGCACAGAAAGGGTGGCCAAACTAGGTCGGGTACTGGATGTGGGACTTAGGATAGATCTGGGGGGTTATGGAGGGTACAGTCAGGCCAACTAGACCCCAGGAAAGGATCTCACCTAAAAAGTTTAAAAGGTACATGTGTCAAAGATATGATGGTACAGTCTAATCTTCTAAATACATGTTTTGGGTTTTTTTTTTTTTTTTATTTTAAATCCTGGGTTTTGCTTAACTTGATGCAGGTGGATGCTTCTTTATCTTTTCTGGATGGTTTTGTAGCTGAAGGTCTCAGTCAGGGGGCAGCACCTTACAAACCGCATCACCAGCGCCAAGAGGAACAGCTTTCTCAAGAAAAAGGTATATTTTCATCCCTTTATCATCAAATGGATTAGAGGGGCATGCTGTTTGTTTGGTTTGGGTTGGGTTTGTTGTTACTGAGACAGGCTGTGCTCACTATGTAGTACAGGCTGGTGGAGACCTCGAGGTCTTTTAGCTTTGGGCTCCCAGACAGTGGGCTACAGGTGTGTCCCAACATACCTGGCTCAGGGCGTAAATTTTAGAAACATGCAGTTGATACTATAGTCATGAAAGGAAGAGATTACAGATAGCTATACTTTCTGTGGTTTTTCATTAAGTCTGCTTTTTATCCTGACTAAGGTTTCAGACTCAGGGAAAGGTTAGCCTCAAAGTATATTTGCTCCTTTAAAGCTTTTGATTAAAATTTTAATTAAATTTATTTAAAGTAATTTTTAATTGATTAAAGCAGTACACAAAGTATTAGGTTTAATTATGGCATTTAAAAACAAATTTGTGTCTGTTGATTCTCCTACCACCCTCCACCCCCTTGGTTTTTTTACCCCCAGTAGCTTCCTTTCTGGTTTTGTGTGTTCTGTTATGGGCCTTCTTCTTCTGCATTTTTCCCTCTCATGGTCCCCTGTCTAATTACATATCCTAGAGTCACACATTCATACACGTGTATACATAACACCAAAGACGCCGTATCAGAGAGCTTGCACTATTTGTCTGGGTCATCTTGCATACTTTACAAATCTATCCATCTTTGTGCAAATATCCTAATTTCATTTGTTTTAGAACAGAGTAAAATGCACTACATTTACATTATCAGTTGGTCTATTGACAGATGTCCAGGCTGGTTCTCCTTGGTACGTGAATAGAGCAGCAATAATCGTGGGTGTACAAGTGTATCTGTAGTAGAATTTAAAGTCCTTTGAGTATATGCCCCAGAGCAGTAGAGTCAGGCCATCTGGTGGTTGGTTTTTTTTTTTTTTTTTTTTTTTTTGACTTTTTGACTGGTTTCCATAGTGGCGAACTAATTTTTAGTCCCACCTGCAGAGTCAGGGCCCTTGTCTTACCACATCCTCACCATCCTTCGACCTTGCTCATTTTCTGACTGGAGTGAGACTGAGTCTTGAAGTATTTTTAATTTACATTTCCCTGATGGCTAAGGATATTAGAGACTTTTTTTTTTGAGACAGAAACTGTTTATGTAGCCCTGTGTCTTAGTTAAGGTTCCTATTACTGTCAAGAGACACTAGATTTAGTCCATTATTATCATGGAGGATGACAAGTAGGCAGCCATGGTGCTGCAGAAGGAGCTGAGAGTTTTACCTCTTGATCATAGGCAACAGGAAGTCAACTGTGACACACTTCCTCCAACTAGGCCACACCTCCTACTAGTGCCACTTTCTTATGGGGGACAATTACATTCGAACTACCACACCCTGTATGGAATTCCCCATGTACAGGGGGACCTCAAGCTCCTGAGTGCTGGGATTAAAGGTATGAGCCGCCATGTCTAGGCAGGATGCTGGATATTTTAAAAGAATATTTCCTAGCCATTTGTGTTTTCTTCTTTTGAGAACTGCCTACTGCTTATTTGATTAGCACATTATTGACTGGCAGGGTTTTTTGTTTGATTAGTATTTTTGTCGTTGTTGCTTAATTTTTTTTCAGATCTTTATTGTTTTCTAGATATTAACCTCCTGTCTGAAGTATAGCTTCTAAAGATTTTCTCCACTTTGTAGACTGTCTATTCACTAAGCTGATAGTTTTGTGTGCTATGAAGAAACTTATTAATTTTATGTAATACTTTGTAAATTCTTGGGGCTGTTTCCTGTGCTATTTGATTCTTATTCAGAAAATCCACATCTTTAAGTATATTTATAGTCTCTAATCTAATTTCATCCTCCTGCAGGTGGTATCTATTTTGCCAGCACCATTTGTTGACAAGGCTGTTGAGTTTTTGCATGCATGTTTCTTAACACCTTTGTCTAAACTACATGACCATACCTAAGTGGTTTGTTTCTGGGCTCTCTGTTCTGTTCCACCGCGTCCCATGCTGTTGTCGTCACTGTGGCTGCAGAGTAAAATTTGGGGTCAGCTATTATGATAACTCCAGTGGTGTTCTTTCTCCTTAAGATTGCTTTGGATATTAATGATCTTTTATGTTTCTATATGACTTTTTGAATTGTCTCTTCTAGTTTTGGGAAGAATGTCATTGAAATTTTGATGAAAGTTGAATTGAACTCTCTAGGGGTTTTTTTTGTAGTATATAGCCATCTTAAAATTTTTTAAAGATTTATTTATTTTATTTTTGCATACATATATGTATGGTATATATGCCTAGCACCTTCATAGGCCAAAAGAGGGCATCATATCCCCTGGAACTGGAATTACAAACGTGAGTCACCATACTAGGAACTGAACCCAGGTCCTCTGCAAGAGCAACAAATACTCATAACCACGGAGCCAGCTCTCCAGATCTTACACGTCTGTTTGGGTGATGATGGCAGATTCTACCCTGCCACCCTTGTCTCGCTCTCTTAATAGTTTTAGTTTTACTGGTGATCACAGCTTTGCACACTCTGTGTGACACTTGTTGCATTCCCCTTGTGTCTAAAGAGGTAGATTTGACAGGTAGGTTGATCTAATTGCTTTTTTGTTTTGTTTTTGTTTTGTTTTGTTTTGTTTTGAGACAGGGTTTCTCTGTGGTTTTGGAGCCTGTCCTGGAACTAGCTCTGTAGACCAGGCTGGTCTCGAACTCACAGAGATCCGCCTGCCTCTGCCCCCCAAGTGCTGGGATTAAAGGCGTGTGCCACCACCATCCAGCCTACTTGCCTTTTCTAATTGGATTCTTTTTAACTTTTTAGAAGAGATTAAAAAAAAAAAAAGGGTAGTTTGTCTCTGATTACCCTAGTGTGTGTGTGGATTGCGTTTGGGTGGGCTACTCAGTCTAGGGGTTGTAACCCACCCCGCAATCAAGTTATTCCAGGGTCTCGGAGGGGCGCTACCTGGAAGNGGATCTCGCAGGCCGCGTGGTTCCGGTCACGTAGCTCGGTTACATTCAGACAGACAGGCCAGAAGTCACAAGTGGCCACACCTGGTTCCCTGGATAGCTGGAATGTGAGGCGGGTTCCGCTAAGATTAGCAGTTAATTGGGTGAGGGGCAGGTTTTGTCAATAGAACATAACTATGGGTGTGAGGTTCTCTGCAGACTCCCTAGAGTGATGGTCTCTGTAATGATTGTTAGGGGGGAAATGGCTCCTGACATGTGTCAGTTCCAGCTGCTTTACTCTTACTGAACATGTCTGAAAAATTGTCTCTGGATTCCAGCCTTTTAATTGTTTCAATAGTGAATAGAATCTCATAAGTTTCATTCTTATGCTTTGTCTTAAATAAGAACCTCTGTTACTGTTTTAAATTATAGTTCTCAATTTTGAACCATATGGACTATCATTTTCATCATCTGGCTTCACTGGACGACAGTCACCTGCTGGCATTTCTCTGGGCTCAGATATATCTGGAAATAGTGCTGAAACGGGACTGAAAGAGTAAGTTTCTTCTTGAAGTTGAGAATTTGGTGAGCCCATCTGCTCTGCTTTCTGCTTGTGTCCTCAATATTATTATTTACAGCCAGGCAGTGGTGGCACATGCCTTGAATCCCAGCACTCAGAAACCAGAGTCAGGCGGATCCCCGTGAGTTCAAGTTCAGACTGGTCTACAAGAGCTAGTTCCAGGATGGGCTCCAAAACTACAGAGAAACCCTGTCTTGAAAAAACAAACAAACAGGGGCTGGAGAGATGGCTCAGTGGTTAAAAGCACTGGCTGCTCTTCCAGAGGACTCGGGTTCAATTCCCAGCACCCACATGGCAGCTCACAACTGTCTGAAGATCCAGTTGCAGGGGATCTGACACCTTCACACCAATGCGTTTAAAATAAAGTTAAATAGACCATAAAAAATATAGAAAAACAAACAAACAAAGGTTATTTTAGGGTGACTTACAAGTTTTCATTTTCAAATAATGCAAAAGAAGAGACATATTTCTGACTATGTGTTTAATATCATTGAAAAGCTCCTAAGAGCTATAGTCTATGTGAGATTTTGTTTTGCTTGCTCTATTGATTGGTTTCAAAATTCTGATGTTATGGGGCTGGAGAGATAGCTCAGAGGTTAAGAGCACTGACTGCTCTTCCAGAGGTCCTGAGTTCAATTCCCAGCAACCACATGGTGGCTTACAGCCATCTATAATGAGACCTGGCGCCCCCTTCTGGCTTGTAGGCACACATGGAAGGAATGCTATACACATAATATAATAAGTAAATAAGTAAATAAATAAATAAATAAATAAATAAATATTTTTTTTAAAAAAAATTCTGATGTTATATGTCTTGGACTTAAAGAACTTATCCGCCTTCTAAGACAACAAAAACCTTGTATAATATTCACACATGAGGTCTAGAGAGGTGGCCCAGCACTTTAGAGCCTGGATTGCTCTTGCAGAGGATCAGTTCCCAGCACCACAATGGGCAGCTCACAACTGTCTGTAACTCTAACTCCGGGGAATCCGATGCTCTTTTGACCTCTGTAGGCAACCACATGTATGTACTCATACACATACACATTAAGTAAAAATAACAGACCTGTACATAATGCATATTATTTTCATATTATAAAATTTGAAGCATATTGGAACTTATATATTAGATAAGAATTAAGCATATTTTTCATTCCTTATAATTTGTCATGCATCTGGAAAATATTTTTTGTAGTAGAAGAATAACAGATACAGAGACGAACATGAAATGACTGACTGCCTTTGTCTAAGGAAGCTCTGTTCTTTGCTCAGAATACTTTCAGAAGCTCTGGGGAGAGAACTTAGCACTTGCTGTACAAGCATGAGGACCTGAGTTCAAATCCCAGCACTGTATGAAAAACTGGAGTGGCTGAATGTACCTATAACCCCTGCATTGGGTGGCGAAGACAGACAGATTGTAGGAGCTTGCTGCTTAGCCAACCTAACCAAAAGGACAGGTTCCAATTTAGTTACTGTCATAGAGAACAAAGTTAGAAGTAGTAGATGAAGGGAACTAGAGAGATGGGTCAGTGACTAAGAGCACTGGCTGCTCTTCCAGAAGACCTGGGTTCAATTCCCAACATCCACATGGCAGCTTACAACTGTTTGTAGCTCCAGTGCCTGTCGGAGCCCGTTTGGGTCCAACACAAACTTTCTAACTTGGCTGGAACGGAGTCGCGAGGAATAATCAGACACAACTTACACGGTCATCTTGGAAAAGGCCAGAATCCCCGTTTATTGTCCCAAAAAAGTAAGTCATTGTAATTTTATTTATTTATTTATTTACCTATTTTGTATACAATATTCTGTCTGCGTGTATGCCTGCAAGCCAGAAGAGTCACCAGACCTCATTACAGATGGTTGTGAGCCACCATGTGGTTGCTAGGAATTGAACTCCAGGATCTTTGAAAGAGCAGGCAATGCTCTTAACTGCTGAGCCATATCCCCAGCCCCTGTAATTTTTTTTAGATAGTGATAGATGAAGATATTTGACTTTTCCTCTGGCCTCTGCATGCATCCAGATGAGGACACACTCTAACACTGATGTGCACGACCCCCACCAAATGTTTAATTTTTATGATCTAGTTATTTTCAGAAGCATATTGAAATCAATAAAGTGAGATAGTGTAATGAAGGGTATAATGCAACCCAGTACACACTAATTGCTACTACAATTAATTACCATCATCGTTCTCATGCTAAATTTACCAAGTAAAATTAGTCTACTGATATGATGCTAAGTAATGAAATGCTTTCTTCTTTGTCAGTGAACTTCATTTAAAAGAAGTCAAGGTCTAATGGGGGATACAGCTCATTGGTGGTATGCTCGTCTGGAATGCATGAGAGTATATCAGTGGAATAATACAGTTATGATAATGAAAATGCTTTCTTCTTTGTCAGTGAACTTCATTTAAAAGAAGTCAAGGTCTAATGGGGGATACAGCTCATTGGTGGTATGCTCGTCTGGAATGCATGAGAGTATATCAGTGGAATAATACAGTTATGATAATGAAGAATGGTGTGGTGCATAAAATGGCAGGGGTTCTTTCCCTCCCTGGTCTAACATCCTTAATTTCTTTTCCTAGACATTTAACTTTGGCATTCTAGGTGTGGTTTGTGGGTCTGTAATGGTAGAGGTGATGGCTGTTAAGTATCTCAACCAGAACAATGCAACAAGTAAACAGGTCACACATTATTTCAGGTCAGGAAATTGTTGGTAACTGGCAAGCTGAATGTTGAAGTTAAGATAACAACTAGACTAGTAAAAGTGAGTCACTTTTAAAAATATACAGTTCTGCGGAAAGGGAGTGCCAGCATGGGAAAGGCAAGAATGACTGGTGACACTGATTTGGCCCAAGATAGTGGTTTGGTTTTTTTGTTTTATTGGTTTTTTTTTTTTTTTCTAAAGATAGTGGTTTTTTTTTAAAGATTTATTTATTTATTATGTATACAACATTTTGCCTCCATGTATGCCCACACGCTAGAGGAGGGCGCCAGATCTCATTACAGATGGTTGTGAGCCACCATGTGGTTGCTGGGAATTGAACTCAGGACCTCTGGAAGAGCAGAAGGTGCTCTAAACCACTGAGCCATCTCTCCAGCCCAAGATAGTGGTTTTTAAAGTCCCAAATGTTAAGAGCACTGGCTACTCTTCCCAGCACCCACATGGAAGCTCACATCCATCTCTGGGGTCCAATGTCCTCTTCTGGTGTGCAGATGTACATGCAGGCAAAGCGTCCATATACATAAATAAATAAACCTTTTTTAAAAATGTATAGTCCTGATTGAGAGAAATTCCTGTCTTTACACAGGCTGAAACTTGCCCCTTCTCAAGTTCCCCATCTCATTGGTTTAGGGCACAAAGCCTAGTGTAATAAATTTGGGGTTTGAGACTCCTTTCTTTCTCTGCCAATGGGCTCAGTCACACAGCCTGGACTTTGTACCTCTGAGACAAGCAGGCACCGCTGCCAGTTAGGGGAGATGAGTTCTGACGCCTTCTGCTGCTCTGTAACTAAGTGCTAGGCGCATCTTACACTGAAAACCACCATAACAATCGACTCTTACAGTTGTTATGAATCAGCTTTCACAGTGAGACAGTTGCTCCTCTCTCTCTCTCCCTCTCTCCCCCTCTCCCCCTCTCCCTCTCTCCCTCCCTCCCTCCCTCCCTCCCTCCCTGCCATTCCCTGAGCAGGAGAAAGTTGGGTGAGAGCAGAAGGGGCATTTGTTTCTCTCTGCTCCTGACTGTGGGTAAGGCTGACCAGCTGTCTCGAGTTCTGTTGCTGCAATTATGAGCTGTAACTTGAAATTGTATGCCAGATAAAGTCCTGCCTCCTATTGGCCAGAATATTTTCTCACGACAACAGAAAGGCAAACGGAACAGTATTTCCCTAAAAACTGTGAGAAGCTGGGCAGTGGTGGCGCACACCTTCAATCCCAGCACTCCGGAGGCAGAGACAGGCAGAGGCAGGCAGATCTCTGTGAGTTCAAGGCCAGCTTGATCTACAGAGTGAGTTCCAGGACTACACAGAGAAACCCTGTCTCAAAAAACAAAATAAAACAAAACAAAACAAAAAAAAGAGAAACAAATCACTCCTTGTATTCTTTATTAGAATCATTTTTTTCATTTCAGCCATGCACTGCTTAACAGTATTACCTCTTTACAAAATATAAAATATAATTACCTATAAACCAAATGGTCATGGTTCTGACAGATCACAGGGAATGATAACCATCTACAGCTGACGGGGTGGATCAGCAGGTCAAGGTGCTTGTTGTCAAGAGTGGTGTTCTGAGATCAATCCCCAGAATCCACATGGTAGAAGCAGAGTACTGACCTCCAAATATTTACTATATACACACAATAAATAAATACTATAATTTTTTAAAAAAACTTTTAAAAATCAGTATAAATATTTTTGAATTTTTAAGATTAATTTTTCTATTTTGTAGTATAATTTTAAGTGCTACTTTGAGCCGTGACAGTGATCACTGATGAGCTAAGAGGTTAAAAAAGTGTTGAGTAGCAGTTCTCCTACTTAGCTTTCGTAGGCTGCCTGGCAATGGAAGCAGTGTGTGTGGAAGGTGTTCCATGTGATGATATACATGTGCATTGTGAAATGGGTACTGTTGAGTTAATTAACATAGGAGCAATAGTGGTGACCTGTGGCTGTTCAGTCACTGCTAACTCGTGGACTCATAGCTGTGACTTTGACATGTGAATTCATATTCTATTTAAATTTTATAGAATGTTTATGTGTGGATGATTTTTCTGAGTGTACGTCTGTGTACTGTGTGTATGCCTGGTGCCTCCCGATGCCAGAAGAAGGTATCGGATCCTCTGGAACTGGAGTTACAGATGGTTGATTATAAGCCACTATGTGGGTGCTGGGAATCAAATGTGGGTCCTCCGGAAGAAAGAGCAGCCAATAAATCACCCTCTTAATCACTAAGCTAGGTACCTCTCTAGCCCCTGAGTTCACATTCTTAATTTGATCCTAGATATCTTTTTTTGTTTATTTTATTTTTTATTTATTTTGCCTATATGTCTTACCTTGGGATTTTTGGGCTGAGTTTCTGCCAAATATATGTATTTAGTAATCACATTAATAAAACATTTTGGATTAAAAACAAATTTATATAGGTGCATATTTGATGTTTTGCTTTCAGTGGATTTTAAGATGAATTTGCTTATGATTTACTGTTTTATGATTGAGGTTGGATCTCCTCAAGTGGCTAAGATCTTTTATCTTGGGCCATCAGAGTTAAAGGCCAAGGTGCCTTTGAACAGTGAGTAGAGAGGAGCACATCCCCAGCCTTCTCTTCTTTAACTTACTCAAGTAATTAAATTAAAATTAAATGGTCTGAGATTTTTAACCAGATCTAGAGTTCTGGTGCTTTAAATTATTGTGCTTGAGGGAAGGGGGAAATTGGTTCTAATAAAAATAAATTTTAAAAATCTAGGATTCCAGGCAGTGGTAGCGCATGCCTTTAATCCGAGCACTCGGGAGGCAGAGACAGGATCTCTGTGAGTTTGAGGCCAGCCTGGTCTACAAAGCGAGTTCCAGGACAGGCTTCAAAGCTTCAGAGAATCCCTGTCTTTTTGTTGGCCTCACTCACAGAGATCCTTGCCTCTGCAAGAATCCCTGTCTTGAAAACCCAAAAAAATCTAGGTTTCCTTCTCACCTATAAAATTAACATAAAAGCTATTTTTTAAAAGATCATAGCATATGTGTTTTGGGGAAAAAAAATGTATCAAGGATTTACCTAGTCAGCAATTATTTAAATTGACTTGTTTGCTTAATCTCCTTAGGACAAGTAGCTTGAAGCTGGAAGGTATAAAGAAATTATGGGGCAAAGAGGGCTATCTCCCCAAAAAGGAGAGCGCAACTGGTGATAAAATGGAAGTGCCGCATGCTCCTGGGGAGGGTACAACAATGGAGAATGTCAGCCAGGCCACAGCCAGAAAGGACCAAGCTCAAGGCCTCACCCAATCTACAGAGGAGAAAGAAAAGCAGTTGTTGGCATCCTCACTGTTTGTTGGACTTGAACCAGAAAATACAATCAATTTGGTAAGTTGTCTGTTACATTCCTGTAAGTATCTCTGCTCTCTGCTGGTAGCAAAAACTGGATTTCATCTGTGTATGGTGTGAGGGAAATGCCTCCTACAGCTCTCAAAGCCATCATCTCTCAGATCTAGAGCTCAGTGACATAGTTTTGGTTTTTTAATTTTATTTATTATGTATACAGTATTCTGCAGGTATGTATGCCTGCAGGTCAGTAGAGGGCACCAGATCTCATTATAGATGGTTGTGAGCCACCACGTGGTTGCTGGGAATTGAACTCAGGACTTCTAGAAGCTGAGCCATCTCTCCAGCCCCAGTGACATAGTTTTTATACCACTGAGGTGACAGCATCCAATCCCCTTAAGTTATTCTCTGAAGTCTAGTCGGCTAATACAGGTCCAGGGTCCACATAAATTCTCAAGAATGACCAGGGTGAATGAGAGAATTCTCTGAGGGCAAGGGGAGTGATTGGAGATTATCAGTAATAGTGGTCTGTCTGTGGGCTCTGCTTGCATAGACCTGATCAGACTGTTCTTCACTTAGGTTAGTGGTGGCAAATTCTATAGAATGTTTTTCTTCTGTATTTTCTGGTCAGCCTCTGATTTTTATTATTGAGGTAAAACCAATTTTTTTTGTTTGCTTACTAACATAGATCATGAAATCAAATTATTATAGATTATTAAAATACAGTTTGGGTCCCTTTTGTAGTCAGGGTAACTTAGGAGTCTATAATACAGCTCTGGAAACAAAAACAAATCTAGGTTGTCCAATTTTATAATGTAGTAAAGGATACCAAGCAACATTTTTTAAAACTACTACAACTGAGTCCTGACCTTATTTTATTTCCTTTTCTAAGTTTATGGTTTTTTAAAGTGGTTTTTTGTTGTTGTTGTTGTTGTTGTTGTTGTTTTTGTTTTTTCAAGACAGGGTTTCTCTGTGTGACCACTCTGGCTGTCTCTGTAGACCAGGCTAGCCTTGAACTGAGAGATCTGCGTGCCTTTGCCTCCCTAGTACTGGGATTAAATGCAAGCACCATCATGCCTGGCAGTTTATGTTTTTTAAGTTAGAAGTGAAATTTAGCTGATACCTTTAAGAATTTTAGGGTTTTACATTTTATGTATCTGAGTTTTGCCAATCTTTGCTTTACAGATTCTTAGTGTTGATATATTGTTCATTTGGGATTATAGAAGATATTTAAAGCGCATGATTAGTAAAATAGTTTCTTCTTATATTTTATTATTGCAGTTGGGAAAAGCAGACCTCGTGTCTCACAAGTTCAGGAGGAAATCAAAATTCAAGGTCTCCCAAAATGACAAGACCCAAAATGACAAGATACCCAGTGCTCATAACCCTGCCTCCTCCGCCCTCAGCTCTGTATCAGCTGTGGCCCGTGGGGATGATGACTATCTGAGTGCTTTGAATAGAGGGGACACTGAACTCAGTGCAGAGCTCTTGGGTTCTGAGTCTTTGTCAGAGCTGTCCTCCGTTGAAAAACTCTCAAGTGTCAGCTCTCCTGCGCCTTCTTTGTTTGCTGATGACAACATGGAGGTTTTCCACCCCTCGTCATCCTCCACAGCTTCAGCTGCAGCCTCTCTGTTAGAAGAAACTCTGGAGCGTGGGCATTCAAGTCCCATGGAAATCTGTAGTGATGACACAGTGTCAGTGTCTTCTTACAAAATTTGGAAGGATGATTGTTTATTGGTGGTCTGGGCAGTCACTAGTAAGACTGATTCAGAGGTGACAAATGCTAAGTTAGAAATTTTTCCTGTGGAAAACTTCAAGGTAAGACAATGGGTAATTTATCTTTTCTCCCTTAAGTAAATGACACTTACTTAGTGTTTCTGCCTTTGCCTCCAGCACCTTATGAATTTGTTCCACATCCTTTCTTCCTTAAATCAGGGCTCAGGATATACTCACTACTCTAAAGAAACAAAGGAAGCCCAGTAGTGCTGTGTTTGAGAGGCCATAGATGTGTAAAGTGAGTCTCTGTGGAGCATAGTGAGGAATGCACCTTTCAATCCAGCGCTAGGAACAGAGGAAGGATCCTGTGAGTTCCTGGACAGCCAGAGCTGAAAAGTGAGACCTTGTCTCAAAACCCAAAAAACAAACAAAAAAAGAATATAGGCTTCTTTTTTTTCCTGTTTTTTTTTTTTTTTTTTTTTTTGAGACAGGGTTTCTCTGTAGCTTTGGAGCCTGTCCTGGAACTAGCTCTTGTAGACCAGGCTGACCTCCAATTCACAGAGATCCGCCTGCCTTTGCCTCCCGAGTGTGTGCGCCACCACCACCCTGCGAATATAGGCTTCTTATACTGCTTTGTTTTTTAACCTTGCTACTGTGCCTTACTTGCCATGTTACATGGTCAGGTTTCTTAAATGCTTTTGCCTGTTTCTTCCTGTTGAAAGCAAGGGTATTAACGTTATGTTCCTGTAAAGAATTAACTAGTTGCCTGGGCAGTGGTGGCACACATCTTTAATCCCAACACTTGGGAGGCAGAGACAGGCGGAACTCTGTGAATTCAAGACCAGCCTGGTTACAGAGCTGGTTCCAGGACAGGCTCCAGAGCCACAAAGAGAAGAAATCCTGTCTTGAAAAACCAAAATAAAAAGAAAAAAGAAAAAAACAGATTTGGCTAGTTGATATCTATAAAATGCTTTTAACATTAAATGCATATCCTGTGTTCTTTGTGTTTCCTGATTTTATTCTATGATCTCTATTCATGTGTTCCCTAAGGGCTACATTTGCTCTTGTCATATTCCCTGAAATTAACTTTTCAGATTATTTAACAGAACCAAATAGAGCATTAAAAAATATTAAGGGGTAAACATTTCTCCATGTGATTTTTTTTTTATTCTATGCTCGGTACTTGGGCATCATTCTCTTCCATAGCCCCGAAAGGGTGCTATGGCAACTTCTCAAAGTCCCTTTGTCTGCATTGTTGTAAGTGTTCTCGGCACAGTTATGACATTTGACAGGCATGTGTCAGAAGGATAACCACTTCTTTCTGTGAGCTACACACAGTTTGTTGAATGAGTTATTGTATGGTCCATTGCCATACAAGGGCAAGAATTCTTGAATACATATTAAAAAACAAAGAAATGTGTCTGATTCTACCAGTACAGCTTGAGTAGGGATGGAGAAAGAGAATGGAAGGCGGCTGTATGATTGTTATAGATCTTCTAGCTTAAGAGTCTAGTGGTAGCCAAGCAGTGGTGGCTCACGCCTTTAATCCCAGCACTCAGGAGGCAGAAGCAGGCGGATCTCTGTGAGTTTGCGGATAGTCTGGTCAGTTCCAGGACAGTGGAGGAGGGTGTGCTACACTCAGAAACCCTGTCTCAAAAAAAAAAAAAAAGGTAGGAGCTATGGAAGAATGCTTGCTTAGTGCACAGACATTGCTTCCCAAGTGCTGGGATTAAAGGCATGCGCCACCACAGCCTGGCTATTTAGTGAATATTTGTATGTTGTTTCCATAATGTCATTTGTTAATTTCCCACATTAGTGTACTTTATTACTTTATCACTTAAATAGAAGTTTGCTATCTGTATAACATTATAATGATGCTTTCCTCGGTATTTTTATTACTTTAATTTACAGATCATTGAGCAACCTGGATGCTGTTTGCCTGGGATGGAAAGCTCCACATCTTTTCAGTATGGTGTGCAGATGGAAAGCCCTTCTGTAGAGGGGACTCTCTGTGGTGTTATAAATTACCAGATGATGGATGCACATTCTCTTCAGTTGGAATTTTCCATGAACTTATCATTATTAGATTTTATTAGGTAAATATCTTCTGGCATGTTTAAGTTATTCAACCATTATACCCTATCCCCCTTTTTTCTTTCTAACTAGAGACACTATGTTAGCTATTAGGAAATATAAGAATTAAATTATTAGGGGCTGGAGAGATGACTCAGCGTCTAAGAGCACTGACTGCTCTTCCAGAGGTCCTGAGTTCAATTCCTATCACCTACATGGTGTCTCACAACCATTCGTAATGAGATCTAGTGCCCTCTTCTAGCCTGCCGGGATACATGCAGGCAGAATGCTGTATACAGAATAAATAACTCTTTAAAATAAAGAATAAGTATTATTACAGTCTTGGGTTAGAGAGATGACTCATTGACTTCCAAGGCTTCCAGAGGACTAGAGTTGGGTTCCTAGCGCCTGCACCAGTGGCTTACAACTGCTTGTGACTCCAGCTTTAGAGGATCCGACACCACATCACTCCGGTGTCTGTGGAGTTCTTGCATACACGTGCACATGCTCACACACAAACATGTACTATATACACATAAATAATATTTTTAAAACCTAGGGAGGTTGTTTGTTTGGTTTGGTTTTTGGAGACAGGGTTTCTTTGTGTAGCTCTGGCAGTCCTGGAACTCACTTTGTAGAACAGGCTGTCTTTGAACTCACAGAGATCCGCCTGCCTCTGCCTCCCTAGTGCTGGGATTAAAGGCGTGCGCCACCAATGTCCAGTTTAAAAACTTTGTATTCTTATAAATCGGGCATGGTGGCTCATGTTTATAATCCCAGCAGTCAGGAAGCTGACGCAGGAGGATTGCCACCTGCTTAAGCATAGTGAGTTCTAGGCCAGCCTGGGCCACAATTTAAGTCTCAGCCCCTTTCCACCCTTATTTCATAATTTGAAGAAGCAATATATATATCAATCACAGTTTAGTACATAATAAATTCTGTGTCTTTAAATGTAGGGTTTTTATACAATCAATATGTACTTAACACAGAAATTCAAATGTTATAAGAATATAAATAGAATATAAAAGTTAGCTGGGTGGTGGTGGCACATACCTGTAATCCCAGCATTCCCAAGGCAGAGGCGAGCCTGGTCTACAAGAACTAGTTCTAGAACAGGCTCCAAAAAACGAAAATAAATAAGTAAATAAAATAGAGAATATAAAAGTTGTCTATAATTCATCCCCTAAATGTTTTTTGCATTCATATAATTATTTCAACATGTGTGTGTGTTGACAGAGTCTTAAGTTCTTTGGCTAATTTATTTAAAGTTCTTTATATTGATTATCTTGTATATGACTTTGGCAGAAATTTCATTATTCCCCAAATCCAAAGTGTGTGTGTGTGTGTGTGTGTGTGTATGATAGAATAGTTTATATTTGAGAATTTGTGAAGTTATTTGATAAAATCCTGTTGGAGGGATTAATATCTAAAAAGAGACAAAATTAAATGAATTCTTGAAAGGAAAAGTTCAATTTAGTATCTTCTGCTGTAGTAACTTCATCGGGTTGGAAGATAATGCTCAGTATTCTAATCATACCTGCTCTAAAAGCACAAAGCTCTTGAAAATCAACTTTATCATGACTATATTTAATTTCCATGAGTCATATAGAATGTGTTTGTTCAGCATCATTGTGTTCATAACAACATAAACTAATTTTTAAAATTATTTTCAGGCCATTAAAGATCTCAACTGAAGACTTTGGCAAACTCTGGTTGGCCTTAGCAAATGATGTGAAGCAAACTATAAAAATACCAGAGCCTCAAGTTGCCTTGGCTTCTGTCCTAACAGAGCTGCAGCAGAAGCTGGGACTTCATGTCATTGACGTCGTAGGTGTGTAGAATTACGAAAAGGCAGGACATGTGAATATGGATTTTCTTTCAGGTGTCATGCTTCTTAGAACTATGCTTCTTATCACATGTGCCTTTAAGACACGTGTCTTAAAGTGTCCAGGCTGTATTAAAAAATATTTGATTTAAAAAATTACGGTGTATAATTAACTATCATTTAGCTTATGTTTTTCTTTTTAACACTTTAAACATTTCTCCATTTGTGTGGAGTAGGCCTCAAATCCAACCAGAAAGTGGTTGATGACTCTCAAAATAGTTATGTCTCTATTGGATCAGACAGCACCTCTAGCCTGGAAGATCAATATTCCAGTGTCCACACTAGGTGAGACCATGGATACCTTTTCTCCCCAGCATCCTGCTGGGCCTCTTCTAACACATTGGTTGCTAACCACCAGGGAGGAAGCTTCCAGAGCAGTTTCAGCCTTGTCAGTGTGTGACATCCAAAGGGTGTTGTGTCTTCAGTAATAGTCTTGCTGCCTAGTTACAGTGAGTCATAAGAAGCAATGTTACAAACCTCCATTGCTTTGGGGGCCTCTGGAGCCTCCTGGTCTGCAGCTGCTGTGCTAATAATATTCTACTCCTGCAGCTGGGTTTAGAACCATGTGGTGTCTAGCAATAGAATTCTCTATCTTTGCAGGATACCTCTGTTCCGGGTTTTAAGAAAATTATCATGGCAGGCATGGTGGTGCACTTCTTTAATCCCAGTGTGGGGAGGGGGTGTAGTCCAGCCTGGTCTACAGAGCTGGTTTCGGGACAGCCAGCATGCTCACACAGAAAGGAGGGAAAGAAGAGAGAGAGAGAAAAAGGAAAATTGTATCTTTTAGTTTGCCTATAAAGCAGTAGGTTTCAATGTGGTCTTTTCCTTGTAACATTAATTTTGGTTAACCTTAGTCATTCTGACTGGGGTAAGATAAAACCTGAAAGTAGTTTTAATTGACGACTAAAGATACTGAACTTTTATATATACATATGTATTTCTCAGCCATATGTATTTCTTTTTATGAGGACTCCATTTAGTTCTGTGTTCCAATTTTTAATTGGTTTGTCTTGATCCTTTTTGTTTTGTTTTTTTGTGTATTCTAGAAAGCAGCAGTGTCCAGATAGGATTTTTTTTAACCTATTCTATAGACTGCCTCTTCACTCGATTGATGGTGTTCTTTGCTGTAAAGAAGCTTTTAACTTTTATGTGGTCCTTTTGGTCAGTTTCTGTTCTTAATGCCTGTGCTACCGAGGTCCAGAAAATCCTTTTGTGTTCTTATGTGTTCAAGTGTATTTCCTACTTTCTTTGTCACAGTAAGGGTATCAGATCTTAAGTTGAAATCCTTGATGCAGTTAGAGTTGAGTTTTATTCAAGATTGTAGTAAGGATCTGATTTCATTCTTTTACTTGTAGCTGCCATTGAGACCAGCACCACCTGTTAGCCATACTGTATATTCTCCAGTGTGTATTTTTGGCTTATTTCTGGGGCCTCGACTTCATTGTATCGTGTGTGTCAGTTTTTATGGCAGTACTGTGCCGTTGGTGAGAGTAGAGCATTGAAGTCACTGTGTTGGGTTTCATCTGTGGTTATAGATTTAGTAGTAGTTCTTTTATCAAATGTGTTGCACCTGCATTGGGTAAATTTATGTTTAGACTTGTGATGTCCATTTGATGGGTTGTTCCTTTAATGGCACAAAGTGACCACATCATTTCTGACTAGTTATTATGCTATTAGTGTATATTACACTGTATACGTTGTAGTATACTACTATTTGGTGTTATATATATAATTTTATATATAATTATATATTATTATATACTATTAGCCTGTTATCAAGCACTTGAGGCATTTCCATTTTTTGTTGGATATGAACAATGCTGCTGTGGACATAAATGTTGAAATACCTGTTGATATTCTTTCCCTCAGTTCTTCTGATCATATACGTGAAGTGGAATTGTTGAATCATACGTTGTTGTTTTTTGGGTAAATTACTAGATCATTTATATAACAAACATATATCTTTTTACATTAGTAAGCAAGAGTTCATATCTGTCCACATCTTCAGTAATACTTCTGCTTTTAGCATATATTTATATATGTCTTCCAAACAAGTATGAAATGCTATCTCACAGTTTTGATTGGTAGTTCTCTGGTGATTAATGACAAACATCTTTACATGTGCTTATGGCCCGTTTGTAGATATTCTTAGAGGAATGTCTGTTGAAGCCTATTTTATTAAATAATTTCCCTTCTTGTTCTGTCGCAGGCAATGAAGGGCTGTTGGCATGTAAGCTGCTCCCATCCACCCCGTGTGTTCTGCACTGCCGAGTGCACGCCGATGCGGTGGCCCTGTGGTTCCGGTCCTCCTGCTCGGCTCTTCCAGACTATTTATTGTGTCGCTGTCGGAAGGTGATAGAGACGTCCTAGCACTGCTCTGCTCAGTTTACTTTCTCACACAAATGGTTTACATTTATAAACCTACCAAAGTACAAAGAACTCATGGTACTTCTGATGGAAATGGGGATTATTGTAAGGTTCGGTTTATGCGTCTTCTTCTTGATTTCTGATAAGGATAATCCCCAAGAAACTGTGTCACTAATTTTTTTACTCAGGATTGTACAGTATGTTTGGGTTTCCCCAAATGACCTAAGCTAATGTTATAAAATATAATGATTTATATATCACTTAATGTGAAGGAACTGAAAATATTTATTTTGTTATAAGTGTTTTATAACAGGTTTATTCTAGCATTAACTGATTTCTAATAAAGCCAAGACTCAGTTCTCCTCTTTGATGCAGGGACACATGAGATTGGCTTTGGAATGTGGTGTTTGTTGTGGGAAAAGGTGTGCTCTCGGTTCTGTTTTACTAGGTCAGTGTTAAACTCAGACGGCCTAGCACATGCTAACGGTTGTAGGAAATTCATGAGCATGCTGGGTATTGGGCAGATCCAATCTGCATTTTGGGTTTTTTTTTACTTTTTAACTTGTTATACTTAATTTTAAGTAATTTGGCCATAAAGTACATCTGTTTGCTATTAGATCCATTTGGCAATTAAATTCTGTGACCATACTCTAAATGGTCAATTAATTTTTCATGGCTCTTAAAACTACTAGTATTCAGTGGATGTAGATGCAGTAGTAACCATGTAAATATATTGTTTTCATGTTGTATTTGTGCAAATAAGGCCTCTGTTAATAAAAGAAGATGTTGTGCCTCGTATGTATGATGGGCCAAAATCCTGAGATTGTATATTAACTGAAATAGTATTTTATAAAAACTTATGGTGCTGTGGGAAATATTTATTTTACCATTTCTGGTACTTCACCATTGAAACTATTCAGGTAATACAACCTTTAAGTCATTACTATTCTAGCTCGCAGGACTGGCTGTCACCCAGGTCAGGCACTCTGGGTTTAGGTTATCTCAATATTTGCTGATCAAGATGCTAATGAGCCAGTAGATCTCAGTCATCTGTAGTTAGAGCAAAAGAAATATAGTATTTTTTAAATTAATTTTTAGGTATTCATTTTAAAATATAACATTTTGTTAATTTCTCTTTTAAAAACATATAGTTAGCTGAGTGGTGGTGGCATATACTTTTAAATCCCAGCACTCCAGAGACAGAGGCAGTAGGAGTTCTGTGAGTTCAAGACCAGCCTGGTCTACAAAGCAAGTTCCAGGACAGCCAAAGCTACACAGAGAAACCCTGTCTCAAACCCGCCCCCAAGAAACTCACAAAAATTAAATAAATAAACAAGTAAATAAAAACCTGCAGTTAAACCTTGCTAAAAGAGCAATAGGTGACTAGAATTTCCTGTGTGTCAGGTTTCTCCCTTTGAGTAGAAAACCAGGCACGTTATCAGCCTCAGCACTTTCATGATAAAGGGACTCCAGAGCGCCAGCTTCGCGTTGTCTTTCAGCAGCCCTCCCGGCTCCCTAGCCTCAGTCTCACGGTGGCAGAGCAGGGCAGCGTTTGGTACAGGAGACTCTCCTTAGCGTATGCTTTCAGGTATTTATGTGCTACCTGAGGTGGATCGGTTGGGGAGGGGTGGGGTACAGTATCTAAACTCACAGGGAGAGCAGTTCCAAGAGATCATAGTTTTGTTTGTTTTCTGCTACTTTGTTACAAGGTATGCTCATGAGAGCAGCAGTAATTGTCATGAAACATGCTTGACCTAAGAAACAGCTTAATAGTGCATGTGGGATGGTAGGTTTGGGGTTCAGGGATAATTTTAGATCTGCCAAAGGGAACAAAGTGTCACTTTTGTTCTTTCTGAACCCACTAAGTAAAATGTAAGGTAACAGGGTTTCTACTGAAATGTTTAATATGATGTTTACAACGTTTATGAATTTGAAAACTAATGATTATAATAGAAAAGAGTATATATTTAAAAACCTTGGGTCAGTATATATTCTATCTAAACTCATTGAAGTATGTTCTGAATCAGACATCATCAACCTTTTTGCGTTGTAGGAGATATGATCATAAAGTAGGGAGAATTTTAGATCTAGTCTCTTTATAATCACAATTCAGCCAATAAAGGTAATACTTGGGAGAAGAAGGGCTGTGTGCTTCATGCTAGGATGGATTGGCAGCAGGCCTGAGGCTGGGGACACAAAGGAAGACAGGAAAAGCATTGAGAGTCATCCCCAGAAGGTCAGCAGAAAAGCTGCGTGGGTGTGAGAGGACCCTGTGTTGGTTCTGCCAGAGAAACCGGAGGAGAAGCTGGGCGGTTAATGAGAGCTCGGGTGCCAAGCTTGCCAGGCGCTACATTTGCTCTGCAGGTGAGTGCTAGCAAAATTCTCCTAAAATCCTCCAGGTCGATTGTGTGAAACTGCAGTATTTTAATTTCATTTTACTGTTCTTTTATTTTCTGTGGATAACCATGGTCTTCGTCGCATGGTAAGCCACTAGAAGTGCACTGAATCTGTTCATGTGTCTTTAAGCTGTTTCCTTGCAGAATTTTAGGGCAAAACAATGCAAGTGAATAGCAACTTAATATGCATTTTTTTTTACTTTGTTTTGGCATTGAACTCTGTAATTTTAAAAACTTCAATTGAATGTATAATAAAAATATATCTATGCTTTTCTGGGTATATATCTTCTTTATAATTTAAGTAGATGAAAATTATTTAATCAGTATATCTATCTATATATATTCCTAAATACATAAAACCAACTTGCTCAGTCTGTATCATGTTACTTGTATTTATGTTCTTGCATGTGTGTTGTATGTACATGTTTGCATGGCTGTGTGCATACAATCATGTAAGTGTTCATGTTTCAGGGGCCTGAAGTCAAGATCAGGTTTCTTCCTTACTATCTTACTAGTTTTTAACTTTTTTAATAATATGAATTAGGCCTGGCAATTGTGGCTCTCACCTTTAATCCCAGCACTCAGGAGGCAGACACATGGTCTCTTTGAGTTCGAGGCCAGCCTGGTCTACAGAACGAGTTCCAAGACAACTAGAGCTGTTACACAGAAAAACCTGGTCTCTGACTAAGCCAGGCAGTGATAGCATATAGGTAGACTTTTCTGTCCCACCAGCCAGCTCCCAAATAACCACACAGAGACTTATTATTATGGATGTTCAGCCTACAGCTTAGACTTGCTACTAACTAGCGCTTACTAAATTTAACCCATATTTCGTATCTACATGGTGGCACCTTTCTTCATCACAGCGCGTTCATCTTGTTTCTCCCCGTGTCTTCCTGCTGACCTCTTTATCCTCACTCTCTTTTTCCCTATCTGGAAGTCCCACCTGACCTCTTCCTGCCTGGCTATCGGCATTAGCTCTTTATTTTATTTTACTTTTGATATTTATTAAGCTCTACATTTTTCTCTGCTCCCCTCCCTGCCTTTTCCCTCCTCCCTTCAATCCTCCACCACGGTCCCCATGCTCCCAATTTACTCAGGAGATCTTGTCTTTTTCTACTTTCTACTTCCCATGTAGATAAGATCTATATAAGTCTCTCTTAGTGTCCTCATTGTTGTCTAAGTTCCCTGGGATTGTGGTTTGTAGGTTGGCTTTCTTTGCTTTATGTTTTAAAATCACCTATGAGTGAGTACATGTGATATTGTTTTTCTGTGTCTGGGTTACCTCACTCAAAATGCCGTTAGCTCTTTATTAAACCAATGAGGGCACACATCTTCACAGTGCATAAAAAGACTCTTCTGTAACAGTGGTGCATGCCATTAATCCCACCAGCACTTGGGAGGCAGAGGCAAACGGATCTCTGAGTTTGATGCCAGCTTGGTCTACAGAGCCAGTTCTAGGACAGTCAAGGCTACACAGAAACCCTGTCTAAAAACAACAACAACAAATATGATGTATTTATCCATAGGTTCTTGGTGCCAGCAGGTCAGATGAGTTGGTCATTGGTTCCCCTGGAACTGGAGTTAAAGAACAGATGGTTGTGAGTGCTGGGAATAGAACCCAGATAGTCTGCAGGAACAAGAGCTCTTAATGGCTAAGCCATCTCTCCAGTCCCCCCATCTTGTTTTTTGGGACATGATCTCTCACTGAACCTGGAGCTGCCAACGAGAATCTACTCATCTTTCCTTCCTTGGTTCTGGCCTTTATTTTGAGACAGGGTTTTATGCAGCACAGGCTGGCTTTAATCTCCTTTTTCTCCCAAGTGCTGGAATTAGTCTATACCACCATGTCCAGCTAATTATTATTTTTTGATTTTTTTCAATGTTTATTTTATTTTATGTTTTGGCTGCGTGTGTGTGTGTGAGAGGGGGGGGGAGAGAGAGAGAGAGAGAGAGAGAGAGAGAGAGAGAGAGAGAGAGAGAGAGAGAGAGAGGTGTTGGATCCCCTGGAACGAGTTAGAGGCAGGTGTGAGCTGCCATATGGTTTCTGGGAATTGAACCCAGGTCCTCTGGAAGAACAGCTAGTGCTCTTCACTACTGAGCCGTCTCTCCAGCCCAGTTTAAGGTCATTCTAGCTGCTGTGTGGGTGAAAGACTGCAGGGAGATCAGGGAGGGGACAGTTCTAACTTCCTAGCTGGCAGATGATGGAAACGAGGTAAGAAGTGGTCAGGTTCCAAGTTACACTTTTCAGCTTTAGTACCCTTAGACTAGAAGGTATACTTTATGACCCGGGCACCCTGATTCCTTCTACAGTGTGCCTACTATTTATAGGGAGAGACCAAGCTATTCCTGGGAAAATGTTTCCTAGCTCCAAGGGCAGGGAATCACAAACACTTTTCCTATAATCGCTTTTTACACAAACTTTTGTATCAGATCAATTGTGTTTGGGCCACTAAACTAGAAAAGCACCCGACTGTACCCACCACCAGAAAAAAAGCCTCAGGCAGTTCCATGTGGCGCTAAGGGAGCTGATAAAGCAGCGATACCACACCAAGCAGTGTAAAAGTCATTGCCCAGTCTACAGGCTGCAGGGCGGGAACCAGTAAGGCAGCATAGCTCAGCAGCACAAGCATCAGCTGAGGCGACCGACGGGAACCCCGCCCACCAGCCTGACAACCAATCGGATCCCAGCATCCGCTCGCCCCTCTACCCCTAGCGTTGGAGCCGCTGCGCTGCGGGAGAGCTGCTGCGAGGCGGGTGCTGAGCGCCGGAGAGGTGAGTGCTGACCCCGGAAGGGCGCGGGCGCGCGTTCTTTGCGTGCTGAGGCCGGAGCCGGTGGGCCAGCGTGGTCCGGAGCAACCTGGTCACCCGTTCCTCTCTGCCCCGCCCTTCTCAGGCTGGGTGGCAGCGAGCCGGAGACTCGGCCCTGGAAGACGGCCGTTACTGAGTGCAGACGGTGCAGAAAAGAAATTGTATCTCGTTTAAAAGTGATGATGGTTTCCGGCCTTACGTAGACTGGCGGGTGTATCGCACGGGGTCCGCGGGACTGAGCCTAAGCCGGAGGCTTACTTTGAACTCTGCCCTGGAATCTTGGGTGACGGTCTGCTCCTGGAGTGTCCTTTAATCTCTCCTAGCTGCGCTTTATGCTTCAGAAACTGAGCGGGGGATTCAAGACTCTGTGAGGATTACATTGTAGGTTGCATGCTACCTGAAGAACTCAGAAATGAAGCTGAAGTTATCTACTACTTAAAAAAAATTAAAGCTGGTGCTGGCGCCCCCTTTAAGTCCCAGCATTCAGGAGGCAAAGACAGGCAAACCTCTAGTCCTAAACCAGACTGGTCTACAGAGTGATTCCAGGGTTACACGATTGTTACATAGAAAAACCCTGTCTCAAAGACAAACAAAAAAATAAATAAAGCGTTATGCTTATGCAGTTTTAGATGCAGATATTTTTCCATTTAACATGACATTAGATTTGGGACACATTAGCTAACATCTTGGTGTCTCATTTGTAAGAAGTAGGGATAAAGTTAATGCTTGCTAGGTAGGATGACCATGTAAAGCAACAGGATTTTCAACATGAGATTTAATATTAGCACTCATAATATTATACAAAGCAAACAGTAGTGTACTGCAAAGTTCCTCCCATAATTAATGAAATTTTCATAATATTGCTTCCAAGAAGTTTTTGAAATTATTGAACTAGAATACTAGAGCTTATTTTATTATAAAAGATTGTATTAGTAAGTATGCAAGTACTTTTCTTACATTGTACATTCCAGAACAAGACATACTGAAGTCTAATGGTAGACAAAGTATTATCAAAGAGATTCTGAGAGCCAAAAAAACTAGAAATATGAATGGGTGCTGGATAGTGGTGGCACTGTCCTTTAATCTTAGTACTCAGAAGGCAGATTTAGGCGGAGCTCTGTGAGTAAGTTCAGGACAGCCAGGATACAGAGAAACCCTGTCCTAAAAATAACAAAAAAAGAAAAAAGAAAAGAAAAAGAAATATGAATGACTAACAACACTTGAGCTTTTAGAACTAAGAAGCAGATTTGCTGAAACTTCCAGGGCCCGGGACATACTTATTATTAATAGTCTGATGTATGCAATCCCAGACTTAACTGTATTATCATTATATTTTACTCTATAGTTCTCACAGCACAGGGCTGAGGCAGGAGGGTGGCTGAGAATTTAAGGCCAGCCTAGGCTGCAGAGTGAGTTTCATGCCAGCCTGGGCTACAAAGTAAAACCATCGCTCAAAAACAAAACTCACACGCAGATCCTGATAAGACAGAGCAAAGGGGAACAAAAGGAAATGAATTGTTGTTGATCTTCACAGAGAAACCCTATCTCGAAAAACCAAAGAGAGAGAGAGAGGAGTAGGGTTTTTTCTTAATTGTAAATAGATTCTTTCCTCAGAAAGAGCTTAACATATGTTATTACCAAACCTGAGCAGAGGTGTCTCAGGCTGGCCGTGTTTGTCGCTGTGTGGCTTCACCACGGACACAGTATGTGTGGCATTTTGTCACTGTGATAGGAAGCTGATAGTCACAACCCCTACTTAACCCATCATACACTTCCCTTCTCCCCCACTTTCCTGCCAGTATTTGGCAAAAATCTAGGGTAACCTACATTTTAATCTATCTCAAAACATCAAAGACCTAATCCTACAAAAAGAAGATTTAAATTTGGTCAGTTTTTTTATTCTAAGGATTGTGTAAATGATCAGACATGGGCGTTACTGTCTTTAGTACTGCCTTTAGAGAGACATCCTGGTGTTGGGCACTTGCTGAGCATTCACGGGGCTGGTTCTCAGCGTCAGGAGGAATACTGCAGCTGGCATTACTTTCCTCTAAACGTCTGTCTCCGTGGTACTTCGTGTTTCATACCCCCCACACACACTTACTGTTTTCTCACTGTGTTTACCTGCCCGTGGAGTCAGGTTTGGCCATCTTAACCTTCCAGTGACCTCACCAACCCTTTCCTCTGCTCCCTTTCTCATACTCCTTTTCGACTTGGCCTCTAGTAAGGTCCCTTTTGCGCCGGGCAGTGGTGGCACGCGCCATTCAGGCGGCAGAGGCGGGTGGATCTCTGTAAGTTCAAGGCCAGCCTGGTCTACAGAGCTAGTTCCAGACAGGCTTCAGACCACAAAGAACAGATAACGTCCTGAGGAGGAGAGAGGAAGACGTTGCCAGAGACTTTCTGAGCACAGGCCCATAGGAGTCACGTGGTCTTCCCAGGGCTTTCTTGGGGTTGCCCCAAGTAAAGGGTGGGTTTTTTTTTTAAAGGTTTATTCATTTACTTTTATTTTTCTCGCATGGGTCTTTTGCTGTCTGTCTGTCTGTATACCACAGAGGCCAGAAGAGGGCACTGGATCCCCTGGAACTGGAGTTACAAGTAGTTGTCCGCCACCATGTGGTGCTGGGAATGTAGGCTGTGCTCTGACAGGCTAAGGCGCTGCAGCGTTTCACATGTCTTATCACTACACTCCCCTAAGAGGGTCAAGTCCCAGTCTGGCAGTGACTAGAGAGCCTCCCTTCTCAGCCTGCTGGAGAGACACGGGGGGGGGGGGGGGGGGATATCCTTCTCCCTGTTTTTATCGCCTCTGGTCATCCAGCTGCCCTGGATATAGTTATATAAGTAACACATCTACCAGGTCTAAATGAACAAAAAAGTTAATCTTTACAGGATTCTCCTCGCAACCCTAGTTAACCCTAAGGCTAGCCCCGGATCAGGGTGCACCATCTAAGATGCCTGGCGGAAGAAACCAGCCCCTAGTCCCCCCCACCCTTCCGCTCTAGGGGTTCTGTGTCAAGAATGCACACTCAGCACGTTAGCCAAGGAGCCTGCTGAAGTTAGCGCTGCTGTTCTGTCGCTTGCCTTTTCTCTATTTCCGTTTGTCTTACTGTTTCTTCCTTCTGCCTGTGACTCCTGATCGCCTGCCTGCTTTAATGGGAAGTGTCCGGAAAGACTGCTGAATGGTTCTTTTACCTAGAAAACTCAGGTAGTCAGCCGAGCGGGGAAAAAACGGTACACTTCACTTCTCTCTAAAAGTAAGCTAGATAAAAGGCTGTGATCTCACCAGGTGGTGGTGGCACATGCCTTTAATCCTAGCACTCAGGAGGCAGAGGCAGGCAGATCTCTTCAGAGCGAGTTCCAGGACAGGCTCCAAAGCTGCACAGAAACCCTGTCTCAAAAAAAAAAAAAAAAAGCTGCAATCTCCAAGCTGGAACGTGGAGAAGTGCCTCACCCCATAAAGACATGTCCCCAGCTGTCCAGGATAGTGCACAGACCCTCTCTAGACATTTTCTGAGATGATATCCCTACAGCGCACAACGCATCTGCGCTCTATGTGCGATCATACAGTTCGCGAGCTTCAGGCAAGGGGCTGGAGGTTGAAACACACAAACACACACACACAGAGAGACAGAGACACAGACCTCTAGTCACTGGTAAGAAGCTCTTTATTCAATAGCACCACGGAGGCTCATATACCCAACACAGTCAGGTGGGCCAACAGGTGAAAACCTTATCCTCTGATCCTCAAGGCAACACGTGCTCGTGAAGCAGAGCTGGTAAACAACTTTGACACAGCTTTCAGTAACTCAAATCAGAAGGAAAGTAAAGATCACTAGCAGGGAAGAGCAGCTGGAGGCCAGGACTCCAAATGATCCCAACAAGAAAGTTGGCCTCCGGCAGCTCTAGAGAAGATACCAGCCTGTGTACCAACCATTCCTCGAGGGCCAGAGGTGGCGATGGCACTGGGGACTGATGATGAAGAAGAGGTAGGGAAAACTGGGTCCCGTAGCTTAGTTGTCCTAGTCAGCTTTTTTGTGGTAATAAATCTGATCAAAAGCAGCTTGGGGGAGGAGTGGGTTTATTTGACTTACAGGTTACAGCCAGTCATCAAGGGAAGTAAGGGTAGGAACTCAGGCAGAAGTAGCCTGGAGCCCGGAACTGAAGCGGAGACTGTGGAGGAAGGCATTTTCCTGGCTGGCTTCCTTTGCCTTCCTCAGTTACCTTTCTTCTGCAGCCTAGGACCACCTGCGCAGGGACGGCACTGCCCACAGTGGTCTGGCCCCTCATGTAGCAGTTAGCTGTATTAAGAAAATGCCCTACAGACATGACCACAGTCAGGCTCCTTAGCTGACGCTCCTGCTCTAAGGCATGTTCTCCAAATTGCAACATTTCCTCCAAGAAGGAAGGGAAGGGTCACACAGCAAGCAAAATGTCCCAATGTAGGGGAAAACAGGAACTTGGAGAGATTCTTGAGGGTCCCCACCCAGCAGTTACAAAAAAAAAAAAAAAAGAAAGAAAAGAAAGAAAGAAAAGAAAGAAAAGAAAGAAAGAAAGAAAGAAAGAAAGAAAGAAAGAAAGAAAGAAAGAAAGAGAGAGAGAGAGAGAAAACGGTTGCAAGGGGTGAAGACTGATCAGCCAGGCTGCAAAAAGAAATCCTTAGCTGGACTCACTGTCCGCCGCAAGCAGCGAAGAGAGGGTCAGACTTGTGGGTTTCAGGAGTTAACCCCTGTGCTGTTGATTACCCCAGCTCCTTTGAATTAACCATCACTACACCCCTGTTGGCAACCCCAATTAAAAACTTACTTGCCAAATTGGACACGGGTACAGTTGTGCCTTAGGCTATCGGGGGCCCCCCTTCTGAGGTGAGCAGATGTGTTGTAGGCCTTTCACACAGCAGTTCCCTCTTCCCAGTTCCCCCTGGCAGTGTTGACATCCGAAGCTGGGAGAAAACCGTATTCACAGAGTTTGTGCCAGCGTCCCCAGGGTCCTGAACCTCTCTCATCTTTACAGCCACCAGCAGGAGAGACCAGGATGAATGCAGAGGTGAGTTCCACGCAGAGGGCCTTGGGATCCTTTTGCTGCCGTGCGCCTTAGTTCTCTCGTGGATTCTCCTTTCCCTCTCAAGATTTTTCAGAAATATTCCCTGCTAGGCTACCTACTTGTTCGTGGCTGTGGGTGATGGAGGAGAAATGGTCTCCCCTGAGTTTTTATCCGTGTCCACTGTCACAATGCTGCCTCTCCCTTTCAGTCCCTAGCCATGAGGTGTGGGGGCAGGGCGGGTTCACCGGTTGTGTGCTGGCCCCACCTCCAGGCCAGTGCAACAAGACCAGCTGATCAAGGATATTTTTTCCAGTGTTCCTTATTTCACGTGTTCAATATCCTTCCAAACACGCCCCCGCCCAAAGAATTTAGAAACAGCCCAAGCAGGTAAACATTTTTCCTTTATTAAGCAGGGAAGAAAAGTTAAAAAGTGGCTGCTCTCTGACTCAGGCAGAAACAGCAGTGACCTTGTAGGTGTCATTTTTAAGCAGAGAAAAAGGGAGGTCTGTGTTAGATGGGCTAGGATGTGATTGTGAAGGAGGTAGGAGTATCTGTCCCAGAGGGACAAAAGACTGCCTCTGGATGGAGAGGAGACAGACGTGGCCCACGTGGCCCGTGGGCAAATGGCACTTTATAAAGGTAAACTGGGAAACCCCATGTTAGGATGAGGTGTTAATTTTAATTGGATCTGTTAAATAGGTGAGCCAAAGGGGACTTTTGAATGCTGGATCTTGGTAGTCAGCCTCAGAGGGAGGAAGTGGCTAAATAAGGGAATAGACCTTTAGGTGACTAGCTTTAGGAATATAATCTAACTGTTTTTAGCAAGGCAGAGAGAATCGGGGAGCAGGGCAAGGCCTGCCAGAGCTGCATGCTGGATTGGGCTGTTATCCCTTCAGTCACAATCAGATGCTCTGTCCAACCAAGCAGGTCTTCCTTCTCCAGTGCAGTTCACACAGTAATTACGCCATTGTTGAGGACTCCAAACTCATTGTGGCCTAAGACAGTCTTAAATGCTGGAAATCCATTTACACCCCTGACTTAGTTATCAAGATTTACACCCCATAACCAGTGTGATTTCCAGACTTGGCTTGTGGCTGTAATGGTAAAATAAATTAATTTTTTTCATCCAAATTATATTTTGCAATTTTTGAAAATTAGAATATAATTGTATCATTTCTCCCCTCACTTCCCTCTTTCCATAACCCTCCCATTAAATTCCTTCTCAAATGTATGGTCTCTTTTTCATTAATTAGGATTGTTACATATATATGCACATAAATAGAACTGGGTTTAATGAATGTGGCAGTAACTTATATTTGGATTATAATGTGTTGTTGTTATGTAGTGGTGTAGGACAATGGTCTGTATTCTGTCAATTATATTTTAAATAAATGCTGATTGGCCAGTAGCCAGGCAGGAAGTGTAGGCAGGACAACCAGGCAGGAAGTAAAGGCAGGTCAATAAGAACAGGTGAATTCTGGAGAAGAGGAAAACTCATTTCTGTAATCTGTGACCCAACCACAGAAGAAGCAAGATGTGACTTCTTGACCAGAAAGGTACCAAGCCACGTGGCTAACATAGATAAGAATAATGGGCTAATATAAGTTATAAGCATTAATAAGAAGTCTGAGCTAATGGGCCAATCAATTTATAGTTAATGTAGACCTCTGTGTGATTTCTTTGGGACTTAATGATTACGGGAACTGGGCAGGACAGAAAACTCAGTCAACAACGTAGCTTTTAAAATGGACTTTTCTCAGTATGCCTTATTAACGTCTATTTTCTAGCAGTACACTTAGTTACTGTATAAGGTACCAGAGTATAGTGAATATGAAGGTAGCTGGAACTCAGCCGTTGTAAGGACTTAACATGGGTCTTGAGTCTGGACAAAGACGTCTTCCTGTGGGCCCTTGTCTGTCAGCGTCCTGCTCAGCAGCTGTTGCCTCTGAATGACTCCCAGCTGATTAGAGCCCCATGCCTCTAGATGCTGGACCCAGGGAGGGTGGAGGCCTCATATCAGCCTGGGTGTTTGCAACAGAGAATCCCCTTGTCTGTAGAGAGGTCAGAGGTAGAGCCAAATGGGCAGAACCTTCTGGTAGATGCCCAGAAGGTCTTCAACACATAGACATGGCAGAGCCCTTTCTGCGTGTTTTGGTTCCAGGTCTCTTGTGTCTGACACCTGGTTTCTAGGGGAGTCACACCCCAGCTCTTGTTTCTCTGGGTTACCACCAGCTTTCCTTGCTTGCCAGAACCCAGCCTAGCCCTCTGGTTTGGTGTACTCCATTCAAATCCTGGACCATTTTCACACCCGGCACTGGTCTTTGGTATTTCAGCCTGGGAAGAAATTTGGTGTGGTAGTGGTTGGTGTTGGCAGAGCCGGCTCCGTGAGGATACGGGACTTGAAGGATCCACACTCGTTAGCTTTCCTGAACCTGATTGGTTTTGTGTCCAGGTAAGTCCCAGCTTGGTTTGCGCTCCACGATTCATAGAAATCACAGTGGCTGGTAACACCACGGGACATGGATGTTTTCTAGATCCAGGGTAAGGGAAAGCCAGCTTCTCCAGAGAACCACGCGCAGAGTAGTCTCTGGAGACTCTGGTTCCGACTGGTCGGGGAACTAGAGTCAGGGACCAGTGTATGTCCAGTGAGCGATGCCCAGTAAACCCCACGTGGAGCAGTACGTGGTCTGTTTACTACAGAAGGCACAGAGTGAGGTTTGGCCTGAAAGAAGCCGTGTGTAGCTTAGCCATTCTGCCATTTGGAACGGTCATCCCGGTGGCTTTGCACGTTCTATTCCTTATGCTATTCTTACTGCTCTTTCCAGCCCCAGGTCAAGATAAGAAAGCACAGACACAGAAAGACTCAGTAATCCTGTTGGGCTTATAATAACTGGAAAACCCAAGAATTACATTTAAAGAAGTGTTTGAGTCTAACATTAAATGTTCTTTTCATGCTGGTAATCGAGCTGAACTTTTTAAATTAATTTTTTTAAAGCTAACATGCAAATTATTAGGTCTTACTATGGCTTTTTTTTATAATTTATTTAATTTTATGCACATTGGTGTGACGGTGTCTGATTCCCTGGAACTGAGTTACAGACAGTTGTGAGCTGCCATGTGGGTGCTGGGAGTGTTTGAACCCCGGGCCCATCTGGAAAGGCAGCCAGTGCTCTTAACCACTGACCCATCTCACCAGTCCCCCACTATGGCATTTTTAAGCAAAAATTGTCTTAGTTGCTTCTTCCCCCCAACTTCCCATCTCCCTGCGCTCATACTTCATGCTCCTTTCTGCTTTTATTGCACTGTTCTGTGTGGATTGAGACTGTCTGTATTTGGGAAACAGACGAGAACTTGGAAGCCTCGATGAAGTACGGCAGATTTCTTTGGAAGACGCCCTCAGCAGCCAGGAGATTGATGTCGCCTACATCTGCAGTGAGAGTTCCAGCCACGAAGACTACATAAGGTAGGTTTCCTCATACAGGTAGGCTTTGCCTTACACATGGAAAGAGGACTGAGCAAGCTAAAACTGGGACTTAATGGTCAACACACAAAATTCTGGTTGTCCTGTGACCTGTTGTCAAGCTAGCTGGTGGTGGCGCATTCCTTTAATCCCAGGATTCGGGAAGCAGAGGCAAACAGATTTCTGCGAGTTCCAGGCCAGCCTGGTGTACAAAGTAAGTTCTGGTACAGCCAGGGCTTGTTCTCTTATTCTGTTTGGTTGGTCGGTTGGTTTTTTTGAGACAGAGTTTCTCTGTAGCTTTGGAGTCTGTCCTGAAACTAGCTTTTGTAAACCAGGCTGGTCTCGAACTCACAGAGATCCACCTGTCTCTGCCTCCCAAGTGCTAAGAGTAAAGGTTTATGCCACTACCACCCAGCTTAACCCTTTCTCAAAAATAGAGGGGAAGGGGTGAAATAAACCCTTTCTCCCTAAGTTTCTTTTGGTCATAGTATTTATTGCAATAATAGAAAACAAACTAGATTTTTTTCAAAAAAAATTTATTTATGTTTTGTTTGTTTTTTGGTATGAGAGCTCCATCTGCATGTATCCCTGCATGCCAGAAGGAGGCATCAGGGCGTCGGATCCCATTATAGACGGTTGTGAATCATCATGTGGGTGCTGGGAATTGAACTCAGAACCTGTTGAAGAACAGTCAGTCCTCTTAACCACTGAGCCAACTCTCCAGCCCAGCAAACTAAATTTTTAACACTGATGAAGAGTCAAATGATTTCATAGCTAGAAAAGTTCTTTCTCACAGTAAAGATAAAGGTTGAGGCATAGATCATCCTTACTCTGCAGGGCACTGACCCTTGGCTGCTCGTCACACTCACACGCAGGCTCTTGTGCATTTGCAGTGTTGTGTTCTCGGATATACAGGGCACTTGTGTGCTTACTTGAAGTGTTTCTGTTTCCAAAGGCAGTTTCTTCAGGCCGGCAAGCATGTCCTCGTGGAATACCCCATGACCTTGTCTTTTGCAGCGGCCCAGGAGCTATGGGAGCTGGCTGCACAGAAAGGTGACGTATTCTATTCTCTGACTCTGGTTTCTAGGGTACCATCTTTCTGCCTTTCGTATATGCTGTCTTATCTGCATCTGCTTTGGCGCTAAGAGCTCCCCACGTCCCTCTTGCCCCCAGGCTCCAGATGCATGCGTGGGGAAGTGTGTCAGTCAGAGGAGCTGGTAGTCTCTTTGTTCTAATTGGAACAGTGGATTGGCTTCCACATGTGATAGTGCTGTTGATATATTGGCTTGCCCAGATCAGGGTAATGGATTGTCTTATATGTATTGCTATATAGTTTCTTTGTTCCATTAAGGGAGTAAGTATTAGATGGTCACTGTATGCCAGGAAACTCTTTCCAGCGTATTGTATGCTTAGTGCTCATAAGAAGTTTTGGAGGCAGCGATCTTTGTTTGCTGTCACTCACAGGAGACCTGAGGTTGGCGGTTCATTAAGGAAAGGGACTTTCTTAGCTCGTGCCGCTGGAGACCGGAAGTCCAGAGTCAAGCGCCTGTGCCCGTTTGGTATCTGAGTTTCTTGTGTTCTCCACACAACAGAACTCAGAGAGCAGCGTGGAGAGACCCAAAGTCTTGATATTTCTGTCTTCTATTTTATTCATTCTACTTTGAGGCTTCCCCCTGAGTTTTCTAATTGGGTTATTACATTTTTAAATTCTGTCTTCATTTCCACTTGTGCTCTCTTCTGCCTCTTGATGGAATTCAGATTTCAAATCCCTAATTGTTCTTGCCGTTGTTCAGATTTATGTTTGTGTTTTCTTGGTCATCACTTGGGTGTTTGTTGCTGTTCTGTTTACATTTATTGAGTTCATTGTTTGCTTCTGTCTTTTTTGTTGTTGTTGTTGTTGTTCTGGTTTTTTGTATACAGGGTTTCTCTATAGCTTTGGAGCCAGTCCTGGAACTAGCTCTTGTAGACCAGGTTGACCTTGAACTCACAGAGATCCCCCCTGCCACTGCCTCCCAAGTGCTGGGATTAAAGGCATGTGCCACCACTGCCTGGCTTGCTTCTGTCTTTTTTAAACTCCATCAATTGTGTAAGTTTTGTTGTTCTTTTTCATTTGTGTCCTGGGGCTGGAGAGATGGTTTAGAAGTCAAGAGGAATGGTTGCCCTATCAGAGGACCTAGGTTCAATTCCTAGAACCTGTCTAGCAGCTCATAACTGTCCATAACTCCAGCCCCAGGGCTTCTGGTGTCCTCTTCTGGCCTCCACTCGTGTAGTGCACAGATATAACATACACGCACTCAAAACACCCATACACACAAGTAAGAATCTGGTTTAAAAACTTAGCTCAGTGTCTTGGGATTCATTTAAGTAATACTCTTTGGAGAACATTCTGTAGAGCTGCTGGCTTTTGAGGGGAGGACATACTGTCTTAGCACTTCAAGTTGTGTTTTTCCAATGAAATCTAGGCACGTGGATTTCTTGATTGTGTATCTAATACAAGCTCCTAGGCTGCTTCTGTTGAATAGAAATGTGTTTTATGTCAGGTCTGAGGAGTTAGTTAATACCTTCAGGTTCAGTTTGGGTTTGCATGGCTATCAGGGCTTACTGAGTACCAGCTTCAGCGCTCCCTCAGGGCTCAGAACAGGATGTCTGCAGCAAGCTGGCTTAAATAGGGGGGTCTGAGGGGCTGAACAGATTGACTCAAGCATACTCTTCCTCTGCATGTTTCTTTATTCTCTGGGCGAAAAAGAAGGGGTATTCCCCCACAAGGCTTTCAGTTTACATACACATACAGACGTAGTTAGCAATTCCATAGGCAATGACAGTGATACCAAACATGCATTTCACGGGGTCACAGAAACAGGTAAATCTGATAAGGAGGCGCCTTATATCTCAGAGGGGGAGCCGTGGCTGAGAAGCTCCCCAGTGGATAAATGGGACTTCAGATCAGTGCAGAATTCTAAGAGGTTTCAGGCCCTAACTACATTTAAGTATAACAGTCAAGCTAGAAGGTTGTGGTTAATAACCGTAGAGAAAAGCACAGCCGTGCTCTTGCACTTTCTGGGCACTTCTGCTTCCTTCCCTGGGCATTATGGTAACCATAGTAACTAGCGCAGGCTGGGAGGAAGGTGAAAGTGCTTGATGTGTCACATCTTGCTAGCTCAAGTAAAGGGGATTTTTTGGAGCCCTTGCTTCCAGCCCCAGCAGCAGCAGCAGCATGCCTACTGGCACCCAGGTGAGAAGGAATTTCTTCCTCTGGGGCCGGTTTAGCAACCCGAACTTCTTTCCTGTATCTCTAGGGTTAAAGGCATAAACAGTTAATCTCCTGGGCTGTGATCTTATGTTACTTGAAACCAAGGTGAAGGGTAAATACAGAATATTAATAGCATATTAGGGTAGAGCAGACCTACACCTTCCTGAGTCTGCTGCTAGAGAATTCAGGGCCGCCCAGACCTGTTTATCAGCAAGAGCAGACATGCAGTCTGCCCTGCTCGCTGCCTGTCCCTACTGAGGTTCTTATGTGACCACATGTTTGCAAGGCTCCTCTCTTTGGGAAAGTCCTGCCGGTAAGGATAATGGTGGGGGACTAGCTTTATGTAGATTTGACTATGAGGACAAAGGTTGGGCTGAGTGGTTGCTTTCACGCCAGAGCCCCACCACGTGGCAGAGGTCACCCAGTTGCCTGTACAGGAAGAAGTTATCTCAGTGAATGATTTACACACACTGGGATATTTCAGGATGAATCCCATTATGGAAGGGAGAAGAGCCATGGCTTCACAAGCTTTCTACAGACTTGACAGTGACTTTTCAAAAGACGGGTGTTCCCGAAGCTCTGCAGATTGGGTTTCTCATTGGAATACACTCCCATGAGTTTGTCTCGTGGTCTGTCAGCTATGCTTTTCCTGTATAGTCTTGTGGGCTTGTGACACATGGGAGGACCAGGCTGATTCTAGTTCAGTGGTAAGCAAGAAAGCGAAGTAAAGCAGTGACAAGAAAGAAATCAAACGGTCCAGACATGGCTGGATCTGTTTGACCTGGTGTGCAGGAGGTGCTACCCAGGCTATGCCTGAGAGTGAGGGTAGCATAGGTAGGTCAGGATCGTGGCCGCTAACCAGGCTGACTAGGCTGGCAGGACAGTCTGTGCCACCAAGGCTAGGTCTGATGGCTGGGTATGGTGCAGTCAGGTGAGGTTCTAAGAATTCACCAGGATGAGCCGGTGCACAATGTGTGATCTGGTTTAGGTCTGAGGATTAGGGGGAGAGCAGGCAGGCTAGAGTCCAGGGAACTCTCTAGACCAAAGCATAGGATGTGTGACCTGGGCCAGGCCAGGAGGTATGTGGTGTGGATGGGGCAGGATCTGGTGGACTAACCAGACTGTCCAAAGGAAACGACCCTTCTTCCTTTAAATCTATATTTATTGACTAGTCTTTCCTGTCTTCCTCCCCCACCTTCTGGTAAGCGTTATTCTACTCTACTTCCCTAAGACTGGCTTCTTACATTCCACTTAGTGAATGGCATCACTGTTTTTCTTTCTGTACACGGGTCATTTCATAATACCCTCTAGGCTTACCCACATTGCTGGAAATGACGGGCTTTCGGCGTCACTGTGGAAGGATTCTGTTGTGGGCAAGCCCTGGTTTATTTACTCTGAATCTGTGCACTGACTCTTTTGAAACAGCGCTGAGATGAACCCGGGAGTGCAGAGGTCTCTCTGACATTCCATTCTCTGTGGGAAGGGGGGGTGGTGGATCACGTTAGATCTGTCTGGAACCCCGTGAGGAACTTCCACAGCGTTTTCCCGTAACGACAGTAAGTTGTAAGCCACGCTAGCAGTGTGTAGGGGACCACTCCCTTCTGTGCACATCCTCGTCAGCCATTTGTTTGGCCTTTTTTATAATAACCATTATAAATGGAATGAGATGATATTTCATTGTGAGCTATATTTTCATTTCTCTGATGATAAAAGTTGAACATTTTTCCCTGTAACTGCTGGTCATTTGCATGTTTTCTTTAGAAAAAAAATTCTATGGATATTACCTATTTTAAATTTTGATTATTATTACCATTTTTCCTGTTGAGTTCTCTATATATTCTAGATATTAACCCCTTACTGGATCTATATTTTGCTGGTATTTTAACTCATTTTGTAAGTAGTGTTTTTATTCTGTTGTTAAACGTAACATTTTGGTTTGATAACGTGCCATTTGTGTGGGTTGGCGTCTATAGTCTGTCCTTTTGTGACCTAAGCAAACTTTGTCTAGTCCAGTTATGGTGATTTGAGTAAGAAGTAAGCTTGGATTTGAACACTTGGTTCCCAATTAGTGGCTCTGTTGGGAGAGGCTTAAGAGTTAGGCCTGGAAGTTTGAGATTATATAGCCTTGTCCTTTTTCCCACTTGCAGCTTTTTCTCTGCTTGGTCCTTTTGTTTAAAGATGTGCTCTCTCAGCTTTCTGCCTTGTTGCTGTGCCTGCTGCCTGCTGCTGTGCCTGTTGCCATGACTACTACCTGCTACATGTACCATGTCTGCTGCCATACTTGCTGCTGTGCCTGCTGCCTGTTGCCATGACTACTACTCTGATGGAATCTTAAACTCTTGATGAGTTATTCCTGGTGATGGTATTTTCTCACAGTCACAGAGCCAGAATTCTCAAGAATTTACCATATGTTTTTATATATTGTTTCCTAGTTCTTGAGCTTATAGTTAAGTATTCAGTGAGCTGATTTTGGTAAGTGTGAGTGTAGTGTTTCGCATGTGAGTATCCACTTCTCCAAAGAACATTTACTGAAGAAGTCATCCTCCGTAACGTTTGATGTGGCAGCGGTTTCTTCATGTGATAGTAAAGCACCAGGAATGTACAAGGATAAAACTGTCAAAATGTCAAAGGCTTTTGATGCTTCAAAGAAAAGATGGAAGAACGGGAACCTTTGCTGTGGAAGCCGTGTGCAGACGGTGTCCTCGAGAAAAGTTTCCATTCAGAATATCTGCAGGATTCCACAACTTAAAAACAAACCGAGTAACCTGACTCAGAAAGGTCACGTTGTAGAAATTTTCGTTTTCCAAAGTGGAAAACAAGTAAAACCGCACCAATCTTTTTTTTTTTTTTTTTTTGGTTTTTCGAGACAGGGTTTCTCTGTAGCTTTGGAGCCTGTCCTGGCACTAGCTCTTGTAGACCAGGCTGGCCTCGAACTCACAGAGATCGGCCTGCCTCTGCCTCCCGAGTGCTGGGATTAAAGGCATGTGCCACCACCGCCCGGCTCCAATCTTTTTTTTTTTTTAAGTATTTATTTATTTATTATGTATACAATATTCTGTCTGTATGCCTGAAGGCCAGAAGAGGGCGCCAGACCTCTTTACAGATGGTTGTGAGCCACCATGTGTTTGCTGGGAATTGAACTCAGAACCTTTGGAAGAGCAGGCAATGCTCTTAACCACTGAGCCATCTCTCCAGCCCCCGCACCAATCTTTAAAGAAATGCAAATAAAAACTACAAAAGATATCACATCTATTGGGATATCTAAAGGGGGTCTCTGTGGCCACCATGGCCGTCAGAGCAACGAATCTCAGGAGGCGGCACACCTGACCCTGAGGAGTTTATTTTAGGCACAGATTAGCACAGTCTGGTGAGAATTTTCCTGGCGGTAATTAATTCACTCCCATGTGCATGGTGAAGCTTCAGAGGAGACTCCATCAGAACGCTCTGTGAAGCACATGTAACACCTTCCGTAAGATAGATTGACAGGCTCAGGATAAGGCCTGCACACAAAGGTCACCAGGCTCCTCACCCCTCTGCTTTCTGTTATCTGCCAGCCTTCTAGGCAGATAACAGGTTATATCCTTCCCTCGTGCTTAAACAAACCCTAGTGCTTATCTGTGAGCACAGGAACCTCTGTGCCTCCCACTATTGTAGGCAGAGTTTTTCTGTAGCCGCTCCCAAATAACCATTCAGAGACTTAATAGTAATTATAAATGCTCGGCCAATAGCTTAGGCTTGTTACTGGCTCTTACATTTTAAATTAACCCATATTTCTTATCTACCCTCTGCCACATGGTGGTTCTTTCTTTCTTTCTTTCTTTCTTTCTTTCTTTCTTTCTTTCTTTCTTTCTTTCTTTCCTTCTTTCTTTAAGATTTATTTATTATATATACAATGTTCTGCCTGAATGTCTCAGTATGTGGGTGCACCCCTCGCGGTCATTGGGGATGATCTATCGGGAACTCAACAAGGCCAGCTGGACTGGGTCTGAAAAAGCCTGGGATAAAACCGGACTCGCTGAACATAGCGCACAATGAGGACTGCTGAGAAGTCAAGAACAAGGACACTGGGTTTTGATCCTATTGCACGTACTGGCTTTGTAGGAGCCTAGGCAGTTTGGATGCTCACCTTACTAGACCTGGAAGGAGGTGGGAGGTCCTTGGACTTCCCACAAGGCAGGGAACCCGGACTGCTCTTCGGGCTGATGAGGGAGAGGGACTTAATTGGGGGAGGGGGAGGGATATGGGAGGCAGTGAAGGGGAGGAGGCAGAAATCTTAAATAAATAAATTTAAAAAAAACAATGTTCTGCCTGCATGTGTCCCTGCAGGCCAGAAGTTGGCACCAGTTCTTATTAGAGATGGATGTGAGCCACCATGTGGTTGCTGGGAATTGAACTCAGGACCTCTGGTAGAACAATCAATGCTTTTAACCACTGAGCCATCTCTCAAGCCCCCCCCCCTTTTTTTTCTTTAGTTTTTCGAGACAGGCTTTGGAGCCTGTCCTGGAACTAGCTCTTGTAGACCAGGCTGGCCTCAAACTCACAGAGATCTGCCTGCCTCTGCCTCCCAAGTGCTGGGATTAAAGGTGTGTGTCGCCACCACCCAGTGGTACCTTCTTTCAACACAGAACATTCATCTTTCTTCTTTCTTCGTCTCTCGTGACTCCTGAAACTCCACTCTTCTTCTTCCCAGCAATCCTGCCTAGCTGTCAATCAGCTTTTTATAAACACTGAGCAACACATTTTCACAGTGTACAGAAGGATTATTCCACATCACATTGCTGACCAGAAAATAAGTGTTCACAAGGATTCAGAGATGTTAGAAGAGCCCATGCACTTTAATGTCAGCTGGGGCGTGTAAAGGAGGTGTTGCCCTAACATGTGCTCTGGACCCTGCCTATAGACATACTGTGTGCAGTTCTGGAGGGAGAATGACATAACCTCCAAGCACACAGCTGTCTGTACACCATGGATAATGGCCACCTTCATTCTGTTTTGTCACAACAGGGAAAGTCCTGCATGAGGAGCATTTGGAACTCTTGATGGAAGAATTTGCATTCCTGAAAAAGGAAGTGATGGGGAAAGAGCTGCTGAAAGGGTCTCTTCACTTCACAGGTCAGTGCGAGGCAGGGGGGAGGTCCCGATACCACAGGGAGCAGAAACCATCCAGTTCAGTTGTCACCTGGGCGGTCTTGGAGCTCTCAGAGCCCAGGGACCTCTGCTCAGGCACAGCTTGGTTCTTGACGTCACACAGCTTCTGTAGTATCATTTCAGGTCATAGCAGGATGAGGAAAAGCTAGTAGGCGTATCAAAGCTGAAGATAAGAAGCAACTGAAGAGATCAGGTGCAGATGAGGAGAGGAACGCGTCCCTAAAGGCCTCAGTGGTACCCACATGCATAATTTATGTCACTAAAAGAGTAAAGGGTCTGGAGAGATGGTTCAGAGGTTAAGGGCACTCATGGCTGCTCTCCACAGACCCAGGTTTGATTCCCAGCATCCACATGGTGGGATATAACTGTCTAGAACTCCAGTCCAGGGGTCTGACACCCTGGGAGGCGCTGCAGGTGTGTGGCACACAGACATACATGCAAGCAAAACACCCATACACAGAAAAATGAAGGAAAAAAAAAACTTTAAAAAGAGATTAAGGGCATAGTTCATTAACCATTTTAGTAGGTATTATTTTTAGAGAACTTCATACAAGAACAATAACATCTATATTAATAACTTTTCTAGTTATGGCAAAACACCTGACACAGGCAACTTAAGGAAGTGTTCCTTTTGCTCGCTCTTCAGGGGGCTCTTCAAGCATTAGCAGTATATTGTCACCTGAGAAGGCAGCTTCTGCCACTCTCCCTCCTCCCCCCTCTTTATCTCTCTGCCTCTCTCTCTGCTCTTCTCCCTTCGCCCCTTCCCCCCCATAACCCACTAAATCAATACCCACTTTCTCTGCATGGTGTGCCTAGTAGGTCTCTGTCTCTCACCCGCTGCCTTTGTGGCCTGCTGTGGTCTCCTGGCCCACTGCTGCCACTCGGGACCTGCAGTGTTTTATCGCTCACTGTACACAGCTGTGCCATGAGGCAGGATGTCCTCTTGCTCATTCAGCTGTTCTCCATCCCCACCTTCCCTGGGCATGGATCTTTGCAAGACAGTCCTTTTCCTAGCTCTCTTAGCATGTGTGATCTCTTGCAGCTAGCCCACTGGACGAAGAGAAATTTGGCTTTCCCGCATTCAGTGGCATTTCTCGCCTGACCTGGCTAGTGTGCCTCTTTGGGGAGCTTTCTCTTATTTCTGCCACCTTGGAAGACCGAAAAGAAGATCAGTATCTGAAAATGACTGTGCAACTCGAGACCCAGAGCAAGGGGTGAGTTGTGAGAGACTTCCTAACGTCCTCGGGCACAAAAGGGTAACTCTTGAGAGGTCCCGAAGGACCAGTCCCTGGCATCCAGACCTAAGACAAGTGTCTGCTCCTCTAGAGAAAGCCTTTCCATCCTTTACACCCCCTGAGGTGTGAAGAAACAATATAAGTTAAATAAATAATGGCTTACAGAAATAAAGCAAGTAACTAAGTTATGTGAGTAATTACTTTAAGCTTTGCTATTTACTTATTTTTCTATTTAGCTTGCCTCATTGCATATTTCTGGTTACGAGAAAATTATCTGTTTTCCATGGTCAGGTATCGTAGCTCTGCTAATAATAATAATGAGAAGCAGCATAGGTGAAGGAATGTCTTGAAGAGCGTGGAGTCTGTGTGCCATGCTGAGGAAGTGAGATGGATCCGTGCTTTGCGCTAAAGTACTATTGGAAGCATGGTCACCTGTAGTCTTTGGGTGGTGGTGGAGAGCTGGTTGTCACTGGGCCACCACCGTGAGGCAGCCTTTCAGGGAAGATGGGTCCTGTCCCATGAAGGCAGGTGTGAGTACCCATCTGCTTTCCTGTGTGGGTTTTTTTAGCACGTGTATGACATATGTTCCATATGTGTGTGCTTACACATGTGCACATGCCTTGATGTTGAGCGCCATCTTCTTCCTTGACCACTTTCCACTTTACTGAGGCAGGGTCTCTCACTGAGTCTTGCAGATTCTAAGAGTCTGGCTAGCCAGCTCTCCAGGGATCCTGTCCCTCCCTCCTGGAATTGTTGAAATTGGAGCGGTAGGGCTGCGTCCCCGGCACCCGGCCGCCCGCATGGCTAGCTTATGCCCAGAAATAATTACACGGAAACTCTATTCCTTCAAACACTGCCCGGCTAGTTCCAGTTTCTTATTGGTTAGCTCTTACATATTGTTCTAACCCATTTGTAATATTCTGTGTAGCCCACGAGCTGGCTTACCAGGGAGGATCTTAACCTGCGTCTGTCTGGAGCGGGAGAATCATGGCGACTCCTCGACTAAGCTTCTTTTTCCCAGCATCCTGTTCTGTTTTCTCCGCCTACCTAAGGGTTGGCCTATCAAATGGGCCTAGGCAGTTTATTAATAAGAAATCACTCCCACATCATGGAATTACAAGTGGGCCACCCTGCCAGCAGAGCTTTTGCGTGGGTGCTGAGGATCTCAGCTCTGATTCTCATGGTTGTGCCTTCTCTCCAGCTCTGTCCAGTGTGGTTTCTAACATGATTCGGAATGTTCTTGTCTTTGCAGGACGTTGTGCTGGATTGAAGAGAAAGCGCCCGGTTTAAAAAGAAACAGATATTTAAATTTCCAATTCAAATCTGGGTCCCTGGAGAATGTACCAAATGTAGGGATCAATAAGAAAATTTTTCTGAAAGATCAGGATCTATTTATTCAGAAACTCTTGGGCCAGGTGTCTGCAGAGGACCTGGCTGCTGAGAAGAAGCGGATCATGCATTGCCTGGGTCTGGCCGATCACATCCAGAAACTCTGCCGTCCTGAGAAGTGAGGAGGAAGCTCCGAATACCTGAGAAGGGCTAGGGTTTGGTTTTATCAACACTTCATCTATAGCTCTTACAGTTAAATACATTGAATAAACAGAACGAGAGAAGTGTCATGAACTTCTCTTGTGTTGGGAGTAAATTTGTTCTGGGGCCGTTCCGTGAGAGTAAGGGAAGAACGTTTTGAGGACATTTCATCTTCCTAATAGCAGCCCTGTTGGATATAGCCAGTGCTGTTTTCAGGCTTGTGGAAAAGCTTGAAGTCATCCAGGCAGGGAAAAAAATCGATTTGAAGGTCTACCCATGTTCCAAACCCTTGCCTTGAGCAGCATTCCATCCTTTAGAGAATGGGGCTGCCCCTCAGTCACGGGGTCACCACGAGTTGGTGGACAATGCCAACAATAATGAACAGCATGGCGGTGAGTAAAACGATTACCCGCTTGGGTTTGTTGGGGGTGAGTTTGTGGTGAAGAGGTGAACAACACAGTCGCCTAGAGCAAGTCCTGGGCCTACAGGAGGGGGTCCTGGAGAGAAAACTATGAGTTGGTGTGGTGGGAAGAATCAGAAACCAGAAACAGGAGGCAGTGTCGGGCAGCAATGTGGTTCTGAAATTATTAACAGCATGATACCTTGGCCAGTTTCTCAGCTCAGGCTAAGTCCTCGGAAGCCACTGGAAACAGGTGTTCTGGTGGCGGCCCTCAAGGACGGGTCTGCAGTCTTCTCCGTTCCTGTCCCTCAGCCTCTGCTGCCTTGAACTGAGCAGAGTGCCGCGAACCCGTGCTTGTTGGTTCTCTTGCATTTTCTCCACAGCCTACTTTTTTTTTGTTTTGTTTTTTAAATATTTATTTATTTAGTATGTATACAATGTTCTGTCTGTGTGTATGCTTACAGGCCAGAAGAGGGCACCAGACCTCATTACAGATGGTTGTGAGCCACCATGTGGTTGCTGGGAATTAAACTCAGGACCTTTGGAAGAGCAGGCAATGATCTTAACCACTGAGCCATCTCTCCAGCCCCCTACTTTGTTTTTTTAACGTACTGCTTTTTAAAATGAACAAGTTTCATTACAGCATTTTCATACATGGGGATCATAGACCAATCAGGTGTTTTAGGCAAAGTGACACAGCCTTACAGAGTTTAACAAATGCAAAGTAAAAAAATGCAACATATCTTTGCATCATTAAACGAATGTTCCACAGCATAAACAAATGTAACATCTTAAAATAATATTCTACAACACTTTTATCACCATTTCCCTGAGGTTATGGAAAGACATTTTGTATCTGGGAATGCTGAACTCCGTGGGACTGGAGCTGGAGTGCGGATATGGAAGACAGGAAGGAGAGCTCTGCAGTTGCCAGGGCAGGCAGGCAGAGTCTGAACTTGCTGGTGAAGAGGAGGGGTCAAGAGATTCAGGAGGCAGACTACCCAGCACAAAGCCTATGCCTAAAACAAGCAGCCCCTCCTGTGTTCCTCCAGCAGTGCCGGCTAAATGAAGCCATGCACAGAAGGATGAGAGAACACTGATGTATCGTCTTACTATTGCCACCCCTCCTGCAGAACCCACAGGTGCTTATACAAGACCTCATCTCCAGACAGGCATTGTCTCCTCCTCTTGCTTTTTTTTTTTTTTTTTTTTTTTGGTTTTTTGAGACAGGGTTTGTCTGTGGTTTTGGAGCCTGTCCTGGAACTAGCTCTTGTAGACCAGGCTGGTCTCAAACTCAGAGATCCGCCTGCCTCTGCCTCCCAAGTGCTGGGATTAAAGGCGTGCGACATCACCGCCCGGCCTCCTCTTGCTCTTGTGTCCCATTTTGAAGGACGTGGCACCCTGGATAGCTGAGGGGAGTAACAGGTGTGATGCTAATACTGAATGGCTACTGGGCACTCAGCTATTATACCAGAATGGTTTTATTTTTGAGTATTATACAATTAAGTTTACAAATGATGAATTTTATGTACATGGACCAGAGAAGTCTTTAAAGGAGCTGCTGAGAAACTCTTCTCTACAACAGTCCAAGTGGAAACTAGATTCCAGAGACCAGGAGCACATGGTCTAAAGAGCAGACTGTCTTTAAGGTCCCTGCTCCTAGGTGGATGGTTACTCGTGTGGAGCTTCAGGGTGTGGCATCCATGCTGAGGTGCAAGAAGGGGAGAGGGACAACTCCGTGGTAGTTGGCTGCAGCCACACGATAACCCCGGCATCTCTCCACCGCCCGAGAACACAGTGGCCTCCACTGCAGGCGTCTCTAAGTGGCCTCAGTCTCCTTGCAACACAAGAACATCAGAAAGATCCTCTGTGCCTTCCAGCTTCAGATTCTGAAGGAAGAAAAGAAATGCACAGGCTATGGCAGACTGAGAACAAAACCCTGAGACAAATTTTAGTGAGGAGACAGCAAATGAGGTCTGTTCCATCAGCACAAGAAAAATCACCTCATGGTAAATAGTTTGTACAAAGCTGCTTTGCACCAGAGCTGAGGAGTCAGGCCATCTGCCCCAAGGGGGCTAAGAAATGCAGAAGGGGAGGCCACCAGGAGCCCTGGCACCCATGACTAACCTGCCTGACCTCCTCCACAGGTCCATAACCCATCTCCCAACTGTCACATCCCTGACAGCTGCCTTCTCCACTTCTGCTCAGCACCCATCTTAACTTTCATCTTCGCCTCAGGCAGCTGTTTCCCTACCCCAACCCCTGCCTCACTGGTACAATGTGAGACCTGTTGGTACTCAGCATCCACCTACCCTCTTCCTATCAGACCTTCCTAGTGCTCTGTGGTTAAGGCTCTAGAAGCTGGGAGAGCATGGAGACTCAGCTTAGGGGGAGAGCACTGGCCTACACATGCAAGGGCCTAAGTTTGGCCTCTAGCACAAAAGGGAAGGTGCTTCCAGTTTGACCAGTTTTTGCTGCTGGCTATGGTGCCCGAGGAAAGAGGAAACTACATCCTAAGACCCAACCACACAGCCCATCTGAGGGGAGTCACTAACTAGAGTGATAGACATGGTCCACATAGGAGTGACTAAGTAAGAACGGGGCTGGAGATGGCTTCATGGTTAAGAGCCCTGATTGCTCTTCCAGAGGGACCCAGGTCCAATTCCCAGCACCCACATGGCAGCTCACAGCTCTGTAACTCTAGTTCCAGGGGATCTGACACCCTCACACAGACATACACGAGGGCAAAATAGAGAGTAAGAAGGAAGATCAAGCTGTGGGATAAAGTGTTTGGGGGAAGTTTCCCTTGCGGGTGCTAAGCTCTGATCTGTGGAAGTGTCAAAATGGCCAAGTCCAATCCTGTATTCAGCCTGACAGGGCATGAGCTGTGGTCACACTGTATTCTTCTGATGACAAGGCCTCTGAGGCCTCTAAAGCCTGCGCCATCACTAGGGACGGGGAGCAGAGCTGCTGGAGCTGGGGGCCTGAGTGAAGCACGCTCACAGCCAGTGCCCGCTTGTCAAGGTGATAACAGTACCCCAGTTACCCACAGTTAGGTTTTTAGCCTTTCTTCAGGTTCTTGGCCTCTGATGTTTGTATCAGGAACCAAACGGAAATATTCCCACTGCCATTGGTGGTACATGCCCACCACCCCTACCCCCATAAATTTTTTCGTTTTTAAACTGGGTGGTGATAGTGCATGCCTCTGATCCCAGCACTTGGGAGGCAGAGGCAGGCAGATCTCTGAGTTCAAACCAAGCCTGGTCTACAGAGTGAGTTCCAGGGCAACCAGAGCTGCAAAGAGAAACCCTGTCTTGAAAAACAAAAACAAAACAAAACAAAACAAAAAAAAAAAGAAAAAAAATTTATAATTTTTTTCATTTTATTCGTGTGTGTGTGTGTGTGTGTGTGTGTGTGTGTGTGTGTGTGTGTGAAAGGTCAGTGTATCAGAAACTCCTGATCTGGAGTTACAAGAGTTGTGTATTGCTCAATATGGGTGCCAGGAACTGAACTCAGGCCCTCTAAATAAGATTATAGGCTTTACCCACTGACTGTGGTGCCTCTTGGGAGATCTGCTATAGTAAGATTTAAACCCTCCTGTGCTTACTCAAATAACCTACCTTTTCATTGGCTAAATGCAGCAGACAGGCAAAAGCCAAGGGTATGGAGAGGTTCTGAGCCATGAGCGGGGGCAGCCTAGAAGGAAAAGCACAAGCAATGAGTACGTCATGTAACTGAGAGAACAGGGCTCCTCCACCAGGTATGAATCACACACATGCAACTAAAAACTACCAAGAAACAAAGCAAGATTTTCTAGTTTGTATTTGGAAATGTCTCCTACACTGTCCCAGCCACTCAGACAGGGAAGCACTCTTTACAGCTCATCCATGCATAGGGCAGACACAGCTCCTTCAGTTTACATAAAGCAAGCTGTGGGCAGCGGACCTGCCAGGCTCAAAGTCCCTCCAGAACTCGGAAGGGATATGCACCCCCAGCCCTCTGTCAGCACGCACCTCTTCTGCAGGTCTGTCGTGAGTCCACTGAGCATCTTCTTGTCAGCTACTTCCTCAGGGGCCCCTTCTTTTCCATTGACACTTTGGTTTGTCTAACCAAAAAAGCAGATTTATGGATTGAGCACTTAAGTTTGCGCTTGGAACAACAGAAACTTGCAAAACTGTATATCCAATAAAGAAAAGTAGCCTGGATGAAGCAAAGATAAGCTCTTGGTTATTTCTGGAAGACCTTAGGGGATGTTTTGGTTCCCATACTGGCATTCTTGAGAGGTGATGGAATTTTTCTCGTTTGTTTTCTGTTGTTTGAGACATGGACTCTCTATACAGACCAGACTGGGCTGGAACTCAGAGGTCCACCTGCCTCTTGCATGTGCCACCATGCCTGGCTGAGAGGCTGGAATTTTAAAGAGAGATAATCAGAGCACCAGGATGTGACTGTGGATAGGAGACCACATACCTGAGATTTCATATTCTAGCCACAATATAGGTGATTAGACCCTACTTTGTGCTTCTGTAAAATATTACTGCAAGACGTAGTGGTATTTCATTTGTATTTTTTTTTTTTTTTAAAAAAAGCTTGCCTGAAGATCAAAATGTTATTTACAGCCACACTAGTCAGCCATACAGGCCACACAGTGGTTGTACACAATCTTTAATTCCAGCAGCCACACTAGTTAACCATAGAGGCCAGTTAATGGTGGTGCACACCTTTAATCCCAGCACTAGAGAGGAATATAAAACAGGATGAGACAGGAACTCACTCTCTTTCGGTCTGAACATTGCATAGAGGTAAGAGCTCTCTAGTGGCTTGGCTGCTCTGGTTTTTTGATCTTTAGGCTGAAACTCCCCCCCCCCCCCCCCCCCCCCCCAGAATGAACACGTGGTCTCTCCTCTCTCCTCCCCTCTCCATGTTTTTCTGGGTCCACCCACGAGTAAGGTCATCTTTTAATTTGGTTTGATTTGGGTTATTTGCGTCAGCAGAGAGGTTCGTCTTAAGAAAATACTTAACTTTGGAGGTCCCACCAGGGGGACTGTTTTTCTCATGGGCCAGGCTAAGATGACGAGTCCATGCGCTAGGCTCGGGGGCCCATTTACATTTATTTTTGCCAGTGTTTCAGGCTTTCCTGTGAGAATCACAATTGTGCCGGATGCCTGATTCAAGCGGCAAGCTAGGTCTCGCTGAGGTGGGACTGAGTGGATAGACGTCTGCCACTCATTTCTCATGACCCCCCCCCCACCCCAGTTTTTGACAAGAGCCCTGTCCCGGTGGACGCATTATGACAGGCTTGAGTTCCAAGATTTGGCATAGACTTCTAAATGGGCTCTCAAAGCCAGATCCTCAAACACCCTTGAGCTGCCTTTTACAAAAATCCTTTTAAATTAGGGCTAACATCTAAGGTAAAAACAAAAAAGGCTCCAAAATGCCATGGCTTCTAGATGTGTGCTCCCGCCCCCACTCCCATTCCCCGCTTCTCTAGCTGTTCCTCTCTGTTTGTTCTCTACAATGGATCCGATCTGTCATACGTGTCGTGTGTCCCTCACCCCCTCCTTCCACTCTAAAACCGTATAGTTCTTCCGTCCTTTTGTTTCTGTTCCCCCTTGCAGCATCTGCTAATTGGGTCCTTAACGGGACTGACCACCTCTGTGCTTCCCTGGCTACTGCCACCTGCCTACACCAGGATTTTTTTTTAAATAAATATTTATTTATTTATTTATTATTATGTATACAATATTCTGTCTGTATGCCTGAAGGCCAGAAGAGGGCGCCAGACCTCTTTACAGATGGTTGTGAGCCACCATGTGGTTGCTGGGAATTGAACTCAGGACCTTTGGAAGAGCAGGCAATGCTCTTAACCACTGAGCCATCTCTCTAGCCCCCTACACCAGGATTTTTAAGATGGTCAGTTGACACAGGTTCCTAGAATAATTTTATTTGTCTATCTGTTAAAATAATGTGGCCACAGTATGCTTGTTTCTTGTTTGTGTGAGTACGGGGGTGTGTTTCCACAGTATGCTTGCTTTATGTCTCTGTGAGCATGTGTGTTTGATTTCATAGTATGCTTGTTTTATTTCTCTGTGTGTATGTGTGCGTGTTTTCAGATCTGTAAAACTTCTAACTCCAGATTACAACCGCTCTGGAAAATACAAACATGTGGGTAACCTCTATTTTGACCCCACCACCATCTTGGGTAAGAGTACCCATATGTGCTAGTATTCTTTGACTTATTAAAATATTCCTTTTAATATTTTCCATTTACTAGCATTGGTAAACTGTAACTAATTGGGTAAAATAGATGTCTAAGTTTAACTTACATGTCTAGTTTAAATGTAACAAGTAATGGTACCCAATTCTCAATTGCCTTTACAGATCTGAGAGTATGGCATTTAAACAAAAGAGCCTCTAACACAGAGACATGCCCTCTACTTTGGGGCCATGGACAACACTGGATCATGAGCTGTGGACATCAGCTCTACCCCCCTACACACAGGGGACCTAGAGAACACAAGTACTGTCACCCACCTCTGTGTCAGCCTCCTTTCTAGAAAACTCCGTCAGCAGACTCCACATGCTCTGCTTCAGCTTCTTCATGTCCATCTTTTTGGCTGTCTTGGCATAATGAATTTCTATTTTATTTACCTGCAATAGGAGTAACAAAGCAGAATTAGGCAGAAGAAAAGCATTCATTATCAATTTACTGTAAAAACAAAAAAATCAGGGCTGGAGAGATGGCTCAGTGGTTAAGAGCATTGCCTGCTCTTCCAAAGGTCCTGAGTTCAATTCCCAGCAACCACATGGTAGCTCACAACCATCTGAATGAGATCTGGTGCCTTCGTATGGCCTATAGGCATGCATGCTGCCAGAACACTAAATATATAATAAATAAATCTTAAACAAAAAAGACCAAGAATTCCAGTGTAAAACGAGTAAATCAAGTATTAGGTAGCACAAGCCTGGCTCGTGGTACAGGACTTATAGGAGGCCAGAGCTAAGCTCATGGAGGGAGGAGGGAGCAGCAACACAAAGACACATGCGCTCTCTGCTGCATGCGCTCTCTGCTGCAGCCTTCGCTCGCTCACGCACTCTATTCCTCCTTATGGCCTGGGCTTGATTCTCAACACTGCAAAGGCAAATAAAAATTAATAAAATAAGGTATTTGGCGAGATGACAGTTCTACGTGACCTAACCAGCTGCCTGGAGAGCAACAGATAAAGACGGAAGACTGAGAGAAAACCAGGCGGAGCGCAGGCTGACAGGACTCTCATCGTTAGGCCTTAAACAACTTCCAGGAACCATGAATCCCTTGCTGCCTCTTCCTTACCTTCTGAGGCTCAGCCACCAAATTCGACTCTCCATAAGTTGTGATATCTACTCCTTGGTTTTCAGAAGAAATGTGACCATTCTCCTGTGATGTCTTTGGTGTACTGCAAGGATCAGATTCAAGGTCAAAGGTCCCAACTGATCCCGCAAATAAATCGTTTGGCTCTTCATCATCACTGTCACCAGCCTGGGCAAGGAAACAAGGCCGCGAGTTTGGCTTGCAGCAGCTGTCAATGGAGCTTAGAAACCACCAGAAAGAGTCCATGTACACAAAGCAAGCAGAGACCACCTCAGAGTCTACTGATTCCCACAAGGTGGACTGCTCACTTCACCTCTCCCCGTTTCACATAAACCTACTAGACAGAGGGGTCTGTTACCAGCCTGAGACTTCTGAGGCGGGAGTGTAAAGTAGGCCAGTGTCACCTTTGGTTAGAAGCCAGAGCATAGAGCAGGGGTTGGGCAAACAGCCCAGTAGGAGAACACACACACTACGTGTGAGGTACTGGGTTCTATCCCCAGTATACAAAAATAGCACAGGAGATCCCAGAGACTATCTAATGTGGCAGCGAGAGCCACGTCCTTATATATCTGGAGTGAGAGTCTCACGCATCCTTAGCCTTGTAACCCAGGATGACTTGAACTCTGATCTTTCTTCCTCCACCTCCTGAATGCTGGGATATAGGGTGTGTCCCATCACACCTGGTATGATGGTTTGAATGACAATGGCCCAAATAGGCTCATAGGGAGGGGCACTATTTGAAAGGATTAGGAGGTGTGGCCTTGGCGGGGGAAGTGTGTCACTGGGGGTGGGCTTTGAGGTTTTCAGAAGCTAAGCCCTGGTGTCTGTCTCCCTCTTCCTGCTGCCTGCTATGCAAATGTACAACTCTCAGCTACTTCTCCAGGACCATGATTGCCTGTGCACCACCATGCTGATAAGGGCCTAAACCTCTGAACTGTAAACCAGCCCCAATTAAATGTTAGACTGAGAACCACAGCTGTCTGCATTCAGAAGCCAGGGAAGAGACCACCCTCCATGGGGAAGAGGTCAGAGCTCTACTCCCCTTACCTGAAGTCCAGGACAGAAGTTGGAGGTATCGTTAGGGTTGTTGTAATCATAGTCTTCAATTTCCTCATAGTGCTCAGTCTTTGCCTTCTGGTTCTTGTCCATCTTAAGTAACTAGAATAAAACGAGAGTAGGGGCAATATAAAAAGTCTTCTAGAAAAGCAGCTACTGGGAAAAGTTAGGGATATCAACCATGTTACTATGCTCAGTTTCTAGCATAGTCTAGAGTCTTAACAGGCTACATAGTCTAATCTAGTTTCCACGGCACAGAACACAAGGTACAGGGCACAGAGCCCTCCTTTCACCCCCAAAACCAAAATGCTTCCTCTTCTGATCTGCAGCTTCATTTTCTGCAGTTTTATTTAAAAGCAAAAGTGGGCCACCTTGCCTACAGTTTTCTGAAAGAACTCATTTCCTTATGGTAAAGGCAGCCTATTGGGGTTGGCAAGAAGATTCTGTACAGTGCCGGCCTTGCAAGCATAAGGGCCTAAGTGTCTAACCCTAGTTCAGGAAAGCAATGTGCTGGCCAGCCAGTTTAGCTAATTGGTAATCATGAGACTGTCTCAGAGAGGATAAGGTGGAGCCAGGAAGGCGGCTCAGTGGATAAAGGTGCTCACTACAAAGCCTGACTGCTGTGGGGTGATGCTTTTGTACACTGTAAAGATCTGTCACTCGTATTGGTTTAATAAAATGCTGACTGGCCAGTAGCCAGGCAAGAAGTGTAGGTGGGGCAACCAGACTAGGAGAATTCTGGGAAGAGGAAAAGCAAAGACACAGTCACCAGCCAGATGCAGAGGAAGCAAGATGAGAAGTAACCAAAGCCCTTTGGAGGAGCCCAAAAGACCATGAGTGGATCCCAGACATTGGACATTAGAGTTTAGTTTTGCTTTGCTTTGATTGTGACTTTGCCATATATTTTCCTCTTGAAGTAAAGTATTTGCCTAGAGCCCATAGTTGAAAGACTTTGAATTTTAAAAGACCTGGGATTTTAAAGAGATTGGCTATTCTAAGGAAACTAAATTTTAATGTGCTTGTATTTGTAAAGACTGGGACTTTTAAAGTTATTTATGTTCATTTTAAGATTTATTTTATGTGTATGAGTGCTCCATCTGCATAATATACACCTGCAGGCCAGAAGAGGGCATCGGATCCCATTATAGATGGTTCTGAGTCACCAAGTGGTTGCTGGGAACCGAACGCAGGACCTCTGGAAGAACAACCAGTGCTCTTAATAGCTGAGCTGTCTCTCCAACCTGGGGTATTTATGTTTTTAATGTGAAATATTGGGAACCAATAAGAAAGGAAGGGTTGTGGCTTAGCAGTAATTTGTTTGTGTGTCAAGCTGACAAGGGGTCAGTTGTGCTGGCTCATTTGTCACCTTGACACAAGCCAGAGTCATCGGAGAGGAAGGAGCCTCAGTTGAGGAAATGCCGCCATGAGATCCATCTGTAAGGCATTTTCTCAATTAGTGATCAATGGGGGAGGGCCCAGCCCATGATGGATGGTCCTGGGTTCTATAAGAAAGCAGGCTGAGCAAGCCAGAGAGCAGCACTCCTCCATGGCCTCTGTATCAGCTCCTGCCTCCAGGATCCTGCCCTGCTTAAGTTCCTGTCCTGACTTCCTTTGGTGATGAGCAGCAATGTGGCAGTGTAAGCTGTTTTTTGTTCTGGGGTTTTGCTGCAGCAGCAGAAGCCCTAACTAGGACATGCTCCTTGGGAAATACAATCCCCAGTTCCACAAGAGACAGGTAGCACCTGAGCTCAAAGACCTCAACATAAAGCAACCTATACACTGAACCTTATAGAAGAGAAAGTGGGGGGGGGGGGGCTGGAGAGATGGCTCAGTGGTTAAGAGCATTGCTTGCTCTTCCAAAGGTCCTGAGTTCAATTCCCAGCAACCACATGGTGGCTCACAACCATCTGTAATGGGGTCTGGTGCCCTCTTCTGGCCTGTAGGCATACACACAGACAGAATATTGTATACATAATAAATAAATAAATAAATAAATATTTTTAAAAAAAAGGAAGAGAAAGTGGGAAGTACACTTGAACGCATTAGCACAGGGAACCACTTCCTAAGTATAACCCCAGCAGCACAGACACTGAGAGAAACAATTAATAAATGGGACCTCCTGAAACTGAAGAGATTCTGTAAAGCAAAGGACACAGTCAACAAGACAAAATGACAACCTACAGAATGGGAAAAGATCTTCACTAACCCCACATCAGCCAGAAATCTGATCTCCAAAATATACAAAAAACTCAAGAAATTGAACACCAAAAGATCACATAATCCAATAAAAAAGATGGAGCACAGACCCAAACAGAGAACTCTCAACAAAGGAATCTAAAATGGCTGAAAGACACTTAAGGAAATGCTCAACATCCTTAGTCATCAGAAAAATGCAAATCAAAACAACTCTGAGATTCCATCTTACACCTGTAAGAATGGCCAAGATCAAAAACACTGATGACAACTTATGCTGGAGAGGTTGCGGGGAAAGGGAGCACTTTCGCATTGCTGGTGGGAATGCAAGCTGGTACAACCCCTTTGGATGTCAGTGTGGTGATTTCTCAGAAAATTAGGAAACAACCTTCCTCAAGACCCAGTAATACCACTTTTGGGTATATATCCAAAGGATGCTCAATCATGCCACAAAGACATGTGTTCAACTATGTTCATAGCAGCTTTGTTTGTCATAGCCAGAACCTGGAAACAACCTAAATGTCCCTCAACCAAAGAATGGATAAGGAAAATGTGGTACATTTACATAATGGAGTATTACACAGCAGAAAAAAATAACAACAGCTTGAATTGTGCAGGAAAATGGATGGAACTAGAAAACATTATTTTGAGTGAGGTAATCCAGACCCAGAAAGACAATTATCACATGTACTTACTCATAGGTGGTTTTTAAACTTAAAGAAAACCAGCTTACAAACCACAATCCCAGAGAATCTAGACAACAATGTGGACACTAAGAGAGACATACATAGATCTAATTAATCTACATGGGAAGTAGAAAGTAGAAAAAGACAAGATCTCCTGAGTAAATTGGGAGCACGGGGATCTTGGGGGAGGGTTGAAGAGGGGCGGGGAGAGGCAGGGAGGGGAACAGAGAAAAATGTAGAGCTCAATAAATATAATGGGAAAAAATATATATATAATAATAATAATAATAAAGGGACAGCAACTTAAAGGAAGGGAAGCGCCGTCTTACCTTTATGCCAGGCTTGAGGTGAAGCTGGACGAGCGCATCCGTCTCATAGTGGAAATCTGTGGGGAGAGTGGTGGCTTTCCAAGTCTGGTTCTCCAAAGTGAACTTGGTCAGAGTGGTAGCAGCCTATTCGTTTAAAAAAAAAAAAAAAGCATTCTTAATAACAGCGATATCTATCATTTTAAAGGAATTAGGAAGGGTTTGGGCATTCCTCTACTGCGTGAAATTCTCTATCACTACAGTGAAGTGCCTGTGAAGGGCGTGAGAGGAGATGCTGCAATGGCAGCGCTCACAGAGCGGAGGCAGATATCCTGTCATGGGTTCAAGAGCAGCCGGGCCTGTAGAGGGCATGAGACTGGGCAACACGTGCCACTCTATCGAACTTTCTAAGCTTGCCTGTCCCTGGCACTGGCTTTGGGACTATTTCTCAGTGGTCCCTTAGGGATGAGGAACAATGAGAGTACTTGTTTATCAGTTAAAGTTATAGCTAAGCCCGGGGCACATGTGGGGAGTAAAGGCAGGAGGACCAGAGGTTTATGGCCAGCCTCAGCTAAGTCTGAGGGCAGCCTAGGCAGCCTATCTATCCCTAGAAAAAAAGTTAAATACACAATAACTTTCTGCTTATTTCTTTTGCTATGGAGTCTTTCTATGTAGCCCCGGCTAGCCTGGAATTCAGAGATCCTCTGCCTCCTGAGAGCAGAGATTAAAGGTGTACAATGTCACACCAGGCTGTAGTGAGTTTTGAAGACCCTGTCTGAAAGGGCAAGAGAAGTGAAGAGTAACTCAGAAGGCACTAATGTCTGGCACAAACCTTTGTTTTCTGAAAATATGCATCAAAATCAATATCATCATCAAAATTAATTTCAAAGTCCTTCTTTGCACTCTTCTTTTTGTTCTCCGCACAGGAGGTGGCATCGTCTGCAGAAATAGGGACAATTACAGCACCGTTCACTCTATGCCAGCATTATTCTCATCTCACATCTACTAGAGGCCTCGTCGAGCAGAAGGCAGCATGTGTGGGTAAGCATCACCACAGTGCTGGAGCACGGCAAAACCACAAACCCCGTTAATATTTATGTTGTAGTAGCAACAGGCATCAGTGTATAAGCTCCACTTTTTCTTCTTTTGTTTTGCAAGACAGAGTTTCTCTGTAGCTTTTGGAGCCTGTCCTGGAACTAGCTCTGTACACCAGGCTGGCCTCGAACTCACAGAGATCTACCTGTCTCTGCCTTCCAGTGCTGGGATTAAAGGCGTGCGCCACCAGCATCTGGTGCTCTACTTTTCTTTAAAGATTCTGGAAGGCTGGGGGGGGCGGGCTTCCTGTATCACCGCCACAGCTTAAGTCACACTGGTACTAGGAAGCAGAACAAGGTCACAAGGTCTGTTCTCCACTCTTCTACTCGTCGTGACACTAACTGATCCTCCAGTGGCTGATGCTGTCTGTGCAGCCAGGAGGCTGCCTCAGCTCCCTGCTTCAGCTCCTCCTCGGGGGTTCAGCAGCATCTCCTCTCCCTGCTGACTGCACACCAACAGGCAGTGTGTGCTGCACAGCACTGTCCTAAAGTCCCAAGTACTTACGCTTGGGTCGAGAAGGCCGAAAGCGCCAGTGATCGGGGCCAGCCCACATCTTCATGGTCCGGGGGCTGAAATAGGAGTATTCTCCAGGGTCCATTGATAAAAAGGTACACATGGTTTGGACATCTCTGTCCCCGAGGGAAACCATTTGTTCCCTGTAACGCAACGAAATCATTTGTTCATGTATACTGCACAGAACATAAACCATGCATTTACACGTAAAGAAGCTGCTGGTATTACTAGAGGTGCTGCCCCACCTCCTCTGCCACAAAGGATCACTTCCTACTTTTTCAGTGTTTTTCTATTTTATATGTACGGGTATTTTTCCTGCATGAATGTGTGCCCCATGTGCACGCTGGTGTCTCCAGAAGCCAGAAGGACATGGAGTCCCTGAAACTGGAGTTAAAGGCTGTGAGCTACCATGCAGACTCTCTTGTCCCAGAAACAGCATTTCTATGTTCAAGCAAACCCTTCATTAAGAAACCACCAAGTTTTTATTTGTTGAATGTTTTTACCTAACTTTCTCACAAAGGGTCTATAAACTATTCAAATATGTTGGCTATTCCAAAGTGCTTTACAAATATTAATCTACCCATCTGAGAGACAAGAAAATAGGCAGAGTGCCGGGCACACCTTTAATCCCAGCACTTGGTAGGCAGAGGCAGGTGGATCTCTGTAAATTCAAGGCCAGCCTGTCTACAAGAGCTAGTTCCAGGACAGTCTCCAAAGCTACAGAGAAACCCTGTCCCAAAAAGCCAAAAAAAGTCAAGGATTTCTTTGTTTTTATCTCAAAGAACAAGCAAAGGATGCCAGAACTGGGAACCGGATACAAATCTCTAAATCCAGACTTGGGTCTTTTCACAGATGTGATTTTTGCCACACAACATGACAGTCCTAATTCCCATTCTCTCACTGATTAGGATCCACAGACGCTACCTTAGTTCCTCCTAAGAGTGAAGATGTTCCAGTGTATGCATTTAGCTCACCAAACACTTGGGGGACCCCTTTAGTGATCTGTTAGGTCACCCAGCTTCATCTGCTGTGTACGATACGCAGAAGAGGCCTGGCAGTCTGGCAGCTTTGGTGCATGAGGGAGGCAGTGGGAAACATTAGTACAACTCTGCCGCACTGTGAGGGGAAGGGTGGTGCCCGAGGAGAGCGCAGTCTTGTGTGAGAGGAGCTCTGCACTGGCACTGAGCAGCTGAGCATGAGTCCTTATGACACTCTACAGAGTAAGAAAAAGAAGCTTTAAAAGGGGGATTAGTACAGGGCATGGCACGCACGCCTTTAAGCCCAGCACTGGGAAGCAGAGGCAGGCGGATCTCTGAATTTGAGGCCAGCCTGGTCTACAGAGTTCCAGGAAACCCCGTCTTGAAAATAATAATAATAATAATAATAATAATAATAATAATAATAATAATAATAATAATAATAATAATAATAATAATAATAGAGGACAGGCTTCTACAGAACCTCAAAAACAAAAATGGGGGCTGGAGAGATGGCTCAGTGGTTAAGAGCACTGACTGCTCTTCCAGAGGTCATGAGTTCAATTCCCAGCAACCACATGATGGCTCACAACCATCAGTAATAAGGTCTGGTGCCCTCCTGGTGTGTGGGTATACATGGAAGCAGAATGTTGTTTACATAATAAATAAATAAATCTTTTTTTAAAAAAAAAAATGGACAAACCAAAACCAAGCAAGCCAAAAGCCCAAGAGGCTACATATTTCAAAATTAATTTTTAAAATTAAAATACAAAACCCTCACAAATCAAGTCTGTTGGATCTTATACTGTCAAGGACAAGGATCTAGGCTGTGTCACAGACTAACAGGTGTAGTTCCACAAGAACTACAGTGAAGAACTACAGTGAAGATGGTTTCAGAGCCTCTGCACTTTGTCCCGACCTGCACTCTGCGGTCAGCTTTTGGAGTGAGGCACATAAAGGCAAAGATGTGAAGGGCCTGTGTCCTTTCCCGACAGTCTGGCCTGATGCTATGCAGGGGTCCTGTAGGCGTCCAGAACTCTAGCCACACTACAAATCCTTCAGCACATCTGAGTGACAGGTACCCCTTGCCAAGTCTGTATTATACCAGTACTTCAAGGCTGCTCCTTCAGGTCCTCACCCTCTTAGAGGGCCATCTCCGTTCTATCCTCCCCCATCATCACAGGCTATTCCTTCAGTCTAGGTGTCCTAACGCCACTGAGCTGACGGTTTCCTGCCAGCCAGCTCAGAGGCTCGGGCAGCCGCAGAATACTTCAGTTTTAGGCAAGGAGGGGGACGAGCTCTGCCCAAGCAATATCAGTTCTATAATCAAATGGGTCACCAACACGCAAAGCCAGGTGTGACCCTCAGCCACGTGGCTCAGCCCACATACGTGACATGGCACACCAGCCCAGTTAACCAGAGCCGCAGGCCTGTTTGGAAACCTTCTGGGACCCGGAGGCCTTACTGGCTGCTTTGGACCTGGCAGAGGTTCTTCCAGCTTCCCAGCTCTTCATGATCCCCAGCTGCAGAAGGGTCTGGTTCATCGTTGTCATCAAAGTCTTCCACCAGGGGCCCATCAAGGACATCCCCATTGTCACTGTCTTCAACCTCAGCATCGATGTCAAATACGTGATCATTCTTCTTAAATTTGTCCACCAGGGCTGACACAGACTGCGAAGAGAAGACGGGTCATTTCAGCCTCTCCTTTCCCAGCACCCCACCCCCAGCCCCACCTCCTAGAACCAGCACTCTCACAAGGAAGTTTACATTGTGCAGTGCAGGCTGAAGCTGCATTGTGTTGGGCACATTTTGCAAAACACAAAACAGGAATCCACATTCATTAACTGCATGTTTGGAGAACACAGTTTTCCATGGAGACCATTTATGTTGGAAGTTGTAGTAAGTAGGCTAAAGGGAGCCCTGCTAAAAATACACAAAGGAAGACTTTAAACTGGACAGTTTCTCAGGAAACAAGTGTGCCAGGGGACTTACCCCCCAAAAGAAGGAAATGCCTCTAGCCTGACAGCAGCTGGAGACAAGAGGCTACTATGATATGCATGTTCAAAAGCCAAGAAGACATGGAGCTGACCTCAGAGTCCACAACTGTATGATGGCTCTGCTGGGGTCACAGCCCCACCCTCCCAGCTAGGCTGGAATTCCCACAGAAGAGCCAAAGGAAACATTTTCTGTACTCGTGAATAAATAAAACCGATGCCACAGTTTTGGCTTCCACTGGGCAGATCTAGTCTGGGCTAGCTAACTGAAACCAACAGCCACTCGAAAACGCACCCAAGCCCTTATAGACCCAAAAGTTGACCACACCTCATTATGGGTTTCACTGTCCCATTTAGTAAACTGGAACCCGGCCAGGGAAGGGCAGAGCTGGCGGTCTTCCACACACTGCTGCAGGGGCGCTAGGGGGACAGCAAGATCATGGAAATATTACAGGTGGGCTGAGTTTGCCGCTTCAGGATGACACAGAGGGACAAAGGTGACTGCAGTCACCTCACTGTCCTGCAAAGGCCAGTGCTGGCTGGCCATCAACTTCCTGTTGCTAACTATTTGAGGGTGCAAACAGACACAGGTGATCCCACAGTGGAGTCAAGCTAAATGCCATTCCTAGAGCTAAATGCAAAGCAGAAACTGGAGGCTGAAAAATGGACATTTGATTTTGAAGTAAGCTCTACAGCTGGGAAATGTATAAGCCTTTTCTTTTCTTTTATTTTCTTTTTTTTCCCTTTTTTCGAGACAGCCTTGGAGGTCCTGGAACTCACTCTGTAGACCAGGCTGGCCTCGAACTCTGAGATCCACCTGCCTCTGCCTCCCAAGTTCTGGGATTAAAGGTGTGTGCCACCACCACTTGGTGGTAGAAGCCTTTTCTTAAAAGCATACTGAATTCCTTAGTAATCACATAATGGTACTTATTAAAGCAGCTGGAGATGACACCCCTCAGAGGATCACAGCCCTAGCTGAGGGCATAAACACAGAAAACATGGTTAGCACAGTTATGCTGAGAAAAACCTCTGTAAGGTAGGAAGAATGGAACTGGGAGTAGTGGTGCAGTCCTTATGAGGTGGAGGAAGGAGAGGGGGTACGAGGCCAGCTGAGGCAGACAGCAGGACCCTCTAAAGAAAAAATGACACAAATGGGCGTCACAATATGTGCATGGTCAGCCCAGAGGGAGATCAATGCCATTCCGTACCCAGAAGTGGTCCCAAGCACGCACAGCTCTGACGCTGTAGCACATGGCCTTCACTCACCCTGTTCCCTACAACACCCTTGGAAGATATCCTGATCTGCAGGAAAGAGGGAGAACTGGGGGATGCAGGAAGATGTTGAAATTCTGTCTAGTACGGGGAAACTACTAACAGGATAGGTCAGTTCTTAATAGACTGATTGCCCAGGGTTTGAGAATAATTCACAATATCCCCTTTTCAGGACCCTGGGAATTGGGAACAAACAAGAACAAGGCATCCCTGGCTGGACAGATACCTCTTTCCTGTGCCCCAGCTCAAACACTGACCCTCCAGGTAAGCCTGTAAGTACCGGAGTAGGCTGTAAACACTGAGTGCATGAGGTCATGGCATACAGGAACAGTGATGACTCCTGTAAGTACTGGAGTAGACTGTAAACACTGAGTGCATGTGGAACAATGCACACAGGAACAGTGATGACTCTGTTTAGACTCCGTACTGCAAAGAGGGGGAAATGAGGGGATTGGTAGGCATTGCCAAAGACCACCCAATTTGGCTTTCCAGAAGAACCACCTGAGTGACCAAAAGGAACGAGAACATGACAGGCTATCCCCACGACTATGAGAAGCTTCTCTGGTGACTGCGATGCACTGATAAAGGGCGATTCTACTCACCTTTTAAATCTGTCATGTCTACCCAACCTAAATCTGGCAACTCGAGAGCTTCTCCTGAGGAGAGAGTCTGCATGTCTGAAGGAAAAAGCAGCTCGCTTCTGTAGTCCTGGCAGTGAAGGGTGGAGAGAAACACCCCAGCTGTGCTGCACTCATCAAACGAGGCTGCAGTCTTCTGAAACATAGGATCCACCTGCGTGCAAGAGCAGGGAACGGAAGAATGATGGCAGGCCGCAGGAGGAAACTCAGCTCATCCACAGGTCTATTTACAAGACTGAACACCTGTGCATGCTCCAATGGGGAGGACTTTCTGAGTCATCAGGTATGATCCTGCCTGAAGCACCTGGTCAGGAGGCTGAGTGGTGAGACATGTACTTCCAGTCTCTTAATCTACAACATACATGGACGACAGATCCCCTTTTGCTAGCTCCCTTCACAGGCAGTTTCTAAATGGATACAGAAGCCCAAACACAGTAAAATGACATAACAAATCCTGTTGCCTTGACGAGCTACTGGGATGGAGCTAACCACAAGATCCTAACCTTCCTATGTTTTGGGGACTTCTGTTTAAGGTGGGGTCTCACTCTATCCCCAGTTGGCATCTTCCTCAAAGGTCTTCTGCCCCAGCCTCCTGAGTGTTGGGATTATAGGTACACGAAACCACATCTGGCTCACTACTGTTGCTCTGAACAGAAATATTTCTAAGATTTGGGAAAACCCAACCTGGATGACTAAGTGAAGGGCAGGGCTTGAGCAACGTCTAGCAAAGGCTGCAAGGAGGCTCTAAGACTAGGAAAGGGAGAGAGGCTGGCAGTTCATGGGCTACCAACCCAAAGGCAGAACACATCCCAGGCACAGGGACGGGGAGGCAAATGCATGTGAGGCACGAAAGGAGGACGTCACTGGATCCTACCAGGAGAACACTATGCTCAGGTCTTACTGGAGCTTGGAATGTGGCTTCCTAAGAGACCGGGCTCGGATCCGATAACACAGACATGGCTCCCGGGCCCTCCGTGGAGGTTGTGATGCTGCCATCTTCTTGATCCCATCGAAACATTCTGGGTCCCAAAAAGTCCACATCCTCTCCTCTCTTGTCACCCAGGAAGCTTCACAGCTCCATAAACACTCTCCCAGCTCAGAGGCTCCAGCCTAGTAACTCATGTGACCACCTCCATAGAGCACTGGTGTTGTCACTTCTGGTTCCTTTCTCAAATGCTAACCAGTCACGTTCCTCCTTCTGAAGCCCAGACCAAATCTAGCCTTTCTTCAAAGCTCAGTCAAGCCATAAACACCGACAGTACCGACTTCTCTGCCAAATTCATCAGAGACCACGCCAAGCGCACACTTCCTCACCTCACACTTTCGATCTGCTTCAGAGACGTTGATGTTGCTTAGATTCTGCTCGATGGTTTTGCAGGATGGCTTCTTCTTGGTCTTTGCAGTCTTTTTGGTTGTTTCTGGTGCAACAGCACTTCCATCTAAAGGAAGAAGATCGGTTCTTGAAAACCCTCTAAAGTAGTCATAATTTAAAAGGGAAATCCCGTCCAGGCAACAACTCATGTATCTAATCAGCTGCTTACAGAGTAACCGGATTACTAGATAACACATTTCACTCCTAATAAAAATCAATTTCTAGTCAGGTGGCGGCGGTGGCACATGTCTTTAATCCCAGCACTCAGGAGACAGAGGAAGACGGACCTCTGTGAGTTCAAGACCAGCCTGGTCTGCAGAGCAAGTCCCATGACAGTCTCCAAAGCTACACAGAGAAACCCTGTCTCCAAAAATAAAACAAACAAACAAACAAACAAAAACTATTTCTGAAGACACCAAGCAGAAGCTAGTTAGTGTTTACTCAGTCTTTCTAAATAATTTCTAAAAGCTTTTACATGGTCCTTTTTGAAGAAAAGGACCCAGTGTTGCTGAAAGCAAACTCCTATAAGGAGACTCAAAGGCCTTTAAGAAACAGTAAAACCACCCTGAGAAACCCTAGCATAAAAGGCAGGTATGACAGATGCCTAGGTTGAATGAGGCTTGGTTAAGTTCCCAGTAACCCACCCATCCCATGAAACAAACGGACATATAAAATAATTCACCATGAGTTAGCTACAGAATCAAGTAAGCCACATTTCCTGCCTTCATTTTCTCATGGAAAACCACATTCTGGAAATATCCATGCTTTAAAAAAACGTGTGACTGACTTCTTGTGTTTTCATCCCGGAATGTTACTCAAATATTGTCCAGTATAAACTAGAAGTAGCCCCTTAAATCCAGATCCCACCCTGCATACCTGCACCATGGCTCTCCACTTCTTCTTGAGATGGTGTGTCTTTGCCCAGCCCTCCAAGGACTCTGTATACATCAGCATGGACAGCATCCACACGTACAGCATAGATCTTGGTGCTAGCATCCAAGGTACCAGCAGCCACCTGGTCCAAAAGCACAGCTAGATTCATAAAGATGCACAGGACAGCACTATGGACAGGTAAAATCTAGCTAGATTCATAAAATATTTATTGAAGAAAAGAAAGAGAGAAGTGCTCACAGACTAATGGGAAATAACGACATCTACTGTTTTCTGAGGAAAGGGGGTAAAGGAGCCACGGTACTGTCTCATCAGGAAGGCTCTTGTGCTCGTGTGCGTTTGCAGAATTCAAGCACTCTAAATAATCATTGTGCCAGCTGAAAGAAAGTACCCATGCTTCTTACTTTAAAGTTGGTTGGTTCTGCGTCCTTCTGTTTGAGAATCTCCGACATGAAATCAATCAAATGTAAGCCAAAAGCATTCTTAGTAGTGATTTTCTAGAGGGAAAAATTACACAAAGGTTTATTAGTCACAGGCTCAGCTCATAAGCTCTGGTAAATAAAGACACTAAAGTTTACTTAGAAATACTCCCATTGATCTCAGTTCCCATAAGCACTTGCAACAAAGCCAAATCTACATGCACCCTCCCTCCTCAAAGGCTGAACAGATCCGAGACTCCATGAGCACTCACTGTGCACAGGCCTTGCTCTAAGGACCCTGCAGCCGCCTGTGAGGCAGGCACTCCCTTCACTCTCCCTGCAGAGGAGGGACCTGGAGCAGGGAGGTCAGTGACACCGTCACCCAGTTTATAAGTGGGAGAGAAGGCTCGAATGCAGGGTGGCTCCAGATGCATCATCAGCTTCCAAACTGCCACCATCTGCCTGTGAGCCATGCACTGCCACTAGTAGACTGTCCATGAGCAGCAGCGGGGCTCCACCAGAAACAGTAAAGCCACACTGCGAAAAACCAGGACAGGAAGCCGCACCAGAGAACAAACAAACCATCACATTTCCTACCCAAATCAAGAAAGCTCTGCCTCCCAGATACAAAATCATAGTTGGGCATGTTGACACAACTAAAATGAGTGAGGCAGAAGGATCACAGGTTCGAGGCCAGCCTGAGCTACAAAGTAAGATCCTGACTAAATAAATACAAACCAACAAATACTCACATTTTCAGTAGAAAGCTTGATACAGGTAGAGTAATGTTCTGTAATCTGTGTGTTTGTAAACTTAGATGTGATAGTTGAAACATCAATATTCCTAAATAAAAAACAAGAATATTCTAGCAAGGACCCACATTACAGTTACTTTAAACACACACCCAGGAGACCAGCAAGACGGCTCAGTGGGTAAAGGCACTTGTTAACAAACCTGATTAGCTGAGATTGACCCTTGGAACACAAAGTAGGACAAAACTAACTCCTGCAAGTTGTCCTGCTTTCCACACGCGTGCTCTCACACTCACTCACACGCACGCACAGAATAAACATTAAAAGAAAACAAAGAAACCCCTATGCCCAGAATCAATGAAGTACTGTGGAGGCACCAGGACCCATACAGCCCATGCGCCTCCAACCAAGGCGGAAGCAGAGGCAGAAGCGCACTCACCTGTTAGGGGAGGCCAGCAGATGACTGGAGTCTGTACTGAACTGCAGGTCAAAGACCCTGGAGCGTCTCCGCTGCAGCCGCTCCTTTTCATCATCATTCTGAGGAAAGTCTTCAAGGACTGGGGTGTTAGGAGTACTGAGAGCGGCCTTCCCGTGCCGGGGCCCTGACAGCACCCGCTCCATAGGGGACGAAACATCGAACTGCTGTCCATGGATCTTCGGAGAAGAGCTATTCATTGTTCCTGGCAGTGACAACAAAATACTTGCTCAAGAAACCTTCAACAGAATTGTTTCCTTTACCAAAAGAGAACTTGGGCTGCATGGGCTCACTGCACATTCTCTAGGTCCTATCATACATGATGCTGGACACCACAGTTTGGGTTTCTTGCAGGGTGCAGTGGGGAGAAAGGAGAAAGGTACAGGACAAATATTCAGTTACTGTGCATTCAAGCACAACACCGGACAGGACGAGGAGGCAGGGCTGGAGATAGAGTCAAGCGGGGGAGCATCTGCCTAGCATGCTTGAGGACAGAAACATGGATGAGACAAAGTTGCTGCCTTTATTAAGCTAAACTAGCAGGAAGACATCTGTCGCCCACAATATTGGGCCAGGGAGATCCCAGTGTTGAGAAATGATGAGGTTGGTCTATGGGCATACAGGCCGGGTTCAATTCTCGACTCCTCCATGTCTTGGCAGGAGGATGGAGAAAAACATTTGAAATATGTAAAACACACACACGCACACAGCATTCCTACAGATTGGCCACAGAGCACATGCAAACTATAAAAGCCTTTGACGGTGACTACATTAGCCACGCAGACAAAAGCAGCCTCTCCAGAAATGAGACGTTTTCTCATCTCTGATGTGATACACAGGAAATTCTTTTTTTTTAAAATCATCTATTTATTATGTGTTCAATATTCTGTCTGTGTGTATGTCTGCAGGCCAGAAGAGGGCATCAGACCTCATTACAGATGGTTGTGAGCACATGTGGTTGCTGGGAATTGAACTCAGGACCTTTGGAAGAGCAGGCAATGCTCTTAATCACTGAGCCATCTCTCCAGCCCCACAGGAAATTCTTATAATTCATTTTTATTTTGTGTGCACTGGTGTTTTGCCTGCATATCTGTCTGTGTGAGGGGGTTGGAGCCCCTGAAACTGGAGGTACAGACAGTTGTGAACTGCAAATGTGGGTCTGGGAATTAAACCGGGTCCTCTGAAAGAACAGCCAGTGCTCTTAACAGAGGAGGTTTCACCAAAAAGGGTACACCTGAATCAAAGCCATACAGTCTGGGAAAACCCCGTGGGAGCAGGGGTACAAGCCAAAGGTGGGAACATGCTGGCACACACGTGTGACCGAATGCAGTAGCCCAAGCAGCAAGCCTCTCCAGAGGCAAACAAAGTCTCGGGCTCTCCAGAGCCAAGCAGGAAAGAGCACCAGACAGAGCAACGGAAGACCAACTAGTAGGAGCATCTGAGCCTGACTCACAACCACTGTGATGACTTTGCATGCCCTCCCCTCTTATGTAGCCCAGGCTGGCCTCCAATGCACAACAGCTGAAAGGATGACCTTGACCTTCTAGTCTTCCTGCCTCCCCCCCCCCCCTCCTGCATCCTGGCATTATAGGTATACGTGCCTGGTTTATGTGGCGCTAGGTAGGGATCAAACCCAGAGCAAGGGGTTGATCAAAACCTCGATGCTAGGCAAGCATTCTGCCAACTGATCTGCACCCCCAGCCCTGACTCCGCCTCTTAAATGCAGTGAGAAAGGATCTGACTCGGGAATGAGGAGGGGAGGAACAAAATGAGCTAGCTTGGGCTTCAGGAGGACAGAGGACCCTCTGGTTGTCAGAGTGAGAACACACTGAAGAGGACACAAGAGCCAAGCAGGAGAAGCAATTAAATGAGGACAATCACTATCAAGGCAGGAGATGCAGAGACAGGGGCAGTGCTGGAAGGAAGAGGTGTCCAGATAGGGACAAGTCTCCACAGATAGGCAGAAAGGCAGCATGATTGCCTGATTGCTGAAAGGAGGACTGTGAAGAGTCAAGGCGAGCTCCAAGGTCATCACCAACAGCTGACGGAGTTGCCAGATCTGAAGAAGCTACAGGAGGAGCACACTGTGGGGCAGGAGGCAGGGCCACAGCTTTACTCGTCTCACACTTCCTGTCACCCAACTGCACTGTGCAGCTGGAAACCTAACTGTGGAATCCAGGGGGCAATTTCAGGCTAGGTAAGTTTGGGAGTGACAGCTGAGGATGCATCTAACACACTGGATGAGCCCACTAACTAAGAGAATGGAGAAGAGGTGACTCTGAGACAGGCCCCGAATACTTCAAAAACTACAGAACAGGAACGAGCAACCAGCAAAAGGGCTGGGGAAGCACAAGTTGTGAGGAAAAAAACAGACAAGGATTCGACCGACTAAGTCACTTGTTCTCTGTTACTTTTATTGTCCTTAAGCAGAGAATACAGGTGAACTAGGGGGCCAGGGAAGGAGACGGTACTGGAAAGCTAAGGGAAGGAAGAAATGGCTATCTAGAAATAGACTAAAACAGGAGGTGTGGTGTGATCAACGCTCTGAAGCGCCCCCGAAACCAACCATTTGGTATCTCTGCGTATTTTTCTCTGGCCACTGTCAACTCTGCAGAACAGGCTATGTTTAAATTAACCAGGGTTGTGGGGTTTGTCAAGAGCCTGTAAAGAAGTAAGAGGACACTGAGAAACCAGGAACATAACATAAATATAAAAAGGAACAAGGACACAAGATGGTAATAAGTGATGAAAGAGGGCAGAATATAGGTGGGCAGAACAAAAGCCTGAAGTCTGGGAGTAAGAGAAAATGAGCCGGACACATGGGGTGATAGTCAACAAATGGCTGACAGAAAGGTAGCCGTATTGCTGATGACACATTCACAGTGTGACTATGAGAGTGACAGCGCCCTACTCTTCAGAGAAAGACACAAAATTCCTGGAAGGAGATGAAAGAACCCTAACTCACCCTCATCCCAGCCCGGATTTAAGAAACAGAAAGCACTGCCTCAAACCTGGCTTCATCACTTACTAGTTAACAAAACTGTAGGCAAACAAATGCTCTAGTGGTATCTGCTTCCCCATCGCCCTACATGGAAGGACAAACACCTGGCTTTGGTAGGGCTCCCTGGGTGAGCACCTGTGTAGCACTCATCCTTGGCTGGTAGGCTGGCATGTGCAGAGAAGGGAGAGGGGGAGAGGGAGAGAGGAAGAGAGGAGGAGGGAAGGATGAAGGGAGCAGCTGGGCAGAACTTGCTGCTCCAGAACAGGTGATACAATGTAACGACAACACACAAAATAACATTTTATAGGAACACACTAAAATAAAAAGGAGGCTGGAAACAAAGAGCAGTGGGCAGAATGCTTGAACAGGCACAAGACCTACACAAGAAACAACAAATGGCCATGCATGGGGAGCAGGGATGAAGAAAAAAAAAAGCCAAAATAGGAGCTAGATATTTTCAAGAGTTTTGTGAATGTGGGTAAGGAAAGGACTTGAGAAACTGGAAGCACCTGGGAGACCTCTTTAAATCCTCCCTGATTCCTCTCTCAGATGGTTACTGAATCAAAAGCATTTCGGTCTACCTATCTTCTTCCTCCCACTCAATCAGCCTCTCTGCTCTGCTTCTCATCCCTACTGTTTCATGAACACAGCCTTGCGGGATTAAGGACAGCTTGCATGTGGTCAGTGTGAGCGCTTCCAGGCTGTTTCCCTTGAGACTCACCCAAAAGAACGAATGCCCCTTTTCTTCTTGAACTGCTCTGGTCCGGGATGCACTCCCTACAAGGTCTATACCCATGGCTTTATGATCTATATGATGGCTAACTACCTCTCAGCCTATGGAGCTCTGTCAAACTCACCCAGGAGATACAGATCCCTTCACCTGAACATCTGTCCAGGAAGTCACAGGCAACATGTCTGTAATGTAACTATTATTCCAAACCTCTTACTAAGGTCTGCCAGGGCCTGCCTACTGTCTAAACTCACTAAGCGTAGTTACCACGTTCTAGTTAGTTCCTAGCCCTGTCCAGGCTCTTTCCTGAATCTTCACTTTTGTACACGCTGCTCTGCCTCGAACGTTCTTCCCAAGGTCTGCTGAAAAATCTCGAGTCCATAAAGGAGAGGAGTCACAGCTCTAGGCCTTCCTTATCTGTCAAATACTTCCTGTACTGTCTCCCCTTGAACACAAGCTCCAAGAGAAACGGGCTATTTATCTGTTTTGTCCCCACGCCCCGCTCCCTTTCAGAGTGAGTCTCATGAAACCCAGGCTGGCCTCGAACTCGCTTTAGCTGACGACAACCTTTAACTTCTGATCCTCCAATCTCCATCTCCAGTGTCCATGTTTCTTCTGTTGTATATCTCTGCATCTGACCGGGGATCTGTCCCAAAGGGAGCGCTCAAGACTTTTATATCAGTTTCAAAATAAAGGCGCGAACGCTCAACACAGAGCGGTCACCACCTCGCATTCACAGCTCCCCAAATAACGCCCAGTTCAGGAAAAAACAAACAAACAAACCCTTATCCTCCGTTAGAACCGGAGCGCGGGGAGCAGGAGCCGAGCCCGGCAGCCGCTAGCAGCTGCGCCCTGATTGGCCCAGCGCCTCGCTCCCCTCTCTTCCCTCCTCTCCCCTCCCCCGCTTCTGCCTTCGGCCCCTGGCCCCCTGCGGAACCCAGCGGAACCCAGCCGAGTCCATTCGTCCCTTCCGGACTTGCCCGCACGATCGCCCTCAGTCCTGACCCTGCCCGCCGCGCCTCGACCCACTCGAGCTCACCTGAGCGTGGAATTCTCATCTTGGCTCGCCACGGCTCCCGGGTAAGTTTTAAATCGCGAGCGCCAAGCGACGAAGCTCAGTAACCGTCTCGTGACGTCATGCGAGGGCGTGGTCTAGCACACGCCTGCGCAGACCGCACAGGAGGCTGGTGAAAGGCTGGCCGCGGAAAGCTGGCGGGAAATCTCTCATCGAAGTCTACTCTCAGTGAGCTTGAGCCCCCCGGGTGAGCGTGCTGAAGAAGTTTGAAAACACCCCGGCGCCGAGCGCTAGGTGCGGAGTGGGACGTGTGGATCCCAGCGGAAAAAAGCTGTTTTCCTGGAATTTGGGTTTTAATGGGGAGGTTTCTGAGGAAGCAAGGTACTTTGCCCTAAGAGACTTGTGCTACGTGTATAGCAAAATATTGTCCTTATTAGAAGCTCCAAGCAGGCAAGAAGAAATGTAGAGCAGTGACTGCATGTGTACACAGCGCCCCAAGCATTGTGTACACATGGGTATACACCTCCAAGAGCATCGTGTGTGCATGTATACACACATACCAGAGTGTTGTTTACCTGTGTACGCTGGGCGTCCGTATATATATACACACCTCCAAGAGCATTGTGTATGTGTATACACTTCCAAGAGTACACGTGTACACACATCCTAGAGCATTGTGTATACCTTTGTGTATACACACACATCCCAGAACATTGTATATGCATGTGTGTATATGTACATACCAGATCATTAGGAGGACATGTGTGTATGCACGCACACCAGAGCATTGCATATGCACATGCACACACTGCAGATTGTTGTTTAAGCTTGTGTATATACACCAGGGCAGTGTATTCATACGTCTGCACGCGTGTACACACGTGCACACACACATTTTAAAATGAAGGACATTTTTGTCCACATTCTTGTGAAAAGCTTTCTGGAAACCATCTACCTACCTCTCTTTTTTTTAAAAAAAAAAAAAAAAGAGGGCTGAAGTGTAGCTTTATTTATTTATTTATTTATTTTGGTTTTTTGAGACAGGGTTTCTCTGTAACTTTGGAGCCTGTCCTGGAACTAGCTCTTGTAGACCAGGCTGGCCTCGAACTCACAGAGATCCACCTGCCTCTGCCTCCCGAGTGCTGGGATTAAAGGCGTGCACCACTTAAGCTTAAGGTGTAGCTTTTTTTAAATATTTATTTATTTATTATGTATACAATATTCTGTCTGTGTGTATGCCTGACGGCCAGAAGAGGGCGCCAGACCTCTTTACAAATGGTTGTGAGCCACCATGTGGTTGCTGGGAATTGAACTCAGGACCTTTGGAAGAGCAGGCAATGCTCTTAACCACTGAGCCATCTCTCCAGCCCAAGGTGTAGCTTTTTAACATCCTTTATTATACCCAAATCCGCAGGGTCCCCCACAAAAGCCAACAAAGGACACCAAGTCCCATATGTAAAAGCAAAGAGCCTTTATTTTAATCAAGTTTGCAAACTCGGTCTCTCCACATGTCCAACATATTGGAATAACCGGAGAGCCCCAAGCTCAATTAGAATTGGGTTTTTATAGTAGTAAAGGTGGGGGTGAGGGATCTCTGAGGTTCAGGACCCCTGATTGACTGACATTTGTCTAGGGGCATCCTGGTGAGGTGCGCAGGTGATCCTATCTACGGGGGTTGGAATGCCAGGCATTTCCTTTGAGTGGTGTTCTTGAGTGGACGTCGGGCAATCTTATGGTTCCTCCTGCAGCCAGGCATTGTCTCAGACTCCAGACTCCAATTAAATTCATCGATGGCCAGAGTCCCAGGTGATACTGGTCGGAAGTAAAGGACTTCCTTTGGGTGACCTGCCCAGACTTAGATTATCATGGCTGGCCCCCACACCTTGACATCATCCGCTGCCAACTAAAGGTCGTTAGTGCCCCTCCCTCCTTTTGGTAACCAAAGTTCTGCCCATTGTTGAAAGCTACTTCAAGAAAAATTATTTTATGTGCGTGAGTGTTTTGCCTCTTCTTGTACGTTCACCACACGCATGGCTGCTGCCTGAGGAGGTCAGAAGAAGGAGTTAGATCACCTGGAACTGGAGTTACAGGTGTTTGTGAGCCATCATGTGGGTTCTGGAATTCACTTCGTAGACCAGACTGGCCTCGAACCCATAGAGATCAGGCTGCCTCCCAAGTGCTAGGGTCAAAGGTGTGCACCACCACTGACCCTCTAAAGCTATTTGGGTTTTACATGAACTTGTTTTCCCAGGACCACTTTAGGATGATATAATCCCAGCACTCGGGAGGCAGAGGCAGGCGGATCTCTGTGAGTTCGAGACCAGCCTTGTCTACAAGAGCTAGTTCCAGGACAGGCTCCAAAACCACAGAGAAACCCTGTCTCGAGAA